TTTCTTGGCTTTGTTTAGCATAAGGTGTTGTGTTTAAACCGGCAGGGGCAGTAGTTCTAGTTGTCTAGTTCTCTTGGGATTGTTTTCAGGCTAAGTTTGGGGGTGCCAACTCGAGCTCGATCGAGTTGGGTGTAAAAACCAGAAAAGTGGTAAAAATTGGGAAAAACCCAAAGGAAAAAGAGTTTGTTAAGTCCAGGGAGTTGGCAGTGTTAAAAGGGTCTAGTAAAGGTTTGGGAAGTTAAAAAAGGAAAGTAAAAAGGGTTCTAAGTAGAATGAAAAGAAGGCAAAGCCTCAAGTGTCAAAAAGGAAAGAAAAGTTCCCTAAGTGTTTAGAAAATCCCAAACCGCTAGATGTTACCTCAAGAAGCCTCTCCCTAGGAAGTTCTTAAAAGAAAAGTGAGCAAAGCTCCTCAGTTTCAAAGGCGAAATGCCAAAAAGGGTAGTTAGGATTTTGTTCTAAAAAGCTCTAAGTGTTGAACTCGATCGAGTTAGGATTAGGCGGCTCGAGCTGCTGTTCTTGCATCATCTTTGGTTCTAACACTTAGCCTTCTGCCAAAGCAAAGCCACTTTCTTGAGAGATCCCTGTTACTAAACCACCATACAAAAGAGACCCTCTTTGTCTCTTAACCCATAAACCCTTGAAACCAAATGAGTTGATTGATCTTGCATGTTTTTGGTTCACTGTTTTTGCTTAATGAATGTTAAAGGGATTTGCTGATTTGAATGCATTGTTTGAGTGACTGTGAAGTGGGATTGATGTTGATAAGCATGGTTAAATCTTAATGAATATCTCTCACCTTGTTGCATTCTAGAATCTCTAAGTTGGACATTTAGCAAATCGCTTTTGAGGACATGTTTTTAAGTGTTGAATCAGCTATTTTCAAACCTCATCTCTTTCTTGTTCTATTTGTTTGCTTGAGGGCAAGCAAAGTTCAAGTTTGGGGGTGTTGATGTACTTGCATTTTACATAGTTTTAGCACATCTTTTATGCATCTTTTGCATAGTTTTAGCTTCCATTTGCATCATATCTTGTTCCTTTTCTCTTCTTATGCATTCATGTTAGTTTTAGGTTGCATTTGCATACATATGCATGTTTGGTCCTTTGAAATAGGTCTTTTGGAGCATTCTGGAGCATATGGGACATGAGGAGCATGGAGGGACTTGGCACATGGAAGCAGCTCAACTGGATACGCAAAGGAAGAAGGGAGAAGCCATCTTGAAGACCAGCTCGACCGTCCACTCGACCAACCGGTCGAGTTCCTCAACTCGACCGGCCAAGCTTCAACTCGATCGAGCTGGAAGTCAAAGTCAAACCCGAAAAATGTTGCTTCCCCCTTGACTTTCCTTTGACCCTAAACCTAATCCTCTTGTATTTAAAGGCTCTAAGCCACGAAAAAACCACCAAGCTTTAGATTATTTTGTTTTAGTTTCTTTTAATTTATTGTCTTTTACTTTTTAGAACCCTAATCCCATCTTTGTGTTCTTGAAGCTCTTGCTTCTTGAATCTTAGATCCTGGATTATCTCTTTGTATTTGCACTTGCTTATTTCAATAAAAGTTGTTTAATTTCATCTCCTCTTTCTTATGATGTCTCTTTTATTGCATTTGCTTGTGTTTACATTCATGTGTAGTGAGTAGTTACCCATTAGGGTTTGAGATGGGATAGATTAGAGGTTTCATATGCTTAATCCTTCTAGCTTATGGTCTTAATCTAGATTCTCTCTCTTTTGGATAGATCTTAAGGCTACATGACCACTACCCCTGGCTTGTAAGTCCTTAGGCGACTCCCCACACGGAAGTGATGGCATTCGCTGGAAAAGATCCACTAAGAGCTCCAATATCTCTTGCTCTAGACAATAGAGGTCTAAGGGGTTGGATGGATTAGTTTGGGCAATGATCCTATAGCCTCCAAGGTTTGATTCTCACTGGCTAACCCCCTGTTTCTGAGATCATTCCTTGGTTGATAGCCTCCACCTTGGGAAAGGGTTGGCTAGGCATTGAGAAGCCCAATATCAAGAGAAGCCTTGATACAAGGAGTTTTAAGAGCTAGATTGATTAAGTGTAGATTCCTTTGATTGCAAAACCCTGTCTTGAACCCTAATTCTCTCTTTATCTTGTTAAAGTCGTCACCTTTACTGCTTTTTGCTAACTCGACCCACAACTCGATCGAGCTGGTGCTCTGTCCCAACTCGACTCGAGTCCTTGGTCGAGCTACTTGTTTACTGCTTTGTTTACTTTTATTGCACTGCATTTTCATTTCTTAGGTTGTTAGTGTTACTTCAAATCTATAACTGCTTGCTTGACTTTCTGGTTGTTTCATATTCTCATAGAGTGACAAGTTTCCCATTTTGGATTGATAACCTCTTATACTTCAATGACTATGATGGTTAAGAGGAATTGATTGATTGTGATTGCACCATACCATTTCATCTTATTCACCCCTGTTTGCATTCCACCTCATATCTTATCATCCTTATTCATTTCATATCACACCGTTAAATCCATATCATCAGTAATACAATAAAACTCCCCCCAGACTTAACTTGCACCGTCCCGGTGAAAGCAAATCACATTAAGGTGAGAGGTAATATTCAAAGTAAAAGAAAAATAAAGAAAAATTCATTAAAATAAGATAGGGATAGAAAATGGAGATTTGTAAGTGTCCATTGCACTAAGTACCACTTGAGATGACTATGTGTGGCAGTGAGAAGAACTCTCTTCCTCATCTATGGGGTCATCGCCTTCTGAACCAAGCTCTGAGTCTAGTGAGAACTCACCAAGGTCAGGCTCATATGGCTCTCTAGCGGTGGAAGAAGGGCGAAAGAGTCTCTCCGGTGCAATGTGGCGAACTACACGAACTAGGCGTGAGATGAAGCGAGATTGGCATTCCACTATCTTCTCCAGCTTGTTAACACGGTCTAGAGCTTGGTGCGCAGCCATGCCAGTAGTGAGAACATGGCGTTCTTGGATGCGGCGTTGAGTCTTGACTGCATGCTGAAGTGTGCGATAGGTGAGCATGGGGAATGATGGTTTCTCACTTGATGGAACATAGAACTCTTCCTCATTGGGCTGGAAAGTGACAACTCCTGAGCGTAGGCTTGGGATGTCTCATGTGGCAGCAAGACAAGGGAAGTGTTGGCTGGACCAATTGGAAACTCATAGCAAAACCGAGTTGGGTCTTTAGTCCAACGGTTTAGGAAGTGGATGTGCTGAAGAGCATGGAGATCCAAAGGGGTTGGCTTGGGTAGTGGCTCATAGTTGGGAATGTCAATCCCCACATGCAGTACTATGGCCGTGATAAGCCTCCCAAAACGAACACAAAGCTTCTTGTTGCCTTCCAAGTCTTGAGCTAGCTTCCTCACATTGATGAATGTCTTGGCAAGTAAAAGTCCAAGGTTGGCCTTGTACTCATGCTTGATGAATGGTGTGGTGAGGATGTAGAACTCATCAGTTGTGACCTTGTTGGCTTCTTGTTTGCATTGGAAAGTGGTGGAGATGAGGCGGTGCACATAGCGAATGGCTGGATGGGTGATTCTAGACACCTTTGACCTTGAAGGCAAGAATGGTTCATTGGCAAAGTGTGTCCAATCAGCAAAGGCAGCTTGTTTCCTCTTTGAGTTCTCCTTGAAGTCATGTGCTGTCTCATTGGGAAGTCCAAAGAGTTGGCATAGAGCTGAGATGGAGATGCGCCCATTGGCATCGCCTATCTTGAAGAGTAGGAGTCCATCACCAGCTGGTTGGTCTCCATTGTGGTTGGGAAAGGCAAGAGCTACTGTGGAGAGGAACTCCTTGGTGAGTTGTGAGTACTCACTACACTCTAGCTTGAAGAGCTTGCTCAAGCCTAGCTTCCTTATGTACCATGTGACATCATCTCTTATCTTGAGAAGATCAAGGGTTTGGGTGTCCATCTTCACACATGGCTCGATGTTCACCTTCTCCATTGCCTTCTTACACTTTCTTGGGTCTTGATTTTGTTCTCCAACAAAGGTTACAAGTGCCCAATCATCTTCTCCTCTTCTTGGACTCTCCACATGTTCTTGATTGCATCAATGGAATGTGGTGAAGTTGGTATTGCTGCTCTTGCATTGGAGCTACTACTCCCTAGCTTGATTTGCTTCTTTGGTGGTTCCATGAATGGGTTCTTCTTCTTCTTCATACTCTCATTTCCTTTTGTCTTTGCCATTGTGTACCTACAAGAGCAAATTCTTGGGAAGAAATATGAGTTTGTGATTAATGCAAAAGAAGAATAAGCTAATTGAGTTGTAATAATGATATGGAATAATGGAACAACTCAAGGCTTAATCATGAATCAAAGAGACAAAATAGAAATTTCACTTTTTCAAATTAATTTTCGGATTTTACTGTTCATCCCAAGATTATGGTGCTTAAAATCAAAATTTTCAGCAAATCAAGAGAAATTGAGTTTCTAATCCAAGTAATCACTAGATAAACTAATGAATTGAAGCATGCCTAAGCAATTTCACCTTTGAATAAGGGGTTTGGAATGCCCAATAAGTTTTGTGAAAAACTATTCAATTGTGAAATTAAACTTCAAATAACTCTAAACCACCTAGGTTCCACCTAGCAAAGTTCATTACAAGACTAATAAGGATGCTAATTTCAAGTCTAGACAAGAGTTTAGACCAAACATGAAACTTATTGAAATTTTCGATCTTGCATAAACATAGGATTAGAGTTAGAAGACATACCTTGTGTGTTGAAAAGTGAATAAGGTTGCAAGAGCAAGTAAATTCCAATTTAGAGTTATGAACAGTAAAAGTTTTGAAATCAAAACTCTTAGAGTTCCTCTAATGGAGTTTAGGGTTTTGGAGAAGAAAGAGAGGTTCTTGTGTTTTCAAGGGAAAGGTAAAGTATAAGATCAAGATCCTATCAATTTTCCTTTTCAAATTCGAATTTTGATTGAAAACCGGTTTAAGTTGGTTTAGATTGGTTAAAACCGGTTTGAATTAAATGAAAAGGGGACTTACCTTGGCCTAGAAAAGTTTGGGCCGATGGCCGATGGATTTTGTCGCGGTCGAGCGATTTGGTCGGCCAAATTTCGAATGGCCGAGAGATTTCGGCCGAGGCCGAGTTGTTTCCCGGATCGACCGGCACGGTCGGTCCGTTCCGATGCAAAATCGGCCGATCGCGGCCTAATCTTTCCCGGTTCGTGCGTGTCGCGCGAACGGTTTCTGTCGCGCGATAGAGTGAATCCGGCCGAGCACAGCTATTCCTTCCCGGCTCGACCGGTGGTCGGCCCGAATGGAATTGCTCGGCCAAATTCACTTTTGCGCGTCCGCGGCCAATGTTTGGCGCGGATTGTGTTTTCACACCTTTTTCTCCTTCTATCCTATCTTAAAACAAAGAAAACACAAAAGCAAAACAAAAACTAAGAAAATTAAAGAAAGAAAAGTAAAAGTACCTCATGGGTTGCCTCCCATGCAGCGCTTGTTTTAAGTCTTTAGCTTGACTGTAAGGCTTGGCACTCAGGAGAAGATGGAGACAAGAGGCATCCTTGATCCTCCAAGTCTTTTCTCCTTGCAATGAGTATCTGGTGGGTGATTCACAGCTGGATAGACAATCTCTCCATGAATGTCCCTTGGCACTACTGCCTTAGGAAAAAGCTTTAGAGTTCTTGTCACTTTCTCCTTGAATCCTTCTAGATTCTCATCAATAAGCTCCTTTGGGAATAGAAGCTTCATGTTGCGGCCAGACCTAGGTTTTCTAACCTTCCTTCTTGGCTTGGCCTCATCTTCAATCTTGGTTGATCCCTTGGGCGGTTTTGGTGTAGGGGCCTTAGTCTTACTCCTTGCTTGTTTGGCAAGCTGCTTGGGCTTAGGAATGGGATCTTCCTTGATTGTTTCTTCAGTTTCTCCTTCTTGGGGTGGCTTCAAAGTAGCTTTCTCCTCTTGGACCATGTCAACAAAAGAGTTCTTTGTTGAACACATAGGGAAGAACATACCCTTGTTCACCTTGTTGAAAGAGATTCTTTGATTGGGGAAATCAAATATGGCACCCACAGTAGACAGGAAAGGGGTTCCAAATATGAGAGGTCTATGGCTACTCTCTCTCATTTCCACAATCTGGAAATCAGTAGGGATAGAGCAATTTCCAATCTGCACCATCACATTAGGCACAAAGCCATAGGGGTTTGTGAGAATGAATCAGCATAGTTGATGGAGATGGATGATGGCTCTATCTTGGTGAGGCCTATCTTGTCAGCTATCCTCTTAGACATGATGTTCACATTGGCTCCTGTGTCACACAAAGATTGCTCAAGAATGTTACCTTTGATGATACAAGGCACACAAACTTTCCTGAGTTATCTGTCTTGGGGATAATCTTTGGGAAGAGTCTTCTCTTTCTAGCTCGATTGGACTCTCTCTCTGGGTAATTCTCTTCAGGCCAAATCATGCAATCAACAGTAGGTTTTGAAAGCATCCATTCTGGAACTTGGTCTTCAAATCTTTCTTCTATGGCGGCTGAGTTGCAAAAGGACTTCTTGGATTCAGCTTCCTGTCTCTTAACAGCTTCCATAGTTTGAGTGACTTGAGTCTCTAGTTTCTTCACATGAGTGGCAACAGCATCATACTTGGTGTTGAGATTGCTGAACAAAGTGTCCATCTTCTCATACATCTCTTTAGTGTTTCTCTTCTGGCCATCCATGATCTGTTGGAGGATTCCTTCAAATCTCCCACCTTGTTGGTTTGGAGGAGCTTGATTTGGTGAAGAAGCATATGGCTCCTTGGGCGGATATGATGATCTCTGCTCATACCCTTGCCTTGGCTGAAATTGACTTCCTTGAGATTGGTAAGGAGGTCTTTGTTGTTGTGGATACCTTGGAGGATACACTTGGTCTTGAGGATTCTCCACATTGGGGTTTCTATAAGACATGTTGGGGTTTGGGCGATAGCTTGGATTGTATCCCTTGTTCCCATAGTTTCCAATGTAGTTCACATCTTCTTCATTGGCTTCATTAGAGAAATCTCCCATGCATTCTCTTGATGGGTCTTCATTAGCATCACTCATCCCTTCTATTGCATTGATATGCTTGAGCTGTCCCTTAAGAACTTGAGCCATCATGTTCTTGAGTTCAGTCATTTGAAAAGAATCAGGGGAGCTAGTAGTGGTGCGGCTTGAGCGGTCATAATCAGGACAGTTGTTACAATCACTAGCTGCAAGATTCTCAATAAGAACCTTAGCTTCATCAACAGTCTTGGTCATGAAGTTTCCATTGCTTGCAGTGTCCAATGAAAGCTTGTACTTGTGGTCTATGCCACGATAGAAGATGTTCCATAGGTTTCCTCATTGAAACCATGATTAGGGCAGTCCCTAATGTACTCCTTGAATCGGTCTAGCGCCTCATAGAAAGATTCATTCGTGGCTTGGCGAAAGTTGATGATCTTGTACTCATCCCAAGTGGTGATGGAGTGAGCTGGCAGAGACTTCAACCATCTTGAAGCTTTGTCGCCAAGAGAGAATGAAAAGAGCTTGCACTTAAGGTAGTCAGCAGAGACTCCATTGGATCTTGTAGTGCTGCAAATTTCTTCAAAGTTTTCTATGTGATCAAGAGGGTGCTCAGCTGGAAGTCCATTGAATTGGTTCTGTCTAACCAATGCTATGATCTGAGGCTTGATCTCATAGTCATTCCTTGCAGGAAGTGGTGGATGGATAGGGTTTCTATCCATGAAGAAAGCATCGGCAGAGTCATAGTCTCCGATTGTAGGTGCTCCAGCTTGGGGTTGCACATTCACATCTCCAGCAGGGTCTTGTGGATTAGGAGGAGGAGGAGGTGGATCTCTTCCTTCTTCTTGAGCGCGCGCCACTTCAGCGGCGTGAGCGCGAGCTGCTTCGTCGGCCATCTCTTGGGCTTTTTGCTTCCTAAGTTGCTTCTCAAGCTTGTCTATCTCTGGATGTTCAACTAGGTTGTCCTTGTTGGACCTCCTAGTCATGCACCTGAAAAGAGTCTAGGAAACAAGTTAAACTAAAAGGGAAAAACAAAAACAAAAGCAAAAATCAAAGAAAAGGAAATCAAAAACTAAAAATTCAAAAGCAAAAGAAAAGAAAACAGGAAAAGGTTCTAGACTAGATCCTAGTCGAGTTCCAAAGGTACTGCTGCAGTCCCCGGCAACGGCGCCAAAAACTTGATGCGGAGTCAGGTTTTACCAAACTCCTAGACCTCTGCAAGTGCACAGATCGCGGAAGTATGGGTATCGAACACAAGGACTGGCTATTGAGTACACTTTGAAACTATGGATTTTGGATCAAGCTAAAACAAAAGTATGATTGAGGTTGTAATGGTGAACCGAACTAGCAAGTATAACGAGGTTGTAAACAATAAAGGAAAAGCGCTAGGTCATAGGGGCTATCGCAGAGAAGCAAGCAATGATCAATGAAACAATGATTGAATTGATTAGGGATATTGGGATATTAAGAACCATCTAGAACACAGATCACGAATATAAAACCATTCCACTTTCGAGGCTCCGGCTCCTTTGTTAATCTACCTAGTCGCTAAACTTTTGGTATGTCCCTAGGTGATTAAATCAAGCATTAGAATGAATAGGTTCTGATACAGTTCACTAGATATAGATAGATCAACTTTCGCAGTCTAAGAAACCTAGCTTGTCAAAGAATATGTCCGGCGAATGATACAGCACTGTCGAGGCTCAAATCAACCTAAGATCGGATTACTAGATGCGCGGTAAAGCAATCAGCATTAGTTAAGTGCACAAGACGAGACAAAGACTCTAATATAATCCCTAGCTAATCATTGAAATCAAAGATCATGCAAGCAACTCATTGAATAGTAACCCTAGCAACCTAACTAGTGGATTACTCAGACATGATCAAAGCAAACACACATAGAGATGAAGAAAACATGATTGCAATAAAACTTAGAGTAGGAAATCGAAATACAGGGCGGCTCTCTTTTCACAAGAGGCTAAAAAGCTATATATATAGTGCTAGGTCTTTTGAGGCGGCTTAGGGTTAAGCCGGGCTTGAAAATATGAAATCGGGCTTCAAAACGGGCTTCGGGTCGACCGCGGCGTTGGGACGGTCGGTCGGGACGATCGGCCGGACAGTCGGGTCGTGGCCGAGTCGGAACGGTCGTGGCCGGATGATTCACGGTCGGCCGGCGTGGTCGAGCGGATGAGATTTGGCCGATGAGGTTTCTCGGCCGGACGTGGGACGTTCTTTCCCGGCTCGGACGGATGCATCGGCCGTGGTACGCGAGGGTTGCGCGGCCGCGAGGCTTGTTTCCCGGCTCGCGCGGCTGGTCGTGCGCGGCTGGCGTGACGGTGTGCTTGGCCGACCGCGGGACAATGTTTCCCGGGTCGTGTTGCGTGATCGGCCGAGCGGTTTTGGACTTTGGCCGAGACTTCAGTCGGACGGACACTTTGGCCGAGCGCGGAACATCGTTCCTCGGCCAGCCGGACTGCGCGGTTTGGGCGCTGATTCTCGATAGAGCCGTCTGGACAGTCTTCACTCTTTTGGCTATAACTCCTTTTCTACTCATCCAAATAGGCCATTCCAGTTGCGTTGGAAAGTTAACTCAATCAGAGCACGCAGGGAACTGGTCTTGATGAAATCCATTGAGTAGATCTTTTTCTGGGCCCTCTTAAAGTTGGTGCTTGTGCATGGAGCGGCTTGAAGTGCAAATCCTATGGTTTTGCTCCAAAATGCATCATTTCACCTGTTTAGACTCTAGACACTATAAACACAGTAAAACTACCTTTTTAGATAGAAAACCTGCCAAAAACCATTAGAAAACAATGCTAAAACAGTATAAAAAGTGGGTAAATTAGAGGTATATCAATCTCTCAAAGAAAAAGGTTGAGCTTTAGTAGAATGCGAAGGGTAAAAATTAAGGATGATACAAGGCTAGACTCCCATCTACCCAAGACCAATTAAACACAATCCCCTGTTTCCCAAGAATCCTATCAACTCTTTTAGGTAAACCTTTTTTCTTTTCTCTGCTTTCAAGCCCTTAGGAGAGGTTTCTAAACTTCATCTAGCGGTTTGGGAGTTTTCTTTTATTTGGCTTTTTAAGCTCTTTTCTAAACTTGGCTTTTGCCTTTCTTTCTTCTCTTTTTCTAGCTAGAGCTTTACTTTCTTTCCCAAACCTTTACTAGAGAGCTACGCTTTCACAACTCTTCCCTCCTAAGAGACTCGGCTTAAAACTTTTCTTCCCCTTTTTAAGACTTTCTTTTGGAACTCTCTTTCTCTCTTCTTCCTTTTTAGAACTTCCCCAAGCCCCAAATGATGTTTCCCTCAAACTTAGTTCTAACTAGCTCAAAGGAACGAGCTCGAATCTACATGGAAGCCTAGACCTTGTCGGTAAAAACCCAACACCTTCTACCAAGCTCAACCAAAAAGGCCTCACACACTCAGAAATAGCAAATTGGTTTCAAAGAAGGTTTGGTTAAGGGTGGGGAAATCTACTTGGATTAACAAGAATGGTGAAAAGGGTGAAAGATAATCCAAGTATGTGTATGTATCCACGAGTTCTTAGCAAATGCACAAGGATGATAATTAGACATTCAAATTCAGGTTTTGATAGGCAGGATGAGAGATCAAATCACAACAATGCTTCAGCCAAATCTAGATATCAAAGAGTGCATTCAAAGTGTGGTTCTTTCTTAACTTTAAGCTCGCTCTATATGCACCAAATGATTCAAAACCGGATCATTGAAACCAATTCGAAAATCACAGCCTCTTATTTCTCATTGTCCTCAATGCAATTGAAATGATATGCATCTAGAATCAATCCTAAAATGCAATTGGATCGGTGGAAGACGTTGGAGGTGGCGATGCGCCTGTTTTCTCTTCCGCTTGCTTCTCCTTAACGCCAGCTCCACGGTTTTAGTTGGCGATGCGGCTTTTGTTGCTTTAGGTGACTTGCAAGATAGTTTCTCCTTGAGGACGTTAACCGTCTCGGTGAGCTTCTTGATCACCTCATCTTGTTTCTTGCACCACTTTTGAAGCATGCCAATGTGCTCGTGCGCCTTGATGATTGCCGGAGCGCTTCCACTCGCGTTGTAAGGGATTAAGTCAAACTCACCGAGCTTACTTGATCGTCTCTCCAAAGTTTCACCTTCTTCTCTCCCTTGTTCTTCCTCAACCGTTGCATCACCTCCATCCATAAACAGTTGGTCCGCAGTCGGGAGAAACAGGATTCCTTCCCGGGTGTTGGTGTTTGTGAGCTCAACGTTTGGTAATAGAACCTTTGAGATGCCGAATGTGGGATGCTCAAAGCGATACACATGCTTGCCGTCGTGCATTCCACGCAGGAACCAAGTCATGTTCAGATAGGCGAGGTCCATAAACGTAGGCGGGTGAGAAGGAGCAGGGAGCTTGACTTTCGTGGCAAGGAGGATTGAAGTGATCAGGCTGCCTATCACTAAGTGTGCCTCCTTGATCTTTCCTTGTTCATAGGACAGCTCAGCATTCCTCATGACGTGCATGAAGGATCTCACCATCACAACTGCTTTGCTTGTCTGCCTCAAGTCTCCTTTCATTTCTTCCCCATCATCCAGAGTTTCAAGCTTCTGGATTATGCCGGCGTCGAGCAGCTCAAGTTCTTGCGTTGTGACGTTTGAGCAGTCATGCCTTGCAAAGAGAGTATTGGCGATCTCCTTATGAGCGTAGCGTATGGCCGGGTTCTTGATGTGACCGCTCTTGTTCTTGGAGATCTGATAGGACCTGGAGCTTATCATCCTCCAAAGGGCATGGAGTTCTGTTGCTGGCACACACATCTCTGTGTCAAGCCCCCGGTTCTCTTCGAACTTGTAAATTGTCTCCAGCTCCAACATGCTGAACAGATACTCTTGTCCCAGAAGCGTGAAGGTGATGTATCCGATCCCATCTCTCTTGAGCTCAGCGGCTGCTTCTTGGGGATGCTTCTTGAGCTTCAAGGACGCGAGGAACTCAATCGCCGGTTCTCTGTACGCCGGAAGGGCTAGCTTCGTGAACTCTCCGAGCTCGGTGTAGTAGAGGATATCATTTACATCCTCCTCTATTCCCAGTTCCTTGATGGTTTCCGGATGTGGGTAACGCATCGACATGAACTGCATTCTCCTTAAGATACGGATGCGTTCCTGGACCCCATAAGGTCTCGGGATCATTGAGTCGTCCATTTCTTGCCCAGCAGTCTCTGGCCACTTCGGAGCTGATTCCTTAACTGCCCCTTTCTTCCTCTTTCCACTATACTCCACCTTCTTCTTCCCCTCGCGCTTTTCTTCTCTTGCCCTCTCCACATCCTCGCTTTGAACTGGCTTATTGGTGAACTTCGTTTTTGCCATTGTACCTGAGAGACAAACAATCCTCACAAGACAATTAGCCTCTGTTTTTAGAACGACCAAAAGCGAGAAATCTAAGTCAAAGTCTCGGTTTAAACCAAAATTCGATTTGTGCGATTAAGAACAAACTAAAAACTTTTAAACTCCACCGCTACAAGTTCATGTGTAAGGAAGTTTTAAAAACATGCCGTGAATTCCGAGATTTTTAGCTAGAGAAGCTCAAGAACACTTTGAATGTTAAATCTCGAAACTCACTTCCTAGCACGAAGTTTCCCACATGCAAGCTCGAATTCGATCTACCGTAGTCTCAATTAAGCCGGATCTACTCTAGAATGGAAACAATTAGGTTTCTCTTGTGGATAAAAAAAACGCAAGTGAAAGAGTAAAAACGAAGATCGAATACCTTGATTGGACTGTCAGACTTAGATGAAACGAGCTAAACTTGACTGAGCGGCGGATTGAAAGAGTTTCAAGCTTTGAAATTCGAATTTTTGTTGAGAAACGGAGAAATCCGAGATTTGTGTGAAGAAAATCGGGAGAAAGTCTTTTGAAGTAGAAGAAACCCAAATTTTAAAATAAAAGGAGAAAGGGTTTCCTCGGGTTTTTAAATTCAAAAAGAAACGGGTCACTTACTGATGCGGGTTGTCAAGCGATTTGGAACCTGATTGACAACCCGATTGCTTTTAATTTTACCCGGTTTGGCTGAGAGTAGAGGCAAAGGAGTTGTAAGCTTAGGCAGTTGGTCTTTCGCACTGGGACATGCAATGTCCCTGATAAAACTGCCTATTTCCAACTCCTCTACTTACTCTCAGCTCTCCTCTTGCTCCATCCTACAAAACATATTAGACAAAAACAAAAACTAGAAAGAAAAAGAACAAGTACTATTGACAAAAGGATAGGCATGGGATTTCCTCCCAAGTGAGCTTGTTTTGAGTCTCGTAGCTTGACTTTTATCACCTTTTTAGGCTTGGGGTGGGTCATGGAGACGGATTGAGCTTCCCTCTCCAATGCTTTGACTCCCCATGTACTTCTTCAACCGGTGACCGTTAACCGTGAACTCGGCTCCATTGTTGTTCACTAAGGTGATGGCTCCATAAGGCAACACCTCTTTGACCTTGAATGGTCCTGACCAGCGACACTTCAGCTTCCCAGGGAAGAGCTTGAGCCTTGAGTTGTACAGGAGCACATCATCTCCTTCTTTGAAAACCTTTGAAGTGATTCTCTTGTCATGGAAGGCCTTAGTTCTCTCCTTGTATATTCTCGAACTCTCACAGGCATCCAAGCGAATCTCCTCCAGTTCGTGGAGATCCATTTCCCGCTTCTCTTGAGCTGTACTTAGCTCTATGTTCAGGATTTTGATTGCCCATCTAGCTCTATATTCCAACTCAAGGGGCAAATGGCAAGACTTCCCATAGATCAAAGAGTACGGAGATCTCCCAATTGGCGTTTTGTAAGCAGTTCTATAAGCCCACAAAGCATCATCCAATTTCTCTGACCAGTCCTTCCTTGACGAGTTCACTGTCTTGTGGAGTATGGCTTTGATTTGCTTGTTAGATACCTCCACTTGACCACTAGTTTGAGGTTGGTATGGTGTAGCTATCTTGTGCTTTACACCATATTTCTTCAAAAGGTTCTCAAACACCTTGTTCACAAAGTGAGTTCCTCCATCACTGATCACACATCTTGGGACCCCAAACCTTGGGAAAATGATAGTCTTGAACAACTTGAGGACTACTTTGGCATCGTTGGTGGGTGCGGCTATGGCTTCAACCCATTTTGAGACATAGTCGATGGCGACAAGTATGTAAACGTTGCCATGAGAGGCAGGGTTAAATGGGCCAACAAAATCTATTCCCCACACGTCAAATACCTCAACTTCCAGGATAGGATTCTGAGGCATCTCGTTCCTCGCCATGATGTTCCCTGCCTTTTGACAGGCCTCACACTTAGAGATGAAAGCATGAGAATCTTTGAACATACTCGGCCACCAAAAGCCTGCTTGTAACACCTTCTGGACCGTTTTAAAAACCGCAAAGTGGCCTCCATAACTTGACCCGTGGCAATGGAACAAAATTCCCTCAGTCTCTTCTTTAGCCACACATCTTCTGAACAAGCTGTCGTTTCCTTTTCTGAACAAATAGGGCTCATCCCAATAGTAGTGAACCACATCTTTGAAGAACTTCTTTCTCTGGTACCCACTCCATCCACTTGGAACTTCTCTGCACACCAAGTAGTTTACAAAGTCTGCGTACCACGGAACCTCCTCTCCTCTTGCTATTCACGCCTCTTCCAGCCGGCATTTGGTTAAATAACCTCTATCCACGATCTTAGCGGCCATAAGTTGCTCCTCAGGCAAAGAGTCATCGATGGGAACATCTCCCTCAACTCTTAACCTTGATAGATGATCGGCCACGCTATTCTCGGTGCCTTTCTTGTCGACGATCTCGATATTGAACTCTTGAAGCAAGAGAACCCATCTAATCAGCCTCGGTTTCGCATCTTTCTTGGTGTAGAGATACTTGAGAGCTGCGTGGTCGGTGTGAACTATGACCTTTGAGCCCACAATGTAGCTCCTGAACTTGTCAAAAGCAAACACCACGGCTAGTAATTCCTTCTCGGTTGTCGTGTAACGGGTTTGAGCATCGTCAAGCGTTCTGCTTGCGTAGTAGATGACGTTCATCTTCTTATCCACTTTGTGACCAAGTACAGCTCCAACTGCAAAGTCCAAGGCATCACACATGATCTCGAAAGGCAAGTCCCAATTAGGAGCTTGGACAATTGGTGCGCTAACAAGGGCTTCCTTGATCTTCAAGAAAGCTTGGCTACACTCTTGATCAAAGATAAACTCTGTTTCTTTGCATAAGAGTCTTGTGAGTGGCCTTGCTATCTTAGAAAAATCTTTGATGAACCGCCTGTAGAAACCCGCATGTCCCAAGAAGCTTCTCACATCCTTAACTGATTTTGGCTCCCCAAGTTGTACCATTCTATCTTTTCCTTGTCCACTTCAATGCCTTTCTCTGAGATTTTGTGGCCAAGGACTATCCCCTCTTTCACCATNTAAACCCTAAACCCTAAACCCTAAACCCTAAACCCTAAACCCTAAACCCTAAACCCTAAACCCTAAACCCTAAACCCTAAACCCTAAACCCTAAACCCTAAACCCTAAACCCTAAACCCTAAACCCTAAACCCTAAACCCTAAACCCTAAACCCTAAACCCTAAACCCTAAACCCTAAACCCTAAACCCTAAACCCTAAACCCTAAACCCTAAACCCTAAACCCTAAACCCTAAACCCTAAACCCTAAACCCTAAACCCTAAACCCTAAACCCTAAACCCTAAACCCTAAACCCTAAACCCTAAACCCTAAACCCTAAACCCTAAACCCTAAACCCTAAACCCTAAACCCTAAACCCTAAACCCTAAACCCTAAACCCTAAACCCTAAACCCTAAACCCTAAACCCTAAACCCTAAACCCTAAACCCTAAACCCTAAACCCTAAACCCTAAACCCTAAACCCTAAACCCTAAACCCTAAACCCTAAACCCTAAACCCTAAACCCTAAACCCTAAACCCTAAACCCTAAACCCTAAACCCTAAACCCTAAACCCTAAACCCTAAACCCTAAACCCTAAACCCTAAACCCTAAACCCTAAACCCTAAACCCTAAACCCTAAACCCTAAACCCTAAACCCTAAACCCTAAACCCTAAACCCTAAACCCTAAACCCTAAACCCTAAACCCTAAACCCTAAACCCTAAACCCTAAACCCTAAACCCTAAACCCTAAACCCTAAACCCTAAACCCTAAACCCTAAACCCTAAACCCTAAACCCTAAACCCTAAACCCTAAACCCTAAACCCTAAACCCTAAACCCTAAACCCTAAACCCTAAACCCTAAACCCTAAACCCTAAACCCTAAACCCTAAACCCTTTTGCCTTTGGTTGAGTTGTGCCTCAACCTTTTCACAGCGGAGATCGTTCCAGAGGAAACGAACCTGGTTCTGTACACGTTCCCAAACGCTCCTCTTCCGATGACTCTGCTCGAGACTCGAGTGAAACCCTTTCGTAGCTGCGTAAAGCTCTCTGTAGCTAAACTCTCTTAGCCCAGTGATTTGCTGTGTCTTGAGCTCCTTGTTTGCCTTGACGATTTTCCATTTCTTCAAGGTTTTGTTATCCAAAGCACCCCAAACAAGCATTGCGTTGGTCCTGTAGCAGCTCTAGTTGCTCTGCAATTGCTGTTACCGTGCAACAATCTCCCGACATAATACCAATTCTCCAACCTATTGTAGAAACTGAGACAAACTTGCTGCAGTGGCTTGTGCTTTCAACAATGCCAGACAGAAAAGTGGACTCTCTGTGCCACACTTTCCGAGTGAATCAAGAGAAGGTTCAGTGTCAAGATGTCCAATCTCTTTTGTACACATATCCTCTGTTTAGACTTGAACAACCAATTCACTGAAAACTTTATTTTCTCCTGACGTAGGTCTGCATTCTGTCTCTGAAACAGCCCAGCGACAACATTCATTAAAACTTCCTGTTTATGACGAGAACAATGCAGAAAATATTTCCTTTCAGCATGCTTATTCAGGTGCACATGCTTCCTCCATAATCGAAGTGTTTTACTTCTCCACTTGTGCTTCATTTGGAACTTTCCATTACCACACATAAACTGTTTAAAAACCGCACTGCTTGACCTGAGAATTCTTCTTTCAACGAGTTCATGTTCATGTCGTCGCATGACTTTGTTGATGTCTCCTCTGTTTGAATTCAAACCTCCAGGATTTTAAACACTTCATGTGCTTCTTCTTAGATGTTGATTCTTCAACAGGGAAAACGTATGGTTGCTCTTTTTAATGAGCCACAACCAATCCATCGCAACACAAAGCTGAGAACAAATCATCAACAACAAGGCCAGAACATGACTGCAAATTCTCCTTTCCACGATACGTCTGCAATATCCTCATAGCTTGTATTCTCAACTTTCTGAAGTTGCAAAACAAAATCTGGTGTTACTTTGGAGACAGTTTTGTCTTGCAACTCTATATCAGGCACCTCAAAAGTTACAAGCGAATCTGCTTTTTGCTGTACTTCTTGTTCTGGTTCTGATGCACCATCTGTTGATGAACTTGAAACAAAATATCTGACTTCCTTTGAGATGACTTAGAAAAAGCTCCAGTTCTAGATCAAGTGAATCTATGTGCTTCCTTCTGTTGAACCGGAGAATCCTACATACATCGAACCGTTTAAGAAAGGAGAAAGATCGATGTTTGCAGATAAAAGAGGCTTTTCTGGCTTCTTGGCAATTGGATCTGTGTAACTCAAGAACACGTTCAATAAACGCAAATCGTTCTTGTAATCGATCCAGGCAGTGATCGATTTCCCAGATTTCAGATCAATTTGAGACGAAACGGATGGATCCGAGGTCGCGATTGAGTTTAAACTGTCGCCGACGTGATTTCCGCTCGGGTCGTTGAAAGGAGGATCCAATTTGTTGTCGACGAAGCGATTCTTCATCGGCTGAGAGGAATTGACGAGAACCAGGTAGGGAATTCCAAGAGTATCGTCGTCGTGGGAGAGGAAGAAAGAGAGCCCGTCGCCGGAGGAATCTGGGTTCACATTTTGGACGGAGAAGGAGAATTGTGTGAAGAAAGACGCCGTGGTGTTCGAATCCGGATCGTAGAAACGGATCGGTGTGTTGTAGATGACCGTGCCGGAGCTCGTATCGGGAACGCCGAGCTCTCTCGTGAGTCCGACAACGCCGTTTCGGAGATGGGAATCGTGAAGGATTTAAATGACAAATTGACATTATCGGCAGATACGAAGGTTGGTTTCGCCATGGAAAGAGATATCCATGCGAAGAAGAGAACAAGAAGCGCTTTCTTGAAGGAGACATGAGAGAAAACAGAGGAGAGAGAGAGAGAGATAGAGAGAGAGAGTTTGGTTACTTTGGTGGGAAGATAAGTTCGAATTGATATGAAGAAGGAAAGGGTATAATTAAAAATTTAGATGGTGTGTAGGAAGGAAAGATATACAACGTCCTTCTTGGGATCGTTCAAATGTGAAAGAGCCGGACGAGCGCCGCGTGTCAGTTTCCATTGATGAAAGTTGATAAAATATGTTGAATTTGAACATCACGATAATATAACCTTTTGTGATTCGATTGAGATCGTTGTTATATATATACGACGAATACCAAGACACATAACTAGGAGTGGCAAGTTGCTAAGTCAAACTGGGAATGTGGTCAGATATGTAGGTAAGAGTAGGCTGGGCATTCAGATATGGTTCTTGTCGATTCTTTCGAGTTGCGGTTATTCTAGTAAACAGGTTTAGGATACATATAGGAACCTAAAACAAATTTGGTTCGGGTTATAAAACTATGTAGTCATAAACGGAATAAATTGTTTAAAGTAGATACAAGATAAAAAGGCACACATTCATTCAGAATAATCATCCTCGTTACCATCACTATACTGACTGGCATCTTGTTCCGGCTCGTGTTTCCAAGATCTACCAAGGCCTTCTTCGTCCTCTAACCTTCTCATCTTGGAGCTCGAAGCACCAACCCTAGAATTCGAATAAACCTACATCCAAAGTCCAAAGAAATTGGCAATAGAAGCTTTTTATGTTACTCGTCTACAGGCTAAACGTATGAGTTTTACTATACCCCTGAATCTTTATGTTCTATCACTGACACAGTCGATCTGCGCCTTATAGTCACCCTTGAAGGTACCGGAAAGTGTTCAATCTCATCAGATCTTCCTTCCCTGGCCCTTCTTTTCCTCAAGTTGAGCTTTGTGTGTAGGGGCTGCCACATGCTAAAGGGTCATCCCATGGTGGAAACTGGAATATATAACAAAAACAGATGCAGCTACAGAGTTTAGGCAATACCAGATAGCTAGCAGTCCCATCGTCGAACGATACCAGGAACATGCCACGATCAGTTTCCTCGCCACCTACCTGTTATAATATGAGGTAGCATATTTATTTCGATTTGCAAACCCAAATAATCAAAAAATTGATGGGCTAAGGTACGTACAAGCCAGTTGTATTCGCGAACCCAAGTGTAAGAGATATCCTCGTTTTCATCATGCCTATCCTTAGACAACTGGCACAGCATCATAAACAAATTGATATCAATTAAATTTTGACTCTTTTTCTTCACTTGTCAAGACTTGTTTACACAGAGGAGGAAGCATGTCTACCTCACCCAAGGAAGGAACCATGTACGCTAGAAATTTTTCTGAATTCCCAGTGTCTGATCCACCCACTACATAGCTTTTCAGAATGGCCTGTGAAGGATGAAAAAGAAAGAAAGAAAAAGGGTTAATTTATGTGATAATTCTATGAAAGCTACGCCAAGGCAATCAACAAATGTTTAGCACTCAGCTCCATAATTTATATCCCATCCTAATTCGACAACTTATCTACGCAACGAAAGTGATATGGCTTTCACGTTCACTTCATCAAACAAATTATTCCTCTGTTAGAGAAAAGAGATTATTGGACCATGCTGACGGATATTCGACAACACAAACTCACCCGTGACTCATATTCATCACGAATTGAAGGGTTCAGCTTGCCAAAGGATTCAGAATCAGCTGTAGGAGTATCAATATTCGCTACCACAAAATGCTCATCGTACCTGAGTCGAAAATTGAAAGGAAGAGTCAAACAGATTAGCATATGCTACGAGTTCAGTGATAACTATTAGCAAAGAAACATTGTAACAATACATTGAGCAGGGAAAAAGGGAAAAATCAGGGCCAACATCCCTCTCAAGTACTCTCAAGTTAGACCTCAACAAGGCTAGCTTCCCCATCCATTGATTACACTATTATATAGGAACTGGAGGACTATACACATGTGTACCATAACAGATGATCGTTCACAGAATGCCAACGTAGAGATAAACTCATAAGTGTCACCTAGTTATTTACTAATGCAGCAAGAGCCGCTTTACAAGTGCCTAATGGCAGAGCTATTATGAGTAAATATGTCTGAAAGGGAAAATAAGGAGATCCAACCTATCAAAATGTGGCAATAGTGGTAAAATCTCGACTGGCTGCAAGTTTTTATTGGTAGCATGAACTGGTCGAGATTTGCAGGCCTCGAAGGACGCTTCAATATCCTTGATCTGTCTCTCCCTAGAGACCAAGAAACAGAAACCATTATACGATATTTGTTTAGTGTTTTCACTTTCTTCAGGAAAAACACAAATTTGAGAAACATCACACCGATTGTTAAGATTTTGCAGGATGTTGATGCCTCCTTTCATCTCTCGCAGTTCCTTTGCTTGTTTCTCAGTTAGAGACTACACATGGAGAACGTAGAAGGTTTGGTACTGTGTTTACAAGCTATGCATCACACAAAAAAAGTTTCCAATTGATACCTGTCTAGCCGATTCATTGTTAATGGAAGAAATGTATTGTGTTTTCACGAGCCAGGAAACACCTTTATCAGTTGGTCGTTCTTTTCTCCTGATGCCATCTTTCTTAATAGGTGTAACAGCATCATCATCACGCAACAGTTCTTCATCTTCAGGGGCAAGAGGCACCTTGAATTTGGGTGGGCTGAAAAAGCGATACGACAATAAGTATCCCAGTAGATGAGCTCGAGCTCGAGACAATGTATCATGTTTGAGAGATCATACTTGTATACACTTAGGTCAAGCAGGTCCAAGGGTATTCCAAGATCAGGCTCGACAAAGATTTTTGGTTTCCATAACTTCTCCAGCGATGTGATGGTATAATCTGTATATCTAGTGGGATAAAATGGCAGAATCAGATACAAGAAGACGAAGAAGAAGGAAAGGTGAATCACACAGGGCAGATAAAATACATACTGATCTTTATCTCGCTTAATGGTCATAAGCTTAAGCTGCGCAGTTGGGTCAGGAAGCTCATTCCGGAACCTTGAAGTAACCAATCAGCCAATATGCAAAATCAATCAGCCAATATGCAACTGAAAGTGAAAAGAGCAAGAGAGAAAGAAAGAAAGGGGGCAAGGAAACTGACTTGAGCTTGCAGATGAAGGTGGTTGGTTTCTTTAACCTATTCTCGACCCTGTCGGTGGTGAGTAGAGGCGTAGGCTTCCTCTCCTCCGCGCGAGATCCAACGACGGAGGTGTGTCCCTTGGGCATCTGAGACTTGTGAGAACTTTTCATCTGCTGTCTAAGCTTCTCTTCGTGCCTTTGTTTCTCAAGCTCCCTCTTCTTCCTAAGCCTCCTCTCTTCTTCGGTCTCGACTTTGACACCGGGATCCCTAATATGAGGCCTGTGGTGCTTCGATGGAACTCCGTGCGCACGCTCCCGTCTTGCAGGTGCAGAAATCGGCTTCGAGGCCCCTTTGTCGCGGTCATTGTGCGCTTGGTTTCGGGGAGGAGGATCGGGTACGAGAGGAGGAGGAGCTGAGGGTGGAGGGGGTGGAGGAGGAGGAGGAGGAGAAGCGGGAGGAGGAAGCGGAGGAGCTTGATGCTGGTTAAATTGCTGAGGATAGTGGGACGGCTGCTGATAGTAAGCATGAGGCGGCGGAGGATAAGAGTAAGGTTGATGCGACGGCGGAGGGGGAGGAACTGGAGGGGGTAACGACGGCGGAGGGGGCGGCGGGGGTAAGGGATTTTGAGACGGCGGTGGAGGAGGATGCGGTGGCCGATACGACGCCATTCTCTCTGATCGGATTAGAGGAGATTATTCCGATAAAGATTTAGATTTACACAGACTGACTTTTCATGGATGGGCCCATAAACTCAAGTGCTGGGCCAATAAACTCATATGGGCTTAAATTACAAACAAACAAAAACAGTCTCGTTTTACAAGAACACAGAACAGAATATTTTTCTACAAGAATCATTAGTTTAATCATTAGCTTATAATATACAAGTTACAAAAAAGGATTATGTACTATACAATATCGAACCAAGGACTCGACAATCTCAATCCAAAAGATAAAACTAGAGACACCGACGTCCGATGCCGGACCAAGTCAAAGTCATGAATAATATAAGTCTTACCTTATGACTATGAGATTGAGAGAGACTTGACAAATCACATTCACAAGCCGAAGATGTTATGGTCACTAGCACCGAAAATAGCACCGCCAAACTGCCTGGTGTTCAAGTGGTCTCCTCCACCATCAAGGGCGGACCCAAACCGGTCGAGCCACTGGGCAGGGCTGGGGTTCTCTGGCTCTTCGACCCACTCTGACATCATGTCAATGTCCTCCAGGGCAATGGGGTCAGTCTCCAAGGTTATCACCCTCCCTAACTTGAGATTCTGATTCACGTACGCCAAGTTGTTGAGCGTTTCTCTCTCAATCTTGTTTCGCCTTTCCCAGTGCATGTGCTGGAATGTGCTCCATTGGCGTTCCAAGCTGTAACCGCTGCAAACTTGACTCAGGATCCTGATTGCCACGCGCTGCAACACGGGTGCTGAGTCACCAAACTGCTCCCACCAGAGACCTGCATTACTTTTTACACAAGACATCATCCGACCATAACCCTAAAGGCTAAAGGCTAAAGCTAGCTTGTTGATGGAATATACAGTATGTAACAGGCTATATCCATCTCAACTAATTTACTGCAGTCACACGCTACACAGAAACGTGGATAGTTTTTACCGACTCAGAATATCTCCCTTGAATTTAAAACAACATGTATTGTCCGTACCTGGCGATACTGTTTCCCTCGCCTCCATTGCCAGATTACACCCGAACATTCCTTTGGCCCTAGTGAAAGTGAATATCTGATTTGTAATGTCACGCCGTAGATCGCTAGTGGGAAGAAGTTTCTCCAACACCTTGAAAAAATCTTCTTTCAAAGAAGCGAGGAACTTGATCTCGGGGTTGTACTGAATACTGGGGTTCAAGAAGGCAGCTGCTGCGTGAAGAGGTGAATGCAAATGGTCACACCACTTGGAATCAACGATGTCAGAAAAGACCTTGTGCTTATTCTCATCCATGATGTAATATGTCCGTATTGACTCCTTGGCCCTCCACATTAACTCGTATATACATCCTACGGCAGGCTTTCCGCCAGAAACTTCCCTCAACACTTTGAGGATAGGCTCAGAAATAGCCACACTTTCTTCCACAGCCCTCCAAAAATCATTATCCTCGAGGATACCCACGCATGACATGCTCTGTGGTTTATTGGCATGTGTAGAAGAATACTCTGGGCTATTAAACATTTGTTTTAGCCTTGCTTTTTGCTTCATCATTGACTGTAATGATAGAAAACTGGAGACAGATGTTGAGACGCCGCTCCTGATTATGTCTTGCCCACCAGTTACCTTCTTCATCAAATCTAGCACGGAGCTACTGTTGTACACGAACCTAGTTATCACCTGCGCTTGCAGTATACACTGGTTGACCCAGTCTACCTTGGAGAAATCTTCTAGGATCATGTTCAAACACTGAGATGCACAAGGGGACACGAAAAGGCTTCCATAGTTTTGCAAGATATGGTTTGAGACACCTGTGTAGCTGAAGCTGTTGTCCATAATGATTTGCACTATATGTTCTTGCCCAATATCTTGAATGATGGAATCAAACAAATCAGCAAGGGATTTGGTGTTCTTGAAATAGGAGGAGGCGTCCACAGACTTGAGAAAGGAGGTTCTGGAAGGTGAAGAGACGAAGAAGTTGATAAGTGCTCGAGATTTGTTGTCTGTCCATGCCTCTGCGACGACAGTAGAGCCCGTGGTGGGCCACTCCTTTTCAACATGCTTCAATTGTAAAGTGATTTCTGATTTGAGACTGTCCAGCAACTCAGCCTTGAGAGACGCGGCGGAAGGAGGGACAAATCCAGGACAGCACTTTGCAATGGCATCGGCCATTTGGTGATAAGAGGAGGAGCGGGCAACACCAAAGTCAATCTTGTTCTCAAAGAAGAAGAGAGAAATGCTCCTCTCCGCGATCTCATGAGCACTGGGGGAAGAGGAGGGTGCCGGAACAAGGAAACTAGGAAAGAGCCTGGAAGCAGAAGACACTGCGTCTTTAGTTTCTGGAGGAGGAGGAGGAGGAGGAGGAGGAGGAGGGGTCTTGAAGGTGATTGGGGATTCTTTAGCATCGTCCTTGGCAGACAATAAGGAACGGACTCTATCGGTGACATCGTCCCTAACCTTGGCGCATGGATTAACACCTTTACTCGGAAGGCGAGAGAGATGATGCTTCAACCTGCTGATGCCGCCATTCAGAACTCGGGAGCAAAACTTGCATCTCACCTTGTTACCATCTAATTTCTCCGCGTATTCCCAGCATATATCCTTTTCTCGTACCACTGATGATTCAAATTCCAGTTCCAGTTTAGTTTTCTCTTCCATTTAGATGCAATCTCAATCTCAATCTCAATCTCAATCTCAGGAAAATGGAGCTACTTACTTAATTACTGCTGATAATGTTCTTCGTCAGCTTCCACCTGCCCAAAACACACACACAGGCACAGCTCAGTGAGATTGCCGTCGATGAATGAAAATAAGAAAACACTGAAATCCATATTTCTAAATCTCCTCGCCGGCAAATGACGGAAACCGATCGCAAAGATATTTATCGGCAAACCAAGTCATCCCAAGCTAACAAGTAGTAACCAAGAGAATTTCCGAGGAGAAGAGAAATTGGGTGCTTACAGAGTGAAAGATTCGGGAGAGATTCGATTCTTCTCGCAGAAACCACCTTCTGAGAATTCAGCTTAATTTTTCGCGATATTTTGCTCTCTCTCTGTGTGTGAGAGGTGGTTTTTTCTATTTTTCCTTATCTTTCCTTTAATCTTCTCCTAAATTATCAATACGTATATCGTTTCACACTTTCTTTACTCTATTTTCGTTTGTCTCATAGGTTTTTCAATATACTTAACCGGGTATATTAAGAAGAAAGATTAAACAACACGATCAATATTATGTCGCAAGAAGACAATCACTACAAATTTCGTAGCCAAAATTAACAAAGAACCAAAAAAAACTCCCCGTAACATACACTAGTACGCAGCAATTTTGGTAGTTTATTCGGAATTAAAAAGGAAAGAAAAACACAAGAGAAAGAAACAGTGATTACAAGACAGATTTTGAAGATGGTAGGAAAGAGGAAAGTGAGAGAATAGGAGAGAAGAGAAAGAAAATGAGAAATGAGAAAGAGAGAGTAAAGGTTATTTATCCTCAGCGGTAGCTACGATAAGAAGGGCTGTACATGCTGCTCTCAGCACACTGCTCAAGCTCCTTGGGCTGAGGCAACCTCGTGGCCAAACCTACAAATGTGATATACATATAGATTTAGGCAACACGAGACATTTAGGCAAAAGGGAGTAAGGAGCAAAGTGGCACTACTTACCGAGTTCATAGGCCTTGGCAGCCACCCTGGCTGCAATGCGAGCCGAGATTTTTCTGATATTCCTGAAGGGAGGGAATATCATGCCCTTCTCATAGTGCTCCTCCATCAGTTGCTCAGCCAAAGCTTCTGATGCCGCCAGAAGCATGTCATCATGAACGCGAATCGTCCCTGACATTATTAGCCCCAGTCCAAACCCTGGGAAGATGTATGCATTGTTTGCCTGTCCACACAAGCATCACAATCAACTCTCTTAAATCACACTTGTCCACATGTCTTTCCTATAGCTTTTGTCACTACCTGTCCAGGCACAAATGTCTTTCCCTCGTACTCTACTGCCGCAAATGGGCTTCCACTTGCAAAGATTGCCCGTCCCTGTGAATCAAAAAGCATCACTTTCGATCTTCCACTTCTCTCTCATCAATGATAATATAACAATCTTATTTCGTTTACCTCACTCCACCTATAGGCCTCTTCTGCCGTACATTCTGACTGAGAAGTTGGGTTTGAAAGAGCAAGAATTATGGGTTTCTGTATGCACCAACAGGTTTTAACGTTATTTTCAGGCCCAGACAAAGTGCATATTACAGACAGATATGCTTCTTTCTTTTTCATGCAAGTTTATGCACAAACAATATACCTCGTTTAGCTTTGCCATGGTTTCCACCACTTCTTGAGTGAATGTTTGACCTACTCCCGATGTTCCAATCAGAACTGTCGGCTTGATTGCCTGAATGATAAAATCAAAAGTACAAGTGGTTCAGCTTCGACGCTGAGAAATAAAAACCGCGTGATATCTTGTGCATCAGAACAACGACCGACACACCTTGACGGCATCAACAAGATCCTTTATCGGTTCATGGTCATGAGCCCAGGGCTTTTTAAAATGCTGAATGGATTCTTTCCGGGAACTGACAATCAAACCCTGCATAGATTAAAATGTGTGCTTAGATTCCAATACACGCAAAATAAAGACGAATCCACAACATGGTATAAATTACCTTAGAATCCACAAGCCATATATTCTTCCGAGCCTCTTCCAATGGAATCTGGGTCTACAGTCACCAACATATATTTCATATAAGACACTTAGCAGCTTAATAAAGCAAATGCACACAATCATATAGCTTACCTTCTTTGATATCTCAAGAGCAATTAGTTCAGCTATTCCAGTGCCAGCCTGCATCACAGAAGATATGTAAAACCATGTAACAAGCCTGCAGATATCATAGGGAATGGATTTCACAGCCAAAAAGGCCCAACCCTTACCTCTCCAGCACCAAGGAAGAGGAATCTGTGGTTTGACAAGGATCCTCCAACAAATCTAAGAGCAGCGATTAGTCCCGCAAGCACAACTGATGCCGTGCCCTACATATGAAATCACAGTTGCGCAACTTGGTACATAAGTACTCCACAGCCGAAATTACCTCGTGTATCACAGGAAATCAGGATATACCTGAATATCGTCATTGAAAACAAGATGTGTTGCACCATACTTAGCTAGCAGGTCAAAAGCATTATGGTTGGCAAAGTCTTCAAACTGCAATTATTCAAAGGAAAAAATGTCAGGAAAGTCTAGAAGATGTAAACAGTAGATTCGTGTACACTTATCCATGTGTGAGGCTAACCTGAATAACGACTTTTTCCCCATAGTTCTGCTTGACGGCAGTCATGAATTCATGCATGAGTTCGGAGTATTCCTGTTGTAAGAAGAGTATCAAGGGTTGAGTTTTTCAGTCTCATCCGACTGTGGAAGGTGCAATGTGCCAATTACCTCTCCTGTAGCTCTCCTTTGGCGGAGCCCTATGTAGAACTCATCGTTCAAAAGCTTTTCATTGTTTGTTCCAACATCAATAGTTACGGGCAGACACTGATGACCAATATACAGTATAGAGAGAGAGATGAGAGAATGTGGTTGAATGCGGTAAAGCTGATATGCTCAAAACTATACTTACAGCAGATGGCCGGACACCTCCAAGGGCTGTATACAGAGAAAGCTTCCCAACTGGTATTCCCATTCCCTGAAGGACAGTAATGATAGCATGTAATGATGCAGGTTAGTACCAGAAACACAAGGCACACGAAGTTGCTATTGCAGGATAGCGGAAACGAATGAAACAACTTGCCTGACATCCAAGATCCCCTAGCCCTAAAATGCGCTCCCCATCGGTGACAACAATGACCTGGATGTTCTTTTCAGGCCAGTTCCTGAGCACCTCAAGAATCTTACCTCTAAGAAAGGAAAATGTGTAATCGGTTAGTAGATGAGCAAGAGAAGAGTGAGAGTAGTACTAGTAGTGAATGGAAAAGACTCACTTTTCTTTCAAGCTGATAAAAAGCCCCTGTGGACGCAGGAAAATGCTACCATACTTCTGGCAGGCTTCCCCAACCGTGGGAGTATAGACAACTGGTAGCAACTCTTCCACATGATCAATGAGCAGCTTGTAAAACAACCTCTCGTTGGTCTCCTGAGATACTAAAGCATTATGAGAGAAAAGCTCGGTAACAAAGCCAGTTGGTATTGTTGAGATAGCGAGAAATACCTGGAGATCCATCATACACATATACCTCTGCAAGGGAACTTGATACTGACGAAGAGTGTGCATCATTTTTTTAACCTGTTAACAAAGCGTGCAGTAAAATGAATCAAAATCAAGAGAGTCACAAATTCCCCAACTGAACCATATGAAAAGCCAGGCGAGGCGAGGACGGGAAACCTGGAGATCCTGGGAGATAACAGTGGGGGGGAGGAGGCCGCGTAGATAGTGAGCGTCACGCTCTCGGTGGCTGAAGGCAAGCCCCTTGTTGTGATGCGGATCACGCAGCAAGGTGTACCCGCTGGCGACAGAAAGAGACCAAGGAGTGATAGGCATGTCCTCGGTGGCAGCGTCCTCGCCGTACACATCCTGGACTCCACCAGATACGGTGGATTTGGGAACAACAATGTCGGCGGAGGTCTCGAGGGAGGAGGATGAAGTCTCAATCAAAACGCTGCCGTTGGGATCCCGGCTAGATCCGAGAGTGGACAAGACTCTGAAGAAAGCAGGAGAGCTTCTAGCTCTAGGCTGGCGCAGAGAGAGGTGGGTGGAACATCCAGGAACACCCGTCTTGTTCTGCGAAACAAAAGCAATTAAAGAGACATTCACAATTTGACATTGACATTGACATTGACGAATGGATGTAGAAGAAGAATGGAGAAAGATACCAGAAACGAGGAGGCACTGAGAGAGATCATCTCGCCTGTGGATGCCTTGTTTCTTAGAAGACGGAGGAGGAAGGAGATGGAGATAGTCTTCTTCACCGTTACTGTGACCGGGAAGTCTCGCTCGACAGCTGAGCCTCTCTTCCTCTTCCTTCTCTCTCTCTCTCTCTCTCTCTCTCCCTCGGATCAATGTCTATCTCCCTCGCACGCTCTCTAAATCTGGGAGGAGCTTCGGAAATGGCACAGAACCTCCATGGACAGTGTTGACGTGTCTTTCTTTTTATCTCTTCCAAATTGCGTCTCCACTCCTTCTTTTTTCACTAATTACTCCCCAACGGTCCCTGTGTTGGTGCGCTTTTGTAATTTTTAACCCATAAAATCAAAAGAAATCACTTTTTCCCTGACTGTGACAGATGACACACCTCTTTTCGTGACGGAAGGGATTAGATAGAGACAATTTTCCAAAACTGCCCATCAATGTAGATAGATGTAGTTGGTTTGGAATTCCCCATATTATTTTTGTATTTAATGTGAACAAAAGTTTCCTCCAATATGGACTTGACTTAATTTGTGTCACACGCGATGACACGATGTCCATCTTAGGACAATATATGGCCGTTGGGCTCGTAGATATTTTGAGACCCATTTTGTAGTGACCCAATAAGGACGATGTTGAGCTGTGCTTTCTCTCTTGTCTTATTCAAGATGCTCACAAAATGGACTCTAGTTTCTTGCCAAGGCTAATAAGGCTTATGATGGAAGTGGAGCCATTGCCATACCAATCGAACTAGATGGTTGGAACGTGGATGGTCATCCACCGTAGCCAAATGGTCTTGTTGTTACTTGTTAATATATATATCTCACACTACCTAGTGTAAAAACAAAGACTTCAGCAAAAGTCTTCTCCGACATGTTGGTAAGATATTCTCGCCTGATCGATCACCTAATAGACCACGAACAAATCCAAAGCAAATCCATATCTTCCTTACCTGCTTTCTAGCAACATTATTTTAATAAACTTCTTTCACTTTTTATTTTGTTTTTACAAAGAATGCAAAGGTTGTGAAATACGGAATCATCGTCGAAATTGGGCCCATGGACGAAGATAACAACTGGAAAGCTAAAAGTTGAAAGAGAGAGTAAAAAAAAGCGAACAATAGAATTGCATCCCATGATTATGCTCTTGCTTTACATGACATAAAATAACATAACAAACCTTTTACTTTGTTCACTCATCCGTTCCTCTACATATTATTAGGCCTACAAAAAGATCTATGTAGTAAACAACTAATTAAGAAGAAGAAAAATGGGAGTTTCATCTCCTGATTTCCGAGCTCCTCCTCCCTCCCCCGTTGCATCAAGCCGCCGGGCCTCCTTCACGGCCAACGAAGATGTCCTCTCGGAGTTCCTGGATAAGTGTGGTCGAGTCCCAAATCTTGTATTGCCCGATAAGGTCTTCCCCAAGCACAGATTCATTCTGAATCCTCCCACCTTCGATTTCCTCCGGCTGGGCTCCCTCCAGGTCTCGGCCATGCTCCTGGATGCCATCGCCACCATCGGCTGTTTTCAGCTCACTAACCACGGCATTCCCGAGGCTACGGTGAGAGCAGCCATGGCCGCTGCTGACAAAACCATTTCCCACGATGAGACGGATGAGTTGGTTTTGTATAAAGATATTGACGACCAATCGGAAAGACCTGCTTGTTTTTCAGATTTCAGGTACGACAAGGAAACTTTTAAGGTTTAAGATTGTAAGAATGAAGGGACCTAAATGATTAATATGAAGGATGCAGGGAGTTGATGGGTGAAGCAGAGAGGATAGGGAAGGCGATGAGAGAAAAGCTAGGAGGGAGAAGACAAGAAGAAGAAGAAGGGGTAAGGGTTTGCTACGTGAAGAAGCATAATAGCAAAAAAGAATCAAAAGGGTGGGAGGAAGAAGAAGCGATTAGGATGCTGATACGAGGGTATGAGGAAAGACATTCTCTATGTCTCAGCTTCTGCCATGCAGATGCAGAGTTCCACGTCTACTCCAAGAGAGGTTGGGTCTCCTTTTCCCCACGTCCAGATGCAGTGGTAGTGACGCTCGGAGATCAAGGCTGGAGTGGGAGGTTCAAGGGTGTTGTTGGGAGGCCCCTTCTTTACAGATCAGATCGTGGTTCTCTTCCTCACCATTTCATTTCTATCTCTTTTCTCTACACTACTACTACTACTAGTAGTATCCACAACAGCACCCCAAGAAATATTACTCAGAAGAAGAAGAAGACTATCTCCCTCTCCCAACAGCTCCTCTTTGCTCTCTTTCTCTCACTCATCTTTCCTTTCTTTCTTCATTGATCATTGTTTCCTCTATAAACACAAGCAAGTGTGTCAGTTTGTGTCTGTCAATCTCTTTTCGGCCTTTACTCAGCATTTTAGGGCCTAATCATTCAAATCAAAAGCCCACTTGATCCATATATGTAATGTTGAAATTTCATGCCCAATCCATATGCAAGCAAACGTAGCATATTATACAAGATATGTATCCATGTGACATCTCCCCCACTTTATAAGTTGTCGCAAAAGTGAGTTTAAACAACCCATATCTTTCTTTCTTTTCTTTTGGAGTTGAAAATATTTGTGAGTGGATCTTCATAATGAGTGGTCTTCTTCGAGTCCATGTTGGTCCTCTGTTTTATGTGGTTAGACAAAACCCACACACACGTGACCTGTCATGGTCTTTGGGAGCTCCTTTTACTTACCTCCACACGATCTTGAGCTCTTGCTTTGTTTACTTAATTGTTTGTATCTTCACTTTTGGCTCACATACATATGTCATATGTGTGCATATACCAATTCATCTGATTCCTTTCTATACTTCAGATACGAAATGTGTCTAATGTTCGTTCCACGTGATTTGCTATCTCTAACGAAACTACATAAATTAGAACGCAATGAGATCACCAAGACTAAATTTCATGAAAAAATGACACACCAAATCCATTTGAGATCAGTGGTAAACAAATAAACCAAATCGTGCGTGTATATATAATATCATAGATATATACACCGGAAGAGTTGTAGTTAAAGGCGAGTTGCCAGTTGCATTGTAGCACGTGAATTGGTGATCACTTGATGGCTTCATTAATGAGTATCGTTGTGAAAAGTAAAACAAAAATAAAGTGAAGAGGTCGCTATTGCATGAGCACGTACGTGAGAGGGCAATGCTGAACCACAAATCAATGTACCATGTATGAACCCGGCCGCATGCACCGCTTATAAATACTTGAACCCTTATACAGGCATATGATGGATCTATTCAAATAAAATAAAAATATTGGAAGAGATGGCACAAAACGGGAGAAGGAAGAGCGTGAGCGGAAGCGTGGTGAAGCCGCCACCGCCGCCAAAGCTAGCGAAGGGGTCACTGCATAGGACGCTTTCAGACATATCTTTGGATTTCCACAGAGAGGAAGAGAAGGGACTCGGGACGATAGCAGAGGTGGAGAAGGCAAAGTGCGAGTGTTGCGGGATGAGGGAGGAGTGCACGATGGAGTACATAGAGAGGGTGAGGGATAAGTTCTTTGGGAAGTGGATTTGCGGTCTCTGCTCAGAGGCGGTGAAGGAGGAGAGGGAGAAGAGGGAAGAGAATGGGCTCGAAGGGGCCTTGAAGGAGCACATGAGGGCCTGCCTTAGGTTCAACAAGCTTGGGAGGGAGTATCCTGCTCTCTTTCAAGCGGAGGCCATGAGAGATATGCTCCGCAGAAGGACGAGGGGTCAGTCTATCAGCCCTAAACCCAATACTCTTCACAATAAGCCCACCATTTCCCGCACTTCAAGCTGTATTCCTGCCATCACCAGGGACCTTAACTAGCTCACCATTTTACTCTCTCCCTCTCTCCCTCTCTCTCTCTCTCTCTCTCTATCCCTCTAATGTTTTATCTTCCTTAATCTGTCTAATAGCATAACCTTTAAGTTAGTCCCTATTACATATAATATATATATGTAAATATAACATAATAAAAAGAGAAAGTGTATGTTGATCAATTCCTATACATTTTGGTTTCTTTAAAAACAAAGGAACCAACAAGGCACATATAGTAGTAGTATTTAGTGTATTTACCCCTCTCAAAACCTTCTTTTCTCATTGTGAAATTTAATTAATAGTTCAAAAGAATTGTTGTGCTTCTTTCCCGCGAAATGACAAAGATTAGAGAACATAACAAATGTATGCGTTTCCTTTCCTTTCCGTTCTTGCAAATATATGTTCATGACAGTTAGTTCACACACTATCCATCGAAAATTAATTATGGGCCTGATCCTTCACTGTTTGATGGGTATTAATGGCATGCCAAGTCTTTACTACACGTGTCTACTTTCCATTGGTTGTGTCCCCGTCTTTTTCCCATGGGATTATGATGATGATTCTGTTTCGGTTGAATTGAGAATATTTTATCTTCTCTCACTTGTTAGAGCATGTGCAACTCACTGCGTTTCTTTAGCCCAAAATTAAAGAACAATTGCAAAATATTACACATGTGGCAAGCCCAATTTCCAGAATCGACTCTCGGGGAAGCAGCCCAGAACCGTTTCTACCGGCCACGTGTCAGGCCCCAACGCTCCGCGACAATTTTTTTTTTTGTTCTCTTTCCTCCTTCTCTCTTCGTCTTCCTCTTCTCCTCATCGATCAATCCAATCCGGCTTTCTTCGTCTTCTCTTCTCTTCGATTATTCCGTTAATCTGCACAATCAATCCATTCCAGCGAGGCAGTCTCTCCGACCGGCGAGAAAGAAACTAGAATCGACGACGAAGATGCAAAGCGATGCATGACGGTTCATCCACTGAAAACTCAGGTCATCAGCTCCGGCTTTCTTTGGGGATACATCACTCACTCCACTGCGAAACCTCGTCTTCTTCGTCTCTCCGTTAGTAATTTCGATCTCCCTCCCTCTATTCGATTTTTTTTCTCTCTCTCTCTATTGAACTTTTTCAATTTGGATTATTTCCGATGCTTATTGTTCTTTTGGTGATGGATTTGATGAAATTAGTTTAGGTTTCTTATGTTTTTCATCATCATAGATTGTGATATATGTGTTTGTATCATAGGTCAGTTAGGAAAACATAATCTGTGATGCAGTAGTAACATTAGCAATTTGTTTTAAGTTCAATGATTGTATTAAGCTTTTCGTTCTATATGCATTGTTTTCATGAGCTATTGATCATTTTAACTTTCTGATAAATCTATAATGATGTTATTAGCGTATGATATTCTCGTTTTGTCTTCTCTACTGTAATAGGCTCTTCTTCACTCTTCACATATGCAGCTCTCTCCGGCGACAACAGTAAGCTCTTACTATCCGCAAAGAAAGCCAGGAAAGCGACAGGGGCGGAGTTTGTTGTATCGTTGTCCGGGAATGACTTCTCGAGGAGTAGCAGTAATTACATAGGAAAACTGAGGTATCTGAAGTTGGTTTTTTCGCCTTCGTCGATCTCCATTGCCATTGCCATGGCGTTTATAAGTTTTTGTTGTGTGGACAGGTCTAACTTAGTGATTCCCTGTCTAATTTTCTGTCCACCAAGTTTACAAACCAAGGAAACAAGAAGATGAAGAAGAAGTCGTTGATGGATTTCTGCTCAAGGAACTTAGGAGGAGAGTAAAAACAAGTCGCCGAGATGGCACGAGCAGCTCCAATGCTGGTGTCTAAACTTCAGAGGTCGAGTCACGGTGGCGTAGGTGAAGCTACTGCAGAGGCAGGGAAGAAAAGAGGAACAAGAGAGAGTGATATTACAATTTGGGAAGATAAGTAATGACATTTTTACTATGGATTATGTTACCCGATCTCTGTATTTCAGGCTTTTGCCATTTGATTTTTAAATAACTCCATATTCGGTTTGTGCAATGTGAGTGTCAAAATTAGAGAAGCTGTAAACTTAAATTAATAATATAAATAATCTTAAAATATGTTAAAGAGCTCTATATGGAGCTGTGCGATGCACATGCTCTTATACCTATACAAATACAACACTATCTTCTACTACACACATACATTCATGTTGAAGGAAGAGAAGTGAGAAAAAATAATAAGAAACTAAATAAAAATGCCATTCAAAATTGGGTCGTTTGCATTTGCGTCTTGATTAGCAGAGAACACGAGGCACGCTTATTGTACCTGACTCATGAACGTAGAGATAGATTGGCAAGTCCCAACAATAGTGTTGATTAAGAGATTTATTCTTCTATATCTTTAAAAATAAAATATAAAAGAAGGGAATGTGACTTGAAATGTGGGAATTCACAGTTTTCGTCTTGTCAAAAAGAAATTAGAAAAGAGAAGAGGAGGAAGCAACACGGAAAGGTTGGAGAAGAAAAGGGGACTGGCTACGTGTATAAGAAAGAAAGAGTGAGTTTGTGTGTGGGTTTCATTGCATATAATTCGACGGCAGATCACAAAAAGGAGATCGGATGAGGAGAAATGGAGAGGAGGAAGAGGTGGCCGAGAAGAGGAGGCAGAGGAGGAGGAGGAGGAGAGAGGGGGTGCAGGTGGCTCTGAGGGCAGGCTGCTTGGCTGCTTCAATCACGGCCATGGCGGTGATGTTGACGGCAAGCGAGGAGGGAGTGGCAGACGTCTATGGCTTCAAGCTCACTCTCTCCTCCAACTGGTCTTTCTCTCCATCTTACAAGTCAGTCTTTCTTCTCCTTCCATTCAAATTCCCCAAATATGAAGGCATTGTAGAAACTAGATCATATACTAGACGTAAATAAATAAGTGAAATGTGTTTCAGATGCGCGTGAACATGACATGACATTATTGTTCTAAACTTTTGAGTTTGGTGTGAACTGTGAAGGTATGTGGTGGGGGCATGCACAGCGACCATCCTCTACTCCCTGTTGCAGCTCTGTCTCGGTGTTTACAGGCTCCTCACCGGATCTCCCATCACACCATCCCGCTTCCAAGCTTGGCTTTGCTTCATCTCCGATCAGGTTCCTCCTCGGCTTTCCTTGTCCACCTGCTAATTCTTCTGATTGGTAACCCATGGATGTTCTGTGTGTGTGCAGGTTTTTGGTTATGTGATGATAAGTGCTGGATCAGCCGGTTCAGGAGTCACCAACCTGAACAAGACCGGCATCAGACACACTCCTCTCCCTGACTTCTGCAAGACCCTTTCTTCTTTCTGCAATCACGTCGCCCTCTCTCTCCTCTTAGTCTTCCTCTCTTTCATCTTCCTCGCCTCCTCTTCCCTCTTTCATGTTCTTCTGCTCTCCACTCTCTAGTAGTCTAGTCTCACCATGGACTCTCTCTCTCTCGCGATTCTTGTTGCTTTATATAGTCCAAGACAGACTCTATTTGCATTCCCAAAAACAATGTATTATCTTTTTGAGTAGAGAGATGCAATACAAATCAGAATCAGAACCAGAATCATATTTTGGGTAAAGAGACGTTGATCCCTAGACGTGAGAGATCCTTAAGGAGGGAATCTGCATTCTCAAAACATAACCCACGCATCCCTATCTCAATAGCACACTTGACGTTGGTTGGCCTACACGAATCAGAGACTCCCTCAGTCAGGTCAAAATGGATTCTTTAGATAACGAAAACGAATGATGGAGGCAAAGAGTCGTAACCTGTCATCGATGAATATACAGTCGCAAGGTTCAACTCCGAGATGCTCCACAACCTTGAGATAGAACTCTGGATCAGGCTTTCTCTTTCCTGAAAGATATAAAACACGTGAGGAGTGAGGACGGGTTTGTTTGATGGATCGAGTAAACAAGTGAAACAGGCAAGAGGTGTGTGTAGTACCAACATTACAGGAACAAAAGGTCCACGATAAGTAGGCCGAAAGCTTTAGCTTGTCTTCGATCATTTCGTACCTAACAGACGTGAAGCTAAGCATTTCTCCAATAAATAAATAAATAAAAATGTAGGTGAAAGGTGAATGGGATGGAAACCAGATGGGATAATTGGTGAAAGCATGAATCTCCAACTTGTCAGCTGCCAAAGTTTGAAGAAGCTCCTGCATCCCATCTAAGTAGGAGTAGCCTGATCTCATGCACTCCTTTAGCCCTGCCGCCAAATCAACACACATACACAAGAATTGATTTCATGTAATCATGTAATTCGAATCAATAGGTGCCAGAAAGTCAGAAACTTCCTCACCTTCCAAATCAAAGTCCCTCCCGTCTATGAAGAACTTTCTTGAAAGCTCCTCCTAAACCAACAACTCAGGGTCAAACCACAAGTGATGTGTCTATGGACTATGATGATGATGATGATGAAAGTGAGATAATTGGTACCTCGTGAATCAGCCCCTTTTCAAATTCGATCCACGCCATCGGGTGCTTGCACTCTAGTAGTTCCTTCATTGGCATTCTGGTGGCAACCGAGAGTTTATGAGAAGCAATCAATTATGAGAGTTATCGGTTAATCGAGTGGGAAATTTTGATTCACCCGAAGAAGGCCGGAACGTCGTGGTAAAATGGGTCGCGGACGATGGTGTCCATAACATCGAAGAGGAGAACCGGAAGTTTCCTTTCCCGAGCAGTGCAAGAAATGGAAGCCCGATCACGCCTCTTGGGTTTCAGATTGGACAAGCCCGTCGCCGTCGAGGTAGGCATCGCCGCCGCCATCAGAAACGCCCAACTTCTGATCATCGCGAAATACACACTGAAACGCGTCGTTTTGAAAGAAAATGATATCGAAGCTGATTAGTCAGTCCATTATTACTGTAATTGTAGTTAATTAGGCTGACGTGGGTGGTGGTGATTGGTGAAGCGGAAGAGGAGGGGGCATGACTTGCACGAAGGACCATACATAACCGTCAAATCCACGACTCCTCAACTGCCACTTCCTTCATCCTTTATATAACGCGGAATATTGCTCCCATTTATACACTACCAAAGCTAATTTTTTACTAGTCTCCTCTCAAACATACTTTCTCTGAAGATGATGATGAGATCTGATTCTATTATGATGAAAATGATAATGATGCTGTGCATTTGGGCCGTGATGGCTGCGGCGGAAGTTCAAGTTCCTAGGGTCTTCAAGGTTGGAGACGAGTTCGGGTGGAGAGTTCCACTCAACAATGATACGGCGGTTTACAACCACTGGGCGAGCAGCAACCGATTCCACATCGGTGATTCCCTCTGTGAGTACTAACTAGCTAGCTACTATACTTCACATGATCTTATTTAGTTTTGATATGACTCGTGTGTGGGACTAATTAATTATTGTCTTGTGCAGCGTTTGTGTACGACAAGGACTCGGTGATGGAGGTGGACAAATGGGGTTTCTACCACTGCAACGCCAGCGACCCCATCACAGCCTTTGACAATGGAAACAGCACAATGAACCTTGATCGTCCTGGTCTTTTCTTCTTCATCAGCGGCTCTAACGGCCACTGCACCAACGGCCAGCGACTCATCGTCGAAGTGATGCATATCCACCATGAGCACCAACCCGATGGTTCCATGCCTCCATCCATGTCGCCTCTCTCTGCCTCTCCCTCCGCCTCAGCCACTCCAACCCCCTCTGCTGCCTCCACCTCCCTGCTCGCCTCTCTCTCGCCTCCCTTTGCTGCTTTTCTTCTTGCTCTTTTCTGCTTCCTTTCTTAGGGTGTAAATGGTAACCGAGGAATTCTGCTGAATGCGGAATCTGGCTGAATTAATTGATGAATAGTTGCGGAATCTGGCTGATTATTTAGTAATGTGAATGGTAACTGCTGAATGTTGCTGAATGCGGAATAAATATCTAACAAATTAGTTGTGTAACAGTATAACAAAATATTTACCTAGTTGAATTAATAAAATAATCAAAAACTTATATTTGTAAAATAACCAAATAATAGGTAAATAAAAGAAATTGTTTAAATTATATTAAACTTAGATTTTTTTAAAAAAATCTATAATTGATCTAATTTATAACTAAATTTATTTTAGACTAAAAGTTTTTTTATCTAATATATACTTCATATCCGGATATGTTTATTTAGTCATTTTTATCACATGAATCCACATCCATAAATCTATTTTTTGAATCCGTAAATTTATTATCAAGATTCAATTTCGGACAAAAACCCGAATATTTGAAGCTGATTGAATTAGATGCTGGATAATTTAAATTTAAATTCATACTCAAATTAATCTATAATTATTCTTAAATTTGTTTTTAGTATTTTATTACAACAACTACTGTTATTAGAGATTAACTAATATTATATTTTTGTAAAAATATAAAATTTAAAGAATCGTTGCATCCCCTTTTTGATTTTCTTTTATATGTTATAACTGTAACAGCTCTCAACTCATTTAAAAATTGTCAAAATATTAGTTTAGATTGCCACGTATCTAGATTTTATACTTAAAGTCATTTACATGACTTAAATAATACAGCTGAATTGAGACTTGTAGTGGGCCCAAGCAAATCATGGTGTTTCAACTTTAACTATTATTAAGCAGAATTTCACATTCCACATTCCACATTCCACAATTCTTTGCAACTGGTGTATAACTTTATTTTTAAGTTGGAATTCAGCAGAATTCCTCAATTCAGCTGGTACCAGTTAGGGCCTTAGTCAGCTTGTTTGCTTTTTTTTTTTTTTTTGTTATTTCATTCATCCAAACTATTTGTGATATGAATCTCATGTTTTATTTCAACTATCTCTAGCCACTGTGTTGTGTCGTGTGCTGTGATCCCATTTTAAACGAAACCATTAAAATAGCACCACAAAAACCTTAAACCATTTTACCGGAGCAGCTAAAGCGATAGTGTTAAACTGATTATTAATAAATAAAACGTAATTACTGATTTGATATGGGCCTCAATTCATTTTTAAGTAAAAGAGTATAAATGGGCCTACTGTAAGTGAATGGGCCTGCCCAATTTAGAGGGGGAGAGAAAGCGGAGGAGATTGGAAACGATTGGTCGATGGCGCTCTCTCTCAGCCTCCCCCGACCACCTAGCCTTACCCATAGCCATAGCCATAGCGTATTCGCTCCAAGAAGAAGGTTCGGTTCGATCCGATGCGGCCCACGCGACAACCGCGGACCTCTTCTCAAAGGTCGGATCCTGAGCACCGAAGCCATCCAATCGATTCAGTCCCTGAAGCGAGCCAATCGCAACGGCTCCCTCGCCCTTAGCCTCCCACCTCTCCGCCGTCTCCTTAAGGCTGACCTCCTTGCCGTCCTCCGTGAGCTTCTCCGCCAGGACCAGTGCACCCTCGCTTTCCACGTTCTCTCCACCCTCCGTTCCGAGTATCCTCCCCTGGACCTCACTCTCTACGCCGAAGTCGTCACGGCGCTCTCCAGGAACGGCGAGCGCGACCAGATAGACGGTCTCATCGGCGAATTGGAGGGGATTGAGGGCGGTTACGGAAGCGACAAGGCCCTGGTCAAGCTGATCAAGGCGGTGGTGGGAGCGGAGAGGAGGGAGTCGGCGGTGAGGATATACGCCATGATGAGAGAGAGCGGGTGGGGGTCGGAGTCGTGGGAGGCTGACGAATACCTGGCGGAAGTTCTGAGCAAGGGCCTGCGGAGGCTTGGGGAGGAAGACTTGGCCGCTCAGGTGGCCACTCAAAGTCAAAGTCAAAGGTATTTCTCGGCTCGCTCTCCAATAAGGCTATAACTGTTAAAGCCATCGACTCATGACTCATGACTCCTCGTGTGTCTGTTTGTGTGTTTTTGGAAATGGAACAGAGTAAGAATAGGTGGTGGTACTTGATGATGGATTCAAGTGTACATGTCATGTCATGTGGTCTGATGGTTATTCTTCCATGCCTATCCACCAGTTCTCCTCCGCCGGAAGTCGAATGTCCTGTCTTTTTTTGTAATGGATTCGTTTGTCTAAGTTTGTACTTTATTGTTCTGTTGCTACGGCATACGGGGTACACTTCAAATTCAAGCAACTGAATCCGTACTGTTAACCCCAAAATGAACAAATATGTATATCATTGATGTTAAAAAAAAAAAAAAAAGAACAATTTTGTATATCATTTCTTTTTCATTATATATTTATATTCCAGGCCTGCCCAATTCAAAATGACAAGTGCTATAAAATCAGAAGGCCCAAAACTATTTTGAGCCAGTGATGTATACTTATTTAGTTTAGTCAGCAGTTGATTAAGCTAAACTATAGTTAGTTGATAAGTAAAAGGATATTGGTATTAATGGAAAAAACTCGGAAAGCTAAACGTTGGTGTCTGTAATTGGATTCGACAAGTGAGAATTTGTTGCCGGAATTACAAACCCTAGCCCCCGGGAATGACTCCGCCTGCTGACGATGCTTGGATCCGTTCATATCACCGCTTGCTTCCCCAATCGCAATCTCTTAATCTCATATCTTCCCACCAGGCATTCTCTTTGGTTAAGATTTCATTTCATTCCATCTTCTTCTTTTCTATCATATGGCTCTCATGTTGTGGTTATCTATCATCATCATATGGCAGTCAGTTATAGCGGTTGCAATCTCCAGAGTGAATCAGTTTGACGCTGCACGGCTAGATGTTGAAATGTCTGCCATGTTGAAGGAACAGTTGATTAAGGTTTTCACTTTGATGAAGGTCTGTGTATAATATATTCATCAAACCTTGTTTGCCTCTATTATTTACTCACTCTTGAATCCTGATCCTCATTTTCATTTTTTGAACAGCCAGGAATGCTGTTTCAATACGAACCAGAACTCGACGCTTTCCTTGAGTTTCTCATTTGGAGATTCTCTATTTGGGTTGACAAGCCTACGCCCGGAAATGCTCTCATGAACCTAAGATACAGAGATGAAAGAGTTGCACAACGACTGGGGAAAGGTATTTAATTTATTTTTTGTTTACTACTACAGCCCCACTGGTCACTACTAGTGTCTTCTTCCTCACCAGCTGATACACTACGCACCCTCTCTCTCTCTCTCGTGTAGTTAGAACAGGACTTGAAGGCCCAGGACTTACTGCTCCTCAAAAGATATGGTACTGTGTTGCCTCCGTTGGTGGTCAGTACCTCTTCTCCCGTCTGCAGTCATTTTCTGCTTTCCGTAGATGGGGTGACTCTGAGCAGGTCTCGTGTTATTTCTTATTTCTTAGCAGAGGAAAAAGCTTTACACTCTTAATCTTTTTTATTTTCCTTTCTCTCACAGAGACCATTGGCGAGGCGACTTTGGACCCTCATTCAACGAATCGAAGGCATCTACAAAGCTGCTTCTTTTCTTAACCTCTTGTCATTTCTTTATACGGGAAAGTAGGTTAAGCAAAGCCACATTGATGATTCTCACATAGAGAAGAAACATGTTGATGCTTCTCACATGTCTTTCTCTCTTTGTCTTGATCCAGGTATAGGAACCTCATTGAAAAAGCTTTAAGAGCTAGGCTTGTCTATAGGAGCCCCCATATGAACCGCTCTGTCAGCTTCGAATACATGAATCGCCAACTTGTCTGGAATGAATTTTCGGTACGTCTTTCTTCTTTTCCTGCGCTGCTTCCTGCTTGAATCGCCAACTTGTCTGGACTATTCTTCTCAAGACTTATTGGCTCAACTCCTACTTTGTCTTGTCTGCTGTCAGAAACGTTATGTTGAATCTGATTTCCTGCTTCTGTTTGGCATTCAGGAAATGCTTTTGTTGCTTCTTCCGCTGCTCAACTCTTCAGCTGTTAAGAATATTCTTAGTCCATTTGCCAAGGACAAGTCCTCAAGCGCTAAAGAGGATACATTGACTTGCCCCATTTGCCAAGTTGATCCTGCAATCCCCTTTACTGCTCTGCCTTGCCACCATAGGTATGGTATTTTTGCAATCACATTAGGGTGATTAAAAGTTAGTAACTGCATGTGATAGCGTATTTGAGGAATCATGGCGCTACACTTACAATCCATATGAAGTTAGACAAGACACAAGTGATGTTGTTGGCGATGGCGTGAAGTATTCATAGTATGTTGTTGTTAAAAGGTTTGACTTCACTCGTGGCAGGTACTGTTACTACTGCATAAGGACCCGCTGCGCTTCAGCAGCATCGTTTCGGTGTCTTAGATGTAACGAGCCTGTCGTAGCCATACAACGGGAAGGTATTTCAAGTGGCAAATGAATGGAGGAGAGGAAATTGGGAAACAGCACTCTTGGAGAACAAGCAGATGCAATAGTTTTGTGGATGCTTGGAGTTACTGAAGAAACTAAGTGTAAAAAAGCTTAGACGAAACCAGATTAGGATCTGGTAGGTGTTGTTTGCAGACAGACTACAATATACAATAAGTGAACGTCATGTGATGGATGAATTGTGCGAGAAACAAGTTTAGATAGATAGATAGATACTTGTTTAACCTTTCGGTCTTGTCTTATTAGAAGAAAATCAATTGAAATGTCGGCTATACCTGGAATAAATATTCATTACCTTACATGTGGTGCCTACTTACTAGTACTCGCTCCTACTTCCATATTAGTTACTAGTACAGTTTGCGAAGAGAGGCAGAAAAAAAATATGATCACTAAGTGGCAGAGAGCAGACTGATTTCTATCTCTTGGAGGCTCTTCCCTTTCGTCTCGATCACGTTCTTCTGCACAAAGATAACTGCCACCACACAGAAGAACCCAAATATTGCATTGAGAAGCACCGAGCCTAGTTGCTCCAGCATTCTCAGAAACAAGAGCCCCACGAAAAAGTTTATAACCTGTTTGTTGCGTTGCGTCATTCTCCAAGCTTATTATTATTTCAGCATTTCCTATATAAAAAGATATCCACAAAGTAAAAGAAAAAAATAGCCATACCCAGTGAACAGCAAGACAGATAGCCAATGCTGTTGCCCGAAGACGGCCAGGGCATATCTCGGACAGGAGAAGACTTGGAACAGGACCAGCTCCAGTTGCAAACGACAACACAAACCTGCATTTTCATCATCACATTCACATTCACATTCACATTCAGACCCCCAAAGTTTATAGCCCTTCCCAGTTGTTGTCACAGAAAACTTACAGTAGCATTCCTCCAACCGAGAGAAACAAAGTTCCAAAGGGTGATGAAAACGAAGTATATGCTACTGCTTGGAGACCCAGCGATACTGCCTGTTAAAGATGATACACGTTTATATTTCATCACATGTCGCTCTGTTAAGTTTAGTTCTAATAGCGGTTTTTCACTCTCAACCATTACCATGCCAGCAAAACTCCCAATAAGCAACACTTTTCTCCCCAGCTTATCCATCAAAACCACCGCTACAGTAGAACCTGTACAAGAGTGAATGATGTTCACAGTCTTTGTAAATGCATATCATCATTTCATTTGTCAGTTTCAACATGCTGAACGGACAGACTTTTCATCTCTTCTTTTCATTATCATCTTTGTTATTACTTATTAGAGCAAGGTTATTCACTTAACGCATGATCAGTTTACTGTCCTCTAATTTCACGTTTGTAAGCACCTAATCTACTCAGATAATAATGGTGCCTTTAAACTACTTACTTATCTAGATTATCATCAACACGATAACAACGATACTAGAACATACAGGAACATGTCACACTTGAGTACCTAAGAGGTTGCAGACTCCCACACATATGTTCGCAGAGGCTGAAGGTACACCAGCTTTCTTGAAGACAGTTGATGAGAAATAGAACACAGCGTTTATCCCAGACAACTGTTGTAAAGCAAAAAGGGTAGATCCAATGTAAACCACTGCAAACGGAGAAAATTAAAATGTAAAAAAGAATGAAGTTACGAGGCTTCACATGTCATCTATATGTTTTTGCAAATGATAATGACTCTTTTCGGCTACGAATCCAGATGAACCGGCTCACTAGTTTCCTCGTAAACGGTTAACTCTTTGACGATAATGTCTAACCCCAATCTCATTTCATCCAATGTTAGGCTCAATGGGAATAAAACTCTTATGTCTAATATTTGATGAGACACCACGTCCAGGATATATGATATCAAGAACAATGCCACAATCTTGTAGGTTTAAAGATCACACATACCTCTAAAACTGCGCCCAAAAAGCAATTCTGACAGTTTGGCTGAACCGGTGTCATCTCCCTTATCCGATTTCAATAACTCTGCCATGGCAGCTTTGACGTATGCTCCTCCTAATAGCTTCTCAAACACGGCTTCAGCTTCAGCTGCCCTTCCTCTCTGAGGTTAAAACAAAGAAAGAGAATCGACAAACAGTGGTTTATGAAAATATATTTAAGAGCTAGGCGGGAAAGATGAGGAAAAGTCACCTTGAAAAGCCACTGAGGACTTTCGGCACAGAGTTCCATGAAAACAGCAAGCATTGCCGCTGGAACTGTGGATATCCAAAAACATATGCGCCACCTAAGACAATCAAGAACATTAAATCAATTAGATGATCATTCTGCCAAGATGTTCAGATTGAACACATCTTGTCAATATTGTTGACCAGAGATCAAGTAGACCAAAGCATTTGATGTGCTAGTTTATCACAAACTTCAGGATTCAATTCCCTGCAAAGCCGGTTTGGTTCCCAAGTCAAATTCTAATAATGAATTTGCAACAACAAAATTTGGACCTAAGACTATAGATGTGCATCGTTTCAACCAGACACCAAAGATCCACACTGCGGATAGGTGGGTTTAGAATGGACAACTATGATGGAAACATGCCACCTGAAGCACGCGAAAAAGTGGACTACCATGCGCATGGAGAACGAATGGCATAGAGTTGCAAAATCTTCTGTATATAATTGGTTCGAGCCCTATCAGAGCGCTAAACTTCGCCCACACAAACATGTTTTAGGGTTCAGTATAAAGCAATGTAACAGGTCATTGAGGCTGTTAAGCTTTGCATTATTCATTCCAGTCAGTATCTTACCAGCCCAAATTGTCTTTTGCTGGGATTCCAGCAAATAGTGAACCTAGGAGTCCAAGACATGTCGCAATTTGGGTAGAGCTCCCATATGTGCCTCTTACATAGGCAGGTGATACCTGCAAAGCGAAAATTACAGACTCCTCTAAATACAGTAATATGATACATGTAAGGAAGGTATAAGTCTCACATAGGCAGGTGTAAGGAAGCACTTTCATATAACGATAAGACAAAAACAAGTGCAAAAACGAAGACTTCAAAGTATTTGTCAAGTACCTCAGTGACATAGAGAGCCGTAACAGAAGGGCCTATGCCCATCCCGATTCCGACAAAAAACCTCCCAAGTAGCATGCCCTCAAGACTCTCAGTTGATGCACTGCAAAAAGCACACTCTTAACTGTTAAGCACGGAGACTCTTGATTTTACACACGGACTTTTAAATGTAATCCAACTGCCTAGTGACTTAGCCTAGACAACAAAACAAATCAGCAGGCAATAATTTGAATCAGAAATGTTCAAACAGTTGACCACTTACATGTTCAACCAAAAATTAACCAAACTATAAGAATCCAAGACCAAACACACTGAAAAAGTACCGAGTCATACATAATCAACAGCCTAAACAAAAAAACAAACAAACTACCTCACTGAAGCTCCAACAATCATTGGTAAAGCGCTCAACTGGAAAGCTCTACGGCGCCCAACACCATCCGCAACCAGACCACTAAACAGAGATCCAATGAAGGCCCCGCCTAAGCACGTACTAACCACAAGACCTTCATCCACCAGAAAAAGGTTTTTGGAATGATCAGATATGGAAGGATAGAGACGATGACTGGATAAACAGAAAAGAATATCTCTTCTTCAGTAGGTACCTTCAGCGATGGTGTTCCCACTAAAGCCAAGGTCAATGGATATGCTTTCGAGAGTTTCATTAACAACCCTGCGTCCAGAAAAGAAGTATGAATTTGTTATTCTTTCCAGTTACATCGATTTAAAAGAAACCAAGTCATTGAGGTATGTACATATGTTATTGAATGCTTTAATAACAACAATGCATTGAGAAGAAACACAATCTACTAAGACTACAGAAGACATATTGGATAACAACCTAGCAACATGAGAGGTAATTTTGTTGTTCATGTTAAAAGGAAAGAAAAAGAAAAAAAAGGTACAAAAAATGTCAGACCCAAGATGATAGCCGAATAAAAGCGAAGTGAGTGATGCAACGAGCACGTGAGGCAGAGATGGCTTCCAGGAAGGATTCCCGATGTCCTTTCCCGTCCCAGTCGGCAGACGCACTGGAGTTGAGAGTCACAGTCAAGTTTTTTTATATACAAAAGATACAAAGGAAAGTGCGAGTAAAAGTTGGTAAATCCAAGTTACAATGATACGTCTAAGGCGCAAACATATATCATTATATTCAGAGAAGAGTGAATGGCTACGAGCTAAATTTGGCAATATTTACTTGATGAGCCCATGCAACAAAAGATCAACATCCTCTTCATCTTACACATGATTCCGTCTGCACAACCAATTCTAAAGCTAGTGTAGTCTGAGTTCAAGGAATTTTAAAGCCTTTCTTAACAATACTTAATCTCAAAATTAAGGGTAATACTAACAAATACAGATTAAGTAATGTTTAATTATCAACAAAAATCAACATCTAACTCTCTTGGCACGTGGAAAAATGACATGAATCTTAAAAAAGAAAGAAAAAGGAACCTGCGGTTTCAGCTTTATCCAAAGAAGAGAGAAACTCTTTGGAAGGAACACGCTTGTCAATGTGACGACCTCGCATTATGGTGTAAGTGCGTCGAACTGAATCCATCCCCTCTGAAAAACACGCTACTGCACATGAAGTTCACCGCTGAGTCACACACACACACACATGCAACGCCACTGATGGATGCTTTTCAAGCAATTTACTAATTGATTAATTAATCAAGGGAAATAAATCCTTCTAATGCCTAATCAAAATTCAATTCAAAACTCAAAAGCCCGAATGACGTGACGTGACGTGAGCTAGTAGGAAAATTCCAGAATCCAGGATTTCATACTCGACAGCTAAAAGAAGAAACAAACAAAAAAGCTGACTGATGGATGGATGATGAAAAGGTGAGATCTGATTCGAGGTTGACGAAATGAAGCGAAACCTTACATGGCAATGTAAATCAGAAACACTAGTATTGATTCAAAAGGCAATGGCAGATCTAGCAGGAGGGATGCAGTTTCGCGGCTAACGACGACAAAAGAAGCTGAAAATCAAATCAAGGATGAGAGTACCTGGGGAGGAGGAATCGTCGAGGCGAAGAAAGAGCGGCAAGTTTGGAGTCTCCTTTATTCCTTGATCATAAGCATCATTAAGCAACAACTGTAATGGATGGCTTGGCCACACTCCCAGATGCTATTGCTTATTTGCTTGCACTCTTTTCCCGAGAGAGACTATAATAACCTGCTCTACCCTACCACATTGACATTACCATTGCCGACCTCTATAACTTTATCAAATACTCACATTTACATTAACTTATTTATATCCATATATTTAGTGAGATAATGACATTTATACATGTCAATTTGGAAAATAAAATTCAATTAAAGATACTGATGACGCGAAAAACTTTTGAGGAAAGGATCCTCGTGTGAGAGGAGAAGAAACTGATGACGCCAAGAACATTCATAGATTCGCAGAGGGCTCGTGGGCTTTATTTGAATATACAGTACGTAGAGGCCTCCTGGACTTTCTTTTTAGTTGTATGTTTTCCTGATATGTATTTGGTATATAATGGGCCTTAGCAAAGCCCATTAATGAGTTCAAACAACTCTCACAAAGAGATGACGACCGTTTTCTACTTTCTACTGCAGAGACGAGAAATTTGTTATCTACGCTTTCGTTATATACGAGACCGTCACAAAAGGGTACTCTGTTTATTCTCGCCTCCAAATAATTACCAAATAACTCTGTAAGATGATCAAAAGTTTGTGTTTTAAGGAAAAAGCCATGAGGTTCAACACCTGAGAAAAGAAAAAAATGAAACGTTGGAAGCTTATAGCTATACAACAGGAGGAAAGAAGGATTAGATGGTCCTGCTCAGTCAGTACCCATGAGCCTGAGCATGAGCCTATCAACAGCATCTTCACTTGCTCCCTCATTGGATCTGTAAACCCAAAAATCCACAAACACATGAGCATAGAGCCTATAGAGCCTATCAAACACTCTTAACTACATTTGTGTCTATCTTTGCTCTCCTTACCTTGTTCACCAGCATGTTCACTTGCTCCCTGTACATTTCCTTCAGGTCCACTATATCCGCTCGAAGTTCCTCCAACTACCACCAACCAAATCCACTTTTTTTATTTTAACTCAACGCCAACCAGTGTGTGCAACTATTTTATTCACATATCTTACCTCCTCATCTCGTTCACCCATCAATTCCAGAGCAGCTGCATGCCTTTGCCTTAGTGCTTCCAGCTCTGCCTTTATGCCCGGGACCCTGTCCGCTTCCACCCTTAATTTCTCACACTACATCCACAGTGACCAAAATAGACAGCACAAAAGTTATAGCACCGATCATGAAATAACAACTCTAAACTCTTCGCACTATTTATACCTCTGCTGTCATTTTGACTAGTTCTTCCGCCAGGGAATCTCGGATAGACTCCATTGATGCCTGTGGCAGGACAAATGCCACCAATATAGGTTAAAATTATGCAGTTCGATTCTACATTAATGATGACACTTAAGAACCAGCCTATCATACGCCCATAAATAGAGCTAAACCTTTTAAACCAGCTTATTAAAGTAAGTGTAATTTGTCAACATGATCCCCAACCAACACACCCATAGTGCCTCATTTTAACCTATACAAGGTGAATCGTTGTAAGGGCCCTGAGATAACAAATTGATGTGATTCTAAACCCCAGTTCCTAGTCAATTTCCAAAAGCCTACCAGTAGAGTTACAAAAAACGAACTGTTAGATACTTTCTACACCTACCAAGCGGGACATGTATGAAGCAAGTTCACCCTCCTTCTGTCGAAGTGTGGCTTCATAAGCACTCGGTGTGATGCTCTTCATGTAGTACGGACTCAAAGAGGCCTCAGCCATGCTTCTCTTCTCGGAAAACCTATCTGACGAATCAAGTGAAGCTTGCAGAAAATAGCTCTCCTCCATGCTGCCAAGGCTACTTGCGCTTGAGAGCTTTCTTGGCAAGCCTCCTGATGATATAGCTAAGGAATTATGGATACGCAAAGTTTGAATTTTTGAATACTAATCCAGATTCAGATGCATCATACCATTCTCAAAGGCAGAATTTTGCCTTGCTATGGGAAGCTGTTCAGAAGCTGCCGAGGAATTGATACGGGCTGTTCTTTCAAGATCCAAACGAGAAGCCTTCTCCCTTTCTAGATCCTGAAACCATTTAGAGAAACAACTTAAACAGTGAAGAGAAGTAATGAACTGGAGTAGTTTGCACGCTAGTTGAAGCTACAAGTAGCTCACAGCAAAACAATTATATGTTGACCACACCGTAGTGGAATGGGAGTAGTTTGCACGTTAGTATTGAAGCTACAAGTAGCTCACAGCAAAAGAATTATATATTGACCACCGTAGTGGAATGGGATATAGGCGCTACTTGGGACGAACAAGTTTGGGAACGCACAACATTTCTTCTCGGAAGCACTACTTTGATTAATTTAAACCCCACTGGGTATTTAGGTCTTTTGAATTGTATAGCTGATGAGGCATTTACTACGAGACCGATTCTTACTAGATAAAGATATGTCTGTAAAAATATGTAGAACCTTTTGAATAAGCTCGTTGTGGAGGAGTACTTCTTGCAACTCTTGCTTATGTTTTCTCCGCAGTTCCCTGATTTCCACTTCAAGTTGGTTTGCTCGACCTTCTAGCGTATCTGCTTCCTCCTTAGCTGTCAGATACTCCTGTCTATTCTCTGCCGCTCTCTGTCTCTCCTTCTCGAGCGACTTGCTTAACTGACCCTGTTCTGCTCTAAGGCATGAAAGCTGGATAGGAGAATTGGGTAAGCAGAAATTTAGAGAAAGAACGTAGATGGAGAACAGTGTCAAGGGGCATCGCGAACCTGGGCCTCTAGAACATTGATCCTTGATAAGGTTTGAGAGAGGCGTTCATTCACAGATCGCTCTCGTTCTTCAGCTGTGGCAGCTTTAGTTTCTGCTTCCTGAATATCCGTCGAAATCAGACAAAAAGATAAGAGAAAAATTAAAATAATAGCGTAATATCGAGCGGTGATGTTCAAAATACCTGCAGTCGAGCATTCAGAGTTCTCTCTACAGCAGCCCAAGCTTCTGCTCTTCTGGCTGTAGTTTCCTATCGCAATCAGATAACAAGCATGCAATGTTACAAATTCTCTATTAAGTTTGATATCTCAGGAGAACTTCTGAAAAAAACAGCAGGATCAACTCCAACCTGCATAGCCTCAATTTGTCTTAGGAGAGGCCTTGTAGACTCAGGAACCTGGGTGATTAATTCCTCACACCTTCGCTCACTAGCCTACAGGGAAAAGTTAGTTTAGAAAAGAGTAAACAGACCAAACTATTAGTAAGTAGAAGAAGTATTGTTCAAACATCTTGTCGGAGAATGAGAAACTAATGGACCATAACCGAAGAAAGAAACATGGATGTAGACAACAAAATGTCTTGATTACCTGATAACGTCGTTGAAGGTCTTCAATCTCTCCACGGAACATGTCTTCCCTATACACTGCCTGCAAAGAAAAAAATAGACCACCGACTAGGTAAGCGTCAATAAATTATCTGATGAGATCCCAGTAGTAGTGATCCCAGATTTGATCAAATAAAGGATAAACCTGTTGCTCCTTTTTGCTTAAGGTTTGCCTCAATTCTTCCAGTGCCTGGACTAGCATAGATTCCCGCTCTACAGCCTCCTTTAGACGATTCTCTAACTCTGTTCTCGCTTCATTGTTGGTACGCTCCTCAGCTAATGCTTGAGCTTCCTTTGCGGCAGCTAATGCATTCGAGTAATACGCTTTCTGAGAAGAAAGTTCGGCTTGGTGTTTTTCTATGGTCTCCTGCAGCAACTTCTCTGTAGCTGTCTTGTCCCTTTTAATACTTTCTACCTTGTTTTCTTCAGACTGGCAATTGAAAGGAAAAAGTAATACACCCATGTTTTAGTCTTTTAGATATTTATAATGCCTATAAGAAGATTGATTTCAAACCAGCCTTTAACAGAGGCTTCTGGAAAATCAAGACAAGCCCTTCCTGGCGTTTCATTCTTTATGAGATAGTTAGTAAACCAACAAAAGCATCAGTTGCGACATTAATTACCTGAAGCTTTGTGTTCAGTCCTTTCTTCTCTTCTTCTACCTCTCTAATCTAACTCGCAAACAAAAATAAGGAAAGAGGAGAAGCAATGAGATTGATGATACTAATAAAAATGAAACACGCAGACATCCATTATATACCTGAGCCCTCAACTTCCTGATCTGAGCTTCTTGAGCAGCTTGTTTTTTTGAAAGCTCTTCGCCTGAAATGAAAGGCATTAATATCATCAATCTGAGCAAAAAATAATGCAGTGTTTTCATTTTTCAGACATGCTCAAACCAAAACCGTAACAATTCGCTCTCGTAATGCATAAAACCATTAACAATGTTTGTAACAAAAAGAAAACTATGATCCTTGATTCGAAGCATTCCAAAAGGTTGCCTTACCTTCAGCCATAACTTGATTTATTATTTCATCTTTCTCCTTCAAAAGAGCCGCAGCATCACTTTTCTTGTTCTGTTCTCTTCTAAGTGTATCCCTCTCTTTGGTGAGAGCGTAAACCTACAAAGATAAACACCGTGAAGGCATATTTATAAAGAAAATAGAAGAATCAAAAGAGAATAAATATACCTTCCTCTCAAGAGTAGCAACTCTCTGATGGTATTCTTCTCGCAAAGACTCAACTTCAGCTTCATTAGATTTCCTCTGTTTCAGAACACAGAGATTATTAGAATTTGGGTTAAGAATAAACACAAAGCAAAAGAAGATGCTCGAAAGACTGAATGAAACAGTTAAGCATTCATCTAACAAGATACCAATTTCCGCATACACTCTAGTACCTTCAAATCCTCAGTGACAGATTTTAGCTGCTCATTTTCATGCATCAACTTCGCAATCTCATCAGCCTTTGCCTGTAAACAAACCATCAGAAGAAAAAAATGGTCTAGAAGCACCAAAGCAGTAGCATATCCATGTCATGGAAACCTGAAGATGTACCTGAGCTTGTCGTGCAGCACCTTGCAGGGCATTTTCTAACATTTTCATTTCCTTTTTGGTCTTTTCTAATTCCAGAACAACGTCAGCAGAGTCGGAAGCATTTGTTGCAGAACTTGAACGCTGGCTCTCATTCAATTCACTAGCATTTAGTCTTGAATCCAATTCACGAGAAACCAAATCTACAATTCTATCTGAAATTTCATCTGAAGAAGATCTCTTTGGTAAAGAAGACTCAGAAGCAGGACCACATGGCTCAGTAATTAAAGATAGTTGAGGATCAGGCAACTCTATCTTGTTAACATTATTTATATCAGGTGAAACTTCAACATTGATGGACGAGGTTCTCTCTTCCGGATTTTCACCCAGGCTTTCGTGTTCTTTTGGTGTCTCATCCGTATCAGCAATCTTATGCAGTTCCTTTAACACAGGTGAGTAGACTGCATCATTGTTCGCTACAGAAACATCTTTTGTTCCAGCATCCAGTGGCTTTGGCTCCTCAGCCTCTGATCCAGAATCTTCGGACTTGGGTTGCTCTGGCTGTGAGTCTTGAGAAGCTGTCATTTCCGGCGTTTCATTAGGTTCACGACTGGTAGAGTAACCTGATGATCCAGGATGTTGAAGAGAGTATTCAGAAGGCTCTTTGAGAACCATCTGCGATTCAGGTTCATCATCTTTGAGATCTAAAACAACAGTCTCTGTAACCTCAGGATTATCTGCGTGACCAGCTTCTCTTGTCACATTTGTTTCTTTCTTTGCTTCAACAGATACTGCTTGTTTAGTGGCTAGCGTAACAGATCCTTCTTCTTCTTCTTCTTCTTCTTCTTCCTCTTCTTTTCCTTGGGTTTGAGACGGATTTTCTGTACTCACAGAGTCTTCCAAACTATCTGGTTTCTCATCAGAGGAGTTACCCATGAAGGACATCACAGGATCAAAGAGACTTTTGGTATCAACTGCAGGTGGCCACATACTTGAAGCTGAGGAGAGAAAGAAAAAAAAAAAAAAAAAAAAAAGGATTTCTGATTGTGAGCATAAACCAGGCTACAAGAAGCTCAGAGAAGACACTGGTTTTTACTATTGGTAAGTAAACACAGAATATCCCCGAAATCATAGCTAGCCTAGGCTGAACCAAATGCTAAGTGTAAAATTCTCGAAAAACAAGAGTGAGAAGAGCACCTTCACCGCCAGATTCCGACTTCTCGTCAAAGCCGAGAGCATTGTCGAAATTCTTTTCGATGTTCTTAACGCTCTCCTGGAATTTATTCACTGCCCCAGTGAGATCTGGGAATCCTCCCAGAGATACTTTACCACTGAACCAAGCCATCTCCACCAGCAACCTGAGACTCGTTCGACCTAAATCTCAAATAAATCACCGGACCAGATCCATCTCCAGCCAGCCCTGCGCTCGCAAGGAAAACAATAGAGTAAGAACTCCGCGTGATCTAGCATCTGAAAGGGGAATTGCTCGTGATCTAGGACCAAGCGTGGGATTCACAGATTCAGACACACAGGATTAATCAAATACGATTCTCGAATCACAAACTCTATGCGATCCAAGCAATTGGCGCGACTGGTTTAATTAGTCGAGCAAACAAAACGATGCAGGAGAAGCATTAGCTAGCTATTGCCATTTGGGATCAGAAAAGCTTACGAGAAGGAGATGCGTCGTGATCGATTTGCGGAGGAGACCCAATGCCAATGCGTTAGATCCAATCCAAATGCAGCTTTTTGAGTTTTTTCTTTAAGCGGCATAAAAACGGCGTCGTTCAGTTAATCAAATCGTTATCGGTTCAAATCCCAATGACTGTATGTATATCCCTTGAATTCTCAACGTTTAGATTTGTAACATAATTCTCTGATTAATTTTTTAAAAATTCACAAAACTCTCTACAAATTCAACAAATTTTGAACTTTTAGAGTCACGTAACCCTGTCTAAATCAAACTTTGGATATCTCTGGAAAAAGCTAAAAGAATACGCGCGGTTACTACGATGTAGGTACGATTATGATGGAACATAATGATACAGCCCAAGAGTAACAGGGCCCTCCAAATGTTCGGGCAGCAGCAAACAAACCAACCAAGGCACCCTAGTTCAGGTTCCGGGAGAAATTGATGACTCCTCCCTTCCTCGTCACGCTCACAAACATACATTACCTACGATTAATTGATACGTGTTGTTTCTTTAATTCTTATTTACGATATAAGACTTGGAACACGATGTACAAAAGATTCATGCATGCATGGTATATTGGTATATATACACACCGTCGGCCATATATATCTACGTGGTACTACTGAATACTGATCACTAGGTAGCAGTTGATTAGCTAGGTCTCGCACATTTGTGTCCTTTAGTTTCATCTGATTGTTCCCAACTAACTATCCATCTTTCGTGTTTTGTGGTTGGAGGTACCAAGAATATTAGGAACGTACGAGTCGTATGGTATAAAAGTGAATTAAATTAAAATGCATCTCCTTGTTATTAATTATATGGAGCAAGTTGTCCTCACTGTCTTTATCTGGCACAATCTCCTATGCCACGAGTCCCTCTTCGCACGTGTGCACACTCAGTGTCACATTTGTACAAGACGTTTGCTATGAGTGTGAGATCATATTCCATTTTGGTGGGTCAATTCTCTTTCTAGATAGTAATTTGTAAGGATGTAAATAAAAAGGATAGTCAGTTGTTAAAAACTTAAAACCAAACAACAGCGGAAAGAAAGAAAAAAACAAAGGATATATAGTCAGTTACGTTGCATCTTGGAATCAACTAATGGGTTGTCTTAATTAATTTGGTAGACCCTACTGCTTTCCCAAGATAGTTGCTTTCTTTCGCCTGAATACTAGAAAACAAAAAAAAAAACGGACTGGTTTTGGATGTTGCCAACATGGCTAAGAGATTTATCGTGGAAAGGGAAATTTTTACCCAAAATCCTAAGTTAGTATACGAGAGCGATGAGAGAGAGAGAGAAAAGCAGCAAAAAGGAATGAGATGATTAATAAGGAATCTAGAGGCAGTATTTAATAACTAATACTTATATATAGATAGATAGAGAGCGATGAGAGGTTAGGCATTAATTAATTAAAAGAGCATGTGGTATGGTGAACGTAAATGTTATGGTTGCTTCCCTCTACACATTCTGTATCTACCTTTCCTAACTAACAATTCTATCGGCCGTACGGCTAGCAAAGCAAACAGAAGAAGAAGAAGAGAAATCTGATGGAGCTTTTGAATTGCAGATTCGAGTTTTACCATTACATATATACCAATCTGCATATGTATGTGTATCACTTAATCTAATTTCCTTCCCTAATCCCCACGTATTTCTCCATTAATTATTTACGAAATAGGGTTTAACCAGCGTACTCTCCTTTGTTTGAAAGATAATTACAAAGCATATAAAATGTATCTTGTGATATCATATGCCATGTAGGTTGCATATAGCCCATATAATATGATGGTAGTCTTAACGTTTGAAGCTGTGTTAATATTTCCGTTTTATATAATAAGATGATCAAAACGAATTTGTCAGATTTTAAAATCACATACACATGTGCCTATAAGGGGAGGGAGGGAGAGATGTGAAGGTAGTAGTAATAAAGAGAGGGTGGAAGAAATAGAAAGAGGTTGGAGGCAAAGCCATAAAGAGCATTCATTTCCTTTTAAGGTCGCTGATAACTAATGAGTAACGATCGGTCAATGCCTCTCCTTCACTTTCAAATCCGACGTGTTTTTCTGTTGCATATTTCCCTTCTCACGTCATCCCTATATTTTCCATGTATCTATATTTTTTTCATATTTACTTATTCAACAAATCTTCATGCCTTTACCTTAGTATATAAATAATAACTAGCTAGTCATATTTGTTTAAATACTGCTACTCCTACTGACTACTAGTATTTATTTGATTTCAATTCCAGGAATATATATTAGCATTACAATAAGCTATCGGAGCACAAGCTAGCTAGGCACATATTTAACCTGTAATAATATTATGTTCACTCTCTCTTGTAAATGCTTTTCCATTTATCTATGCTGACGCAATATCTTGCTTGACAACCAAGTTTATCATATCTTATTGTCAGAAAATAAGAGAGTTTACAATACTACCAAGATGTAATAGTTGCGTTTTGTATAAGTTACTATTGGTTGAAAGAAGGGATAGCAATAACATAGTAGTATTAAATCATAACTAATCTAATAAATAAAAGATAGAAGAAGTCATAATAATAATAGTAATGATGATAATTAAGGAGGAAAGAAGAAAGCAGAAAATGCGGTTGGAGAATTAGGTGCTTAAAGTTAGTTGAGTCCATCCCAGTATCTAACGGTCAATGCTCTCTTTAACCCTTTTCAAAATTAGAATACATAATTGATCTGACATTCATATGTCTTTTTCTCTGTACTCTCTAGTCTCTACACACAATTCAATTAAGAAGAGACAGATAATTTGGTATTTTGTCTGTATACCCTTAAATCATGCAAGCCCCTTATTCTCATTCCTTCTCCCTGTCTACAGTAATTTATATATGTGCTTTAAATCGATTAAATTCATGACTAGGGGCAAAATCATGTTCAAACCAGTTGATTAATTCAATTCGTTTGTGCCGAAATTCTTCCAACATTATATATATACACTTACCATTTGAAGGGATAATATTTCTAGATACGCATGGGCGAATTCGCTCATACAATACAATCCATCGATATATTCAGAAGAAAAATGACGTTGATCGATGGCTGAAACTGAGACATGTTAAAAAACTAATCAAGTGTCAGGACTGAAGTAGCGGATAAAACTGTAAAACCAATAGAGTAGCATTAGAAAAAAACATAAATGAAGTGGTTAATTATAAATAAATGAAGCACCTAAAAGTCAAGCAGTAGAGAAATGGGAAAGATATCTGAAAAACGACCGTTTATATAATTGGTATTGAAGGGCTAGCTTAGCTTATAGGTAAAAATAAAAATAAAGAAAACTAAAAGAAAAAAAGACTATATATAAATAGAAGGAAGAAGGGGGAAGAGGATAAGCAAATAAAGATCGATCGGAGCGTATGTCAATGGCCGTGGAGATGTCATCAAAACAACCAACGAAAGACTTCTTCTCCTCTCCAGCACTCTCCCTCTCTCTCGTATGCTCTTTTTAATTTCTACACATATTGATTAATTGTAGGGATTGTACCGTATTCTTTATGTGTATATTATAATATTTGAATGGTGATGATGATATCATACAGGCTGGGATATTCCGGAATGCATCCTCCGGCAGCACGAACCCCGAGGAGGATTTTTTGGGGAGGAGGGTAGTTGACGAAGAGGATCGGACGGTGGAGATGAGCAGCGAGAACTCGGGACCCACAAGATCCAGATCAGAGGAGGAGTTGGAGGGTGATGAGGAGCAAGAGTTGGATGAGCTGGAGGAAGATGGTTCCGGAAACAAGGGCAAGAAGAGGAAGCGGAAGAAGTATCATCGCCACACCACCGATCAGATCAGACACATGGAAGCGTACGTTCTTCTTCCTTCACTCTTATTTCTTTTAATTCATATTTTATAATCATCTCAACTAGGGTTTTCAAACAAGGAACATTCACTAATTAGTCTTGATGATCGTAACCATTATCTATGAATTTGATTATCTCATACACACCCTTCTTCTCAACTATGTTGATTTCATGTATCATCTCATCTCCATATATATACATAGATAGGGGTAATAGTAGTCAGAGAAAGGACGGTGCCTTGTGAAGAAAAGTTCACTCCATTTCTAGTGCAAACGAGAAGAAAAAAAGAATGCATATACAAATATTTCATGTAAAATGTGGACAAATATATTGCCAAGCATTAATTTCGACATAGGCGTTTAATTACATGGTTTGCCTACTCTTTATTTTTCTCTTTCCTCTCCGTACATGTTTTGGTTGGACACAGATCGTAATTAAGGATTTTGAAAATTCATTCGATCATAATGAAAGCCGAGATCTGTATGTATAGACTGTAGAGGTAGTAAGGGTTCAGGGTTCAAGAGAAGAAATGCTTTGATGGAAATGTGAACTGAGAAAGTGAACATATACGCAGGCTATTCAAAGAGACACCACATCCGGACGAGAAGCAAAGACAGCAGCTGAGCAAGCAATTAGGGCTCGCTCCTCGCCAGGTCAAGTTCTGGTTCCAAAACCGCCGCACCCAGATCAAGGTACGTACCTTTATTTGTGAAGACAAAGAATAAAAATGAAAGACTAGTACGTACGTACGTACGTTGTTTAATGAAACCTCCTACGATAACAGGCTATCCAAGAACGGCACGAGAACTCTTTGCTGAAAGCAGAACTAGAAAAGCTGAGAGAGGAGAACAAAGCGATGAGAGAGTCGTTTTCAAAGGCTAACTCTTCGTGCCCCAACTGCGGAGATGATCTTCACCTTGAAAACTCCAAACTGAAAGCCGAGCTCGACAAGCTCCGTGCGGCTCTCGGACGCACTCCCTACCCACTGCAGGCCTCATGCTCCGACGACCAAGAACGCCGTCTCGAAATGTACACGGGGGTCTTTGTCCTGGAGAAGACTCGCATCGCGGAGATCGCCAACCGAGCCACCCTTGAGCTCCAGAAGATGGCCACCTCGGGCGAGCCTCTGTGGCTCCGCAGCGTTGAGACGGGGCGGGAGATTCTAAACTACGATGAGTATCTAAAGGAGTTCCCACAAGCACAGGGGTCTTCGCTTCCTGGAAGAAAATCCATCGAAGCATCCAGAGATGTGGGCGTTGTGTTTATGGACGCACATAAACTTGCGCAGTGTTTCATGGACGTGGTACTTTTTCTAAGTTTTTCGTTCATTAATTTATTATATTGCTTAGGAACATGTGGGTTAATGATGATGAACGTGTGTAGGGGCAATGGAAGGAGATGTTTGCGTGCTTGATCTCAAAGGCGGCGACGGTTGATGTCATAAGGCAGGGTGAAGGGCCTTCAAGGATCGACGGTGCCATTCAGTTGGTGAGAGTGACTCTCGAAGACTTTATTTATCTTTATATTTATATAGTGATGATGAAGAAGATAATGAATACGTATGTTTATGTATAATTGGCAGATGTTTGGGGAAATGCAGCTGCTCACTCCGGTCGTCCCCACCAGAGAAGTATACTTTGTGAGAAGCTGCCGGCAGCTGAGCCCTGAGAAATGGGCCATCGTGGACGTGTCGGTCTCCGCGGAGGAGGACAAGGAGGCTTCCTTGCTGAAATGTCGGAAACGTCCCTCAGGCTGCATCATCGAGGACACCTCCAACGGCCACTCCAAGGTCACCTGGGTGGAGCACCTCGACTTGTCTGCCTCCACGGTTCAGCCTCTCTTCCGCTCCTTTGTCAACTCCGGTTTAGCCTTTGGTGCTCGTCACTGGGTCGCCACCCTCCAGCTCCACTGCGAGCGCCTCGTCTTCTTCATGGCTACCAACGTCCCCACCAAGGACTCTCTCGGTCCGTCCTCTCTATATATATTTACTCTCTCTCTCTCTCTCTCTCTCTCAAGCTCCTTGTTAACTTGACGCCAATGATCTTCCTCTCAGGGGTTACAACGCTAGCAGGGAGAAAGAGCGTTCTGAAAATGGCTCAGAGGATGACGCAAAGCTTCTACCGCGCCATTGCAGCATCAAGCTACCATCAGTGGACCAAAATCACCACCAAAACCGGACAAGACATGAGGGTTTCTTCCAGGAAGAACCTCCATGATCCTGGCGAGCCAACCGGAGTCATTGTCTGCGCTTCTTCCTCCCTCTGGTTACCTGTCTCTCCAACTCTTCTCTTTGATTTCTTTAGAGATGAAGCTCGTCGCCATGAGGTACCTTCTCAAACCCACACAATACATATATTTTGTACTATATCTACAGTTCTACACACACGAGCAATTAAATTCATATCATGATCAGTGGGATGCTCTGTCAAACGGAGCTCATGTTCAGTCTATTGCAAGCTTATCCAAGGGCCAAGACAGAGGCAACTCAGTCTCTATTCAGGTATTGTATAGATATGTTTACTTTTGTCATGTCAGTTTCTCTCGGCTTCCAAATCTAATCTGGCCGGCCAATTCCAGACAGTGAAATCGAGAGAAAAGAGCATATGGTTGCTGCAGGACAGCTGCACAAACTCGTATGAGTCGGTGGTGGTTTATGCTCCGGTGGATATAAACACGACGCAGCTGGTGATCGCAGGACATGATCCAAGCAACATCCAAATCCTGCCCTCTGGATTCTCAATCATACCCGATGGAGTGGAATCACGGCCATTGGTAATCACGTCTACACAAGAGGACAGAAACACGCAAGGAGGGTCCTTGCTCACACTCGCCCTCCAAACACTCATCAACCCTTCTCCTGCAGCTAAGCTCAATATGGAGTCTGTCGAATCCGTCACAAACCTCGTCTCTCTCACGCTCCACAACATTAAGACCAGTCTTCAAATCGAAGATTGTTAATAACTTCACAGTGTCACTCTCTTATGATGAACATGTTGTTAGCCAAGTATATGATAATGTATAGCAGTGCATTAAGCCAAGTTCTGTACAAAAAAAAGCCATTTTTTAACAAGAGTATCTATCAATGTCATACACGATTGATACAATAAACTTGACCAAAACAAAAGCACATTGCAATTGGAAATCCTGGACAAGCACGGCCATCATTGACTAAATTCCACAACTTGACAACATTAAGCAATTGGTGCACGAAATCAGAATGCATATTCCATAAACAGATTAAGAGAATTACACAAGAAACAGAAGCAGCATCATCCGAAACCATAAAACAAACAAGACTCAGTTATCTGTCTCCACTAGGCCGGCTGCTGAGATTCCAAGGGAATGCCGAGGTCGTTCCCAGCTGCTGCTCCTCCTCCGGCTTCCGGATTCCTGCTGCTCCGCGAGGCGACAGGAAGCGCCACGAAAGACTTAGTCTTACTGATGGGTCTGCTCTTCTCGAGCCTCACCACGTCGCCCACCTTGAACTGATTATCCGGGTCATGCGCTTGGTACTTCTTCTTCTTCCTCACGCGCCTCTTGTACTTGGGGTGTGGGGCCAGCCTCACCACCTCCACCGCCACTGTCTTGTCGTTCGTTGCGCACACCACGCGCCCCTGCATCGTTTTCATCGCTCTGATCACCGGAACTGCAGCGGCGGGCCTTCCAGGGTTCGGGAAGTAATTGGGCTTCGAGAGAGTCGAGAGTGGAGTGGAGCCATTGGTGAATGGAGAAGAAAGCTTCAGAGCTTGCAGAGATGAGATTAGGGACGTCATCGTTATCCCTCTCCCGAAAATGAGATTCCGAGGATAAGGCGATAATGTTTTATGTATAAAAGTGGAAGAGAAGAAATGATCTGATATACTGTACATGGGCTTCTAAGACTTTGGTAAATGAATTTACAATTAAATGGGCCTTATCTTTAGGCCCAGTTTTACAAATTACAATTCCCTCTTTTCCCTCCTAAATTTAAACTTGTACGCTCTACTCAACAAGCCGGATCAATGCCGCGCCGTTGGACTATTGACGCCGCCTAGGGTTTCGAGGTATGAGATCTTCTTGGTGGTGACGACACCTATCTTCTCCTTCACCAATTGATCGTCCGACGTTTCCTTCTTCGCATCCAAGTCGGCGTTCCCCTGCTCGACTTCCCATCCCATGAAATCCGACAACGTCATACTCCCAACCAGCGTCTCCACGGCCACGTCCTCTGGCTCCCTCTTGTTCACCGCTCGATCTGCCTCTAGAACGTCGTCAATTCTCGACAGCACCGTGTACGCCAAGCTCTCCAGTATTCTCGAGTAGCTCTCCAACACCGCGTGACCCACGTCCTGTGATGATCAGAGAGAAATGTAAAAAAAAAACATCGAAAATCTGAATGGATGATTGAAAAGATTGAGCAACCTTGTTGAACTGGATTTTGCTGATGTCGAGGGAGGACTGAGAAATCCCAGGGTATCTATGCTTGAGAATGAGCAAAATGGTCTCAGCTCGCTCTTCGAAGACCTCTCTCTTCTCCAAACTGACCCCCGAGGCCCACGGGGCCGATGATTTGGTGTCTTTGTGCACCATTTTACGTTTCCATATGATGATTGATGCCTCGATTCTGTTTTTGAGGTCGACGATCTTGTGCTCCGACGACATGTCCATGGTGCCCAGGAACTGGTCCGGGTCGAAGAAGTCCACCGTTATATTCTTGTACATCTGATCCCCGAGACTAGCCCTCCCGTTCTGTAGTATCAAGTATAAACAATAAAAAGCGTGAGTTGCTCCATTTTGACCATAAATTGTGACTGTGGTGGTGTTTACTACTGTTTACCTTGGGGAGTGAGTCGATGTAGCTCTCAGGGATCTCCATTTCGAACAAGACCTGCGCGTTTATGGCCATGGCTGCCTTGAGAACCTGGTTCACACAATCTTTCTGGTACTGCAAGAACCTTCTTGAAGCTTGGGATAAACCATCTGGCGGAACTTTGACGGTCGGAATCCACCATTTCTCGTCATTTCTCTTGTCCGAATCAGGTGAGTCTTTTGAAACATAGCTGAACTCGCTTTGGTCCTTGAAATTCTCTAGACAATCCTAAAGAGAAAAGGGCAAGAAACAAATCAGCCATGACATTAGTCAAACTTGGTTTGTGTGTTGACAAGGAAGGAAGGAGGTCTTACAATGAGCATAGCGTCCAATTTCCTTAAGGCGGGGATGTTCATGTGGAGGTCAGTACGTTGCCGTGTAGTCATTATCTGTTCAAAGTAAGATGGATAAGTAAATCACCAAATCATAAATAAATCAGCAGAGAAACATGTAAACAAACTAACCTCCATTTCGGTTCCATCTTTGTTTTTTTGCTGAGATGGAGCAAACTCAACGACGTAGTTGGTCACAGAGAGAAGCCAATCAATCTCTCTTCTCCATCTTGCTCTCCTCTCTGCAGCCATTGGCTCCAAACGTCGTTGCTCTCCAAACACGGAAGCTACCAACAAGAAAAACAAGACAAGTTGATTGATAGAGAGAGGGACCACCAACCAGAAAAGTCCTAATTCTATTCCTAATCCTACCTGAAAGGTTAGTGATAGCGTTTGAGAGGGCGAGAGCAGAGGAGACTCCTTTGCCTCCACCGGAATTGTCCTCTCCCAGCAACAGCTTTGAGAAGCGCTCTTTCATCTGCTCCATGTCTGCCATAAGCTGTTTTTCTCTAGCCTGTGCGGCTGCGAGCGTTGCTTCATCAGCAACCGATCTTGAATGTGGCGGGCCCTCGTTAGGATGGATTATGGTCAACGGTTCAACCTCCTGAGATTCGTTGGCTGCCTCATCTAAACCGGTCTCCACGCTGACACTCTTGGCGTGTCTGCCTACATTGTTGTCGTTGTTCCTCCATTTAAAATTGAACAGCCTGTTTCTATAGCCTTCCTGCTCTTGCTCTGATGCACGAACCATTCCTACTGCTTTCCGAGAGATTTAGAGTCAAAACAAAAAAAAAGGGCCAAAGAGGAGACCTCTCTTCTAAAATAATCAAGGGGAGGAGAAGGATTTTGCCAATTGAGCGGCAAACACAATAAAAGAAGATATGCTAATTGTTACAGTGATTTTGGGCAGAGAAATTTGTGGAGATGGCAATGGAGGGAACGTGAGGCACATATTTTAGACCGGTTAATTATAACTAATGATCAATCAGGGGTTCTATAATTAGAGATAGATATAAAGCAGTCTAATATATCATCATGAATTCATGATGTCTGTTACCTACCCATTTCTCTGGATTTCCTAAGAGCATGCTTAACGCAAAGGTGCTTATGTGATGCTTATTATATATTTTATTAATAAAATTGTGCTAAGCATCTCTGTTAAAATTATTTTGTTTTCTCTGCTTTAATGGGGGGAGCTTATTGGGGGGTGCTTAAGAAAAAAAAAATTAAGAAATTATTTTAAAGGCTGTCAAACCAACCAAAAATACTATCTTTTGTGTCTCTCAACTTCAAATTCATGAAAACACTTAGCTTAGAATCTCTGTTGGACAATTATGCAAACATATAGTGTGTACAAGACTTTACTTGAACAAAGACAAGGCCACGTTCATAGGCCAAGCGATTGATAAGCCGTTCTTTCTCCACATGAATTGCAAGTGAATTCCACAAGCAAACGTCTTCTTGGTAGTTTAATATCTATAGCAGCAACTTGTCCCTGGAGAACAAAGCACCAACAATTCAGCGATAAAGACAGAGACACAAACAATCACCATTAAGACCCAATTTCATTGAACTACCTCTGAGAGGTATCCTCAAAAAAGAGCACCATGTATTTCACATAGGTGGATACAAACATAGAAAACTAATCTTGGCTATCTTATCAAATTTCAGAAAAGGAAAAGCAAGACAATCTGTTCCACCACAAAACATGAAACATTCTCACTTCAAATCATAAAACCAGTGAGTTAAAATATACAAGATATCCGCAGTTAGAGGAAATAGCCACTAGACAGACCATCAATACAATAACTATGAACGCTAAACCAATCAATGCAACAAGTGTTCATATCACATTATTATGTCACTATCTTCTCAATCTGCTAAAAGATCATGAAAGCTAATAGAACTCACCATAATCACCTCAATTCCAGCAACATCCATCTTAGTTTTGGTGAAAAATGCTGTAAAATTCACTGCTACTTGTAACAGACAAGACACAAGAGAACAAACCGATTTCAGAGAATCAGAATTGAAGAACGATGGAGAAAGATCAACATCCAAGTTTTCTACATCTGAAGATAAAAGTGTCAATGCACCGAACAATAAGCAGATATTGAAAAAAAGAGATCTTAGTTTTAAATTCAGAAGAGCTTTGTTACCAATCTACATTCAATTCAACAACACCAATACAGAATTACAATCACAACTGTAATTAAAGGCACAAGTACTCATCTCAAATCCATGTTCTAGACTCTCTAAGCAAGCGCAAACATAACCAAACATGCATATTTGAGGTCTTACTTGAAACAATGGCTGGATTGAGTAAAGTCCCATCCTCTCGCAGACTGAACCAATCATGCGGCTTCTTCGCCGATTCTCATCACCATAAGATGATTAGGGATGCCCCATCACCGGAGACGTGAATTCCGACTGATTTCGTATGCAAAATTAATTCAATTTTGGAATCGCCATTGGAGAGGGGAAGCAAAGAAGAGAGAGAAGGGAAAGAGAAAGAAACACGTTTTTATCTCTCAATTACCTCCTTCCAATCATAACCTGCCACGTGTCCATTAGCACCAGCGCTTAAAAAGCTTATGCAAGCGTCGGAGCTTTGTTTTTTTCGTATTTTTTATTTAATTAAATGCTTAATTTGTGTTAAGCGTCGCTTTAAGCGCCCGCGTTAAACATGCTCTAAGCATGCAATGTCAACGGCGAATCTGCTACTTACTACAGTCTACACATCACATGCATACATACACTAGTGTCCTTTTTTAAGTTGATGAATTTCAAACGTAAATGACGTAGTGGGCCAATTTTATTACTGGCACATGTAGGCCCATCTTTATGACGCCCATAAAGCTTCTGTTATCTCTCTCTCTCTCAGACGCATTCGCTCGTCAACCACCCTATACAGACCACTCACTCCTCTGCGCCTGGAGCTTAATCAGCAGAGTAACTCCCAAAAATGGAATCAATCGGAGTCCTGATGATGTGCCCCATGTCCTCTTACCTCGAGAACGAGCTTGAGAAGCGCTTCAACCTTGTTCGATTCTGGAATTCGCCGGAGAAATCCGTCCTTCTAGAGACTCATCGGAACTCTATCCGCGCCGTGGTTGGAAATGCTTCCGCCGGCGCTGATGCTCAACTCATCGACGATCTCCCCAAGCTTGAGATCGTGTCCAGCTTCAGCGTCGGGCTGGACAAGATCGATTTGGGGAAATGCAAAGAAAAAGGGATCCGCGTCACAAACACTCCCGACGTTCTCACCGAAGACGTCGCAGATCTCGCGATTGGCCTTATCCTGGCTCTCCTCCGACGCTTGTGTGAGTGCGATCGCTATGTCAGGAGCGGAAAGTGGAAGACCGGTGATTTCAAACTCACTACTAAGGTTTCTCCCTTTTTGTTCTCTGCTCTTCATTATATCATATGGATCCACACGCGTTTCGTGAAAGTTAGTGGTTGCATCATATTGCTCTTGATCAGAATGAATGTGGTGATCAGTTTGATTTTCTTTTTTTCTATTCAGATTTGTTGTATGTTATTTAGTGATTGGCGTAGTAGACACAGTAGCTTGAGAAAGTCTCGCATGTCTTTGAAAACTGAAATTCTTTTTTTGTCACAGCTGAGAGTGGATCTTGATCTGCGAAGAATTCGTACTAAACATTCTTTCTTATATTGAATCAGTTTAGCGGCAAAACCGTGGGGATCATTGGTCTAGGTAGAATTGGGACAGCCATCGCAAAGAGAGCTGAAGCATTTAGCTGCCCGATCAATTACTACTCAAGAAGAGTGAAGAGTGATGTAGGCTACAAGTATTATCCAACGGTGGTTGAGCTTGCTAAGAACTCGGACATCCTCGTGGTGGCATGCCCGTTGACGGATGAAACCAGACACATTGTGAACGGGGAGGTGATGGATGCGTTAGGAGCAAAGGGCGTGCTGATAAACATAGGGCGTGGGCCACATGTTGATGAGCAAGAGCTCGTAAAAGCTCTAAGAGAAGGCCGCCTAGGTGGGGCTGCGCTGGACGTGTTTGAGCAGGAGCCGCACGTCCCCGAGGAGCTCTTTGGCCTTGAGAATGTAGTTCTGCTCCCTCACGTTGGCAGTGGCACTGTGGAGACACGCAATGCCATGGCCGATCTTGTGGTCGGTAACTTGGAGGCACACTTTTCTGGAAAATCACTTCTCACTCCGGTTGTCTGAGTGAGAATGAGATGATACACTTGGGAATTTGTCTCACATTTGGAGGCTTGATAAAAAACTTGATCCAAATAAACTTGCTCTCTCTTGTACAAAAGATATGGATTTAAATACTAAAGTGTATTTCATGTCTCCTCCTTGGGAAAAGCAGAAACTTCTTATACGTTTGGATTTCACATTTGTATTCGAAAGACAAGTGATTGGGCAAATGAAAAAACGGGAAGCAAATAAACAAGGGAAAGGCAAAATATGAGAAACCCGTAAAAAGGAAAAGTGAGGAGAAGCAAAATCAAAAATGGAGACGAACCCTGTGGTGTCTGCTACTTACTAAACCCTGTGGTGTCGTCTCTCCTTTTGATAACCTCTTGCTCTTCAATATTTCGATTTGGGTAGAAGCTTCCAGAACCAAATCCCATCTCGCGATCCAGGTTTGATTCAGATTCCCTTCTCTCTCGCCCTCTTATATAGTTAGGTGCGGATCGTCTAGATCCGAAGCTCCTCTTCTTTTTCGTATATGTGATTTATGTGTATCCTCCATTGCAGAGTTATTTTGTATTCTTTCTGCCTTGGGTGTTTTGAATTTAGTTCCTGTGTATATAGTCTAATTAGCTTCTGATCATTATGGGTCTTTGTACCCTCAAACTTCGTTAATGCAATCATTTTTCAGTTGGATGGTTTAAGAGTTAACAGCAATTCTTATTGTTTCGATATTGCAATGTGATGGTTTTTATTGATTAATAAGGTTTCCGGAGGGCCCAGCATCGAAGAAAATGAGTGTGGTTGGGTTTGATTTTGGAAACGAGAATTGCCTTGTTGCTGTTGCAAGGCAAAGAGGTATCGACGTTGTGCTTAATGATGAGTCAAATCGTGAGACTCCGGCTATTGTATGCTTTGGGGAGAAGCAGCGCTTCATCGGGACTGCTGGAGCTGCTTCCACCATGATGAACCCCAAAAATTCCATCTCCCAAATCAAACGTCTAGTTGGTCGCCAGTTCTCGGACCCCGAGCTGCAAAGGGATATCAAATCTCTGCCCTTTTCCGTCACGGAAGGGCCTGATGGCTATCCCTTGATCCACGCTAGGTATTTGGGAGAGATGAGAGCCTTTACCCCAACTCAGGTCATGGGAATGATGCTGTCTAATTTGAAAGGTATTGCTGAGAAGAATATGAATGCAGCGGTGGTGGACTGCTGCATTGGCATTCCTGTTTACTTCACCGACCTCCAGCGAAGAGCTGTTCTGGATGCAGCCACAATTGCAGGCTTGCATCCGTTGCGCTTGATCCACGAGACAACAGCAACGGCTTTGGCATATGGTATTTACAAGACTGATTTGCCAGAGAATGAGCTGCTCAATGTCGCTTTCATTGACATTGGCCATGCAAGCATGCAAGTCTGCATTGCAGGCTTCAAAAAAGGACAGCTCAAAATCTTGTCTCACGCTTTTGATCGCTCTCTGGGGGGAAGGGACTTTGATGAAGCTCTTTTCCATCATTTTGCTGCTAAATTCAAGGACGAGTACAAGATTGATGTCTCCCAGAATGCTAAGGCTTGTCTCAGGCTCAGGGCTGCCTGCGAGAAGCTGAAAAAGGTTCTCAGTGCTAATCCTGTGGCACCATTGAATATCGAATGTTTGATGGATGAGAAAGACGTTAGGGGTGTCATAAAGAGGGACGAGTTTGAAGAGATCAGCATCCCTATTTTGGAGCGTGTTAAGAGGCCTCTGGAGAAAGCTCTCTCTGATGCGGGCCTCACAGTTGACGATGTGCATATGGTCGAGGTTGTTGGCTCTGCCTCTCGTGTTCCTGCTATGATCAAGATCCTTACTGAGGTTTTTGGCAAGGAGCCCAGGCGTACAATGAATGCAAGTGAGTGTGTATCCAGGGGATGTGCCTTGCAGTGTGCCATTCTCAGTCCAACCTTTAAAGTTCGCGAATTCCAGGTGATTAATGATGAAGGAAATGTTGTGTTTTCATCTACTTATAAGCAGCTCGACAACTGTTTTACTCCAGGTTATCTAACAAGTCATATCATGATCTTTTTTCTCTTAAGGTTCATGAGAGCTTCCCTTTCTCAGTTTCGATGGCGTGGAAAGGAGTAGCTTCCGATGCTCAAAATGGAGGAACTGAGAATCAGCAGAGCACCATTGTTTTTTCCAAAGGAAATCCCATTCCTAGTGTCAAGGCTCTTACGTTTTATCGTTCTGGAACCTTTTCTGTTGATGTGCAGTACGGTGATGTGACCGAATTGCAAGCCCCTCCAAAAATCAGCACATACACGGTTTGATCTTTCCCCAGTGTCATGACTACTTAAGACTGTAGCGCTTTTGTTTCTCATGGTTTATCTCCTTTTTGTAGATTGGTCCCTTCCAGTCATCAAAAGGCCAAAAATTAAAGTGAAAGTGAGATTGAACCTGCATGGAATTGTCTCAATTGAATCGGCAACTGTAAGTTTTTCTTGTTATACTAGAACTATTATGATCATTCGATGCAACTGGTTCTTTAAGTGAGCTATCTAAAGGCTCATTCTACTAATTACAAATGATCATTCAGAGCCATGCCTTCCCTTACAAATCTGGAGATCCTTTAATGTATGCTATTTTTTTTCTCTCTCCTCATTGCAGCTTTTGGAAGAGGACGAAGTTGAAGTTCCGGTCTCGAAAGAACAATCGGAGGAAACTACTAAGATTGGCGCTGAAAAAGCTTCTGCTGAGGCAACTACTGCTTCTGGTGACTCTGATGTTAACATGCAAGACGCCAAGGAAACCAGTGATGCAGCTGGTACTGTCAACGGTGCTCCTGCTGATAAGCCGGTCCAAATGGAAACTGATTCAAAGGCTAGTTTCTCTACTGAACTGATGGTGCTTGCTCTATTCATTTGCTTGTGATGTGAACTTTAAATAATGGGTACTTGCTTATGGGATGAGCAGGCTGAGGCTCCGAAGAAGAAAGTGAAGAAAACTAATGTACCTCTATCAGAATTGGTCTACGGTGCCTTGCAATCTGTGGAGATCCAAAAGGCTGTGGAGAAGGAATTTGAGATGGCTTTGCAAGACAGAGTTATGGAGGAGACCAAGGACAAGAAGAATGCTGTTGAATCGTATGTTTATGATATGCGAAACAAAGTAAGAATCCTTTCCTTTCCTTTTCGTTTTTTTGTTGCATTGAGAATAAGGTTCAGAGTATTGACGTGTTTTGTTTTCAGCTGAGTGAAAAGTACCAGGAATATATAACTGATTCAGAGAGGGAAGCATTCCGGGCGAGGCTGCAAGAAGTGGAGGATTGGTTGTATGAAGATGGGGAAGATGAGACCAAAGGTGTTTATGTTGCAAAGCTCGAGGAGCTCAAGAAGGTACTACACATGGTGGCACTTCATTGTGGTAAAAACCCTGTTTGAATGAATAAATTGTTATAACAAAGGTTGGGGGTTGTTTTTTTTTGTAGGTGGGCGACCCTGTTGAAGAGCGTTACAAGGAGTCTCTGGAAAGAGGATCGGTCATTGATCAACTTGGTTACTGTATCAACAGTTACAGAGAGGCAGCTGTGTCTAATGACCCTAAATTTGACCACATCGAAATGGCAGAGAAGCAAAAAGTAATAATTTGGCTCATCTTGAAAGCAGAACAAGTGCTAAGCTTCTCGTGATTGTTGCAGGCTATTATGAGAAGAATGTTGATGTGTTTGTTGTTGTTGTTGTTGTTGTGCAATAATGAAGGTTTTGAACGAGTGTGTGGAAGCAGAAGCATGGCTGCGGGAGAAGAAGCAGCAGCAGGACGCGCTTCCCAAGTATGCAACACCGGCTCTCTTGTCAGCTGACGTTACAAGCAAGGCGCAGGCATTGGACAAGTAAGCAAAACTTCGCATTTGTTTCTCCCAAGAGAAATGGTAATATGGTATAGTGAATGATGAACAAGATTTGGTGGATGTCTGGCAGGGTTTGCAGGCCTGTAATGACCAAACCAAAGCCGGCTAAAGCGGAGTCACCACAAGCCAAGGGAGATGAGGCCGCCGATGAAGGCAAGAGTGAGCCACAAGAACCAGACTCCGGCGAACCGATGGAGACAGAGAAGCCCACCCAAGGTAGTGCCTAAATAAACCACAGTGTTGTATCGATTTTGTTTTATCCTTTATAGTTACACTAGTGGAACCTCTTTTTCTGGTTTCGCTATCATACGGCGAGAGGATTCAAAATTTAATTCTTCCTTTCGTTAACAATTTTCTTTTTATCATAGTGGTTTCTTTTCAATTTTAAGATCTTGTTTTCTTCTTCTTCTCTATCGTTGTAACTGTTAGTTTTTTTGTTTGTTTTGAAACGCAAATGACATGCAAATTTATCCTATATCGAAGTGTTAATGTACATATTTGATCTCCCAAAGTTCAACATCTTCTCCTCTATCGTAACCCTTGGCGTACTGAGGGATTTGTGTGACGTCGATACGTCTGCCCACAAAACTCTTGTCCTCTTGCTCACCTGTTCCATCTTCTTTGATGTAGCTTCTGAAGCAAGCGTAGCCATTGGCAACAACGTCAAGATCATCCAGGCTGAAGTTGAATCGTTTCTCCAATCCCAAATATAGCACCTGCCATTTTCAGATGTAACTTTCTCTCTATACATTATATACATACATGTGGTAAGTGACTGAGCAAGCAAGCACAAGGCCATCCAAGTAGAGTATTACCTTGTCAGTACCGAAAGACATGACTCTCTTTAGCATGCTAAACAAGGCAATGGTTAGATCATCGCTGTAGATCACATCTGCTGCAAAAAGGAAGCGTGCTCTTTTGACTAGTTCAAAGTCCTGCGAGTTCCAACAGTACCTAAACATAGTCAAGGAGGCACAACATTTTGAGAGGATATATATATCAAAAATCAAATGAAGAGCAAGAAGGTGATTCATTACTTACTTTTGTGGATCTCTGCAGTCAGCATGGGTGTCTTCAAGAATAGGCCATTTGCTCATCCAGTTGAGCTCACGAACATGTACCACAGCTTGAGGGTGAAACAAGGTTGAATTCATTTCCACGTTGTGAACACAATTGCCAAGAACTTGGTCTCCATAATCTAAAGCCAAGTGAAGGAAGAAGAAAACAGAGAAGGCTCAGTTTGAGAAAAGGAAAAGAAAAGTATGTGAAGAAGAGATATGTGGTGCACCAACCAGTAAGGAAAACAGCCTTGGCGACCCGTGCAAGCAGTATACCCAGCAGCCCTGGAAAAAGGAGACGAGAAACCAAGATGAAGACATTTGGTGATGAAGCTAAAAATGAGATGCATTTAGTGTGGAGAAACCTGTTCCAGCACCGAGTTCGAGACACACAATGCCGTTGAGTTGAGAAGATGTGGACATGGTATGCAAGACAAAGTCTGATAAGACGAGTTGTGCTTTCCAGACCTGAAGACCAACATGAGGGAGCGTTGAAGTGATACCATGCTGAATGGTTACAGTAAACGATTGAGCGGACCGGGGCCGGCCTGTTCATTCAGTTGATAACAAACTAAGTCAAGGAAGAGAAATGCAAAGGTTTTTATACTTTGTATATTAGTCTGTCAATGAGAGGCATCAAATCTTACTAGTGCGCCTAGGAAGAAGAAGATCACCATCTTTATCTACACTGATACAATGATCACTGGAGGGATCTGAATGGGATCATCGAAAAATAGGTTAAGCTACAAAATCATCATCGAATCAGGTGTATGGATAAAGGAAGGAAGGAAGGAAGGAAGGAAGGAAGGAAGAGGTACCGAGTGGCAAAGAAAAAGTGAAACGGGAAAGAAAGGGTCCGTTGGTGGCGGGTGGGCAACCCAGATGGATCTCACTCATCACCTGAGTCTCTGAATCCTCCTCCATGACTAATTAGTAATTACTGTATGTGTTTGAGATCGATCTAATTGCTCAGCGCCAATCAATTAACCTAAGCGGCAGATGACTCTGAGGAAGGAGAAAGTGAATTGAGGGATTCTCTCGCATTTTTTGTTTTGTTTTCGTCTAACGGGTTGGGTTATCAAGTTAGGAGGGATTACAAAGAAGAAAACTGGAATTCATTCACAGAGGACAACAACAATTCCTAATCACTATTAACTGAACAAAGAAGAAGAAGAGGAAGAAGAGAATCAATTTCGAGTGAGAGCATCTACGCGAGCGGCGACCTCATCAAAGTCAGGGACATTGGAGCCCTTAGGCTGCCACGACGCTGTTCGGCGACTCATCCTCCTGGTCCCCTCTCCGCCTGCTTTCTCCGTCGACTCCGATCTAATGCTCATGTTCTTACTACTTTGTGTCACCGAATCTTCAGTCTCTACCGAATCACGCGGCGGGTTCGCCATTCGTCGTCTCACTGATCTCGGCTTTGTGGGCGAATCTGTTTCATGATGATCAATCACTGGTCAGTGCTTGCTTGCAAATTGCAATTTTATTTATTGATTAATGGATACTCGTACTCACCAGTGTCGTCGGGCATGAGATTGAGATGAGAAATGGTCATCTTCTCCGGAAGGCTTTCCTGTTTCTCGATTTTGTAAGGCGCAGGCATGAATCTGTAGTAGAAAGGCTTTGCTTCGACATCCTCTGCACAAGTCTCGCTTCTACTCTGGATGGGCTCCTTGTCCTTGTCATTGTCATCCAAAGACTCTTCTTTTCTGCTCTGAAACGAAAGCCTGCCTCTGTTTCCTATGGTCTTCTTTTCAGGATTATTATCCTTGGCCTCGTCTCTATGAATATGATGATGCTGAGGTGGTGATGGTGATGACGATGGTGGTGGTGTGTAGAGCCTCTTCTCCAAAGGCTTGGCATCCCATTTGATGGAGTATTCTCTGGCGATTTCCTGCAGAAGCTCAACCTTCATTTCCTTTGAAGGGGGCTCCGCTTTGAATCTCTCAACAAGCTGCACATTCCGATGGAGTCAGGAACAACAACAACAACAACAAGAGCAACAGCAAGTGTGGTTGGGATTAGGATTAGAAGAAAGAAGAAAAACCTGAGGATTGACAAAGTGGTCAAGTGAGTTGGCGTATCTCTCAGCGAATAAAGACCTGAGATCGCGAAGCTCAGGCACTTCAGAGACTCTAGCTGCCGCGTATACGAGGGATGCTATGGCCTCTCGACACTCTTCTGGGCATTTACTGCACCAAAATTACCATTTTTTTAGCTTCTTTATTAGTAAAAGGCAAAGCAGAGCAGAGATGTAGAGGTCTTGTCTTATAAACCTGGATTTCTGTAAGAGAGAGACATTGGAGGCAACACAGACGCAGAATTGCTCCAACAACTCATAACAGGACAGTCTCCTTTTCTCCTCTATCAGCCCTTCTGCCTGTGACACCACACACATACACGAGATCAAGATTCAAACCTTCTCTCTCTATCTACGAATTTATTGCACAGGGTAAAGACCAAATGGTTTATTGGTTTCTTAAGCAACAATTCACTCAACTTATATATAAACAGCTGGTGACAGCATTCTAAATCAAAATTTACATTTCTTTTTTTCCTCTTTTTCTTCCATTGACAATATAACCAACACAACGATTTAACGAAAACATCGTTGACCAGAAGAAAACATGGTTCGATATATAATTCGATGCCTTCACGTTGGGAGAACCAATCACATCCCCATTGAACAGATACAGGGCATGGCATGAATTACGCCACCAATTATGAATATCGGAGTTATTTCTTGATCGCGACGTAACCAAAACATAGAAACTATCTATCTAATCGGCGTAAATAAAAAGAAAATAACCCTGCCATATGCATTGTAATCGAGGCTGTTCTTGAGAAGGTCAACAATGTCGTTCTTCAAATATTTGCAAACTGTTAATTTCTTCCTCTTCACCGCGTCTACTCTTGTCTTTGTTATCTTCACCAGCGTCTTGCTGAGAAATCAATCCGTGTAAATGATGAATGCGATCAACAATTCAAAAACGATACCAAGAAGAGAGGAGAAGAAGGAATTAAAGGATTTACCATTTCGTGTAAAATTTGGGTTTAAACAGCCCATCAAACATTTTGCCTTTTCAAACTAAAAAGCGATCGATGTGTGTTGATTCTTCTTCGATTTTTGTTTTCTCTCTTGTTTTTTTGTTTTTGTTTTTGTTTTTGTTGTTATCTCTCTCTCTTTCGTGCAAGAGAAAGAGAGAGATACAGAGAAGAAATGTCGTCCTTTTGGGAAATATGGCGTTTTTAGAGAAGGCTTTTATATATAAAGAAAAAAAAGAAAAGAAAGAAAGAGAGAGGAAAAGATAAGAATGAAAAAGAAACGACCTTAAGGCTTGGCTGGGTCTACTTGAGATCTCAAGAAACGGACTTGTCTCGCAAGAAAACCAAGCAACCCTCTGCCTCCGCTTTCCTCGACTTTTGTCTCTCTCTCTCTCTCTCTATACGCATTAAGTACCATAGACAGGTGTGTGTGTGTATAGGCAGAGCAGACCAACAGAGAGAAGAAGAGCGAGAAATAAGGATCCATCTTGTAAAAGGGCAAAATAGCGCGCGCTTTTGGGGAGATGTAATTACTAAAACAGGACTGTCTAGTGGACTTCCCATCAGCGTCTAACAGGGTTAGTTTTGGAATTCAACATGCTTTAGTTAGTTAAGCTCTTCGTTATTTTGTTAAGGTGATGGCTGCTGCTAAGTGCTGATCAGCTGATGTAATGTATGTGTCTCTAAATATCTTAATCAGTTACCAATGATTATAACTTCCATCAGGCTCTGGAAATATATAACTTTCAAATATTTTGATAGATTATTTATTTATAACTGAATTTGGTTGGAGGAGGCGAGTAGGTGTTATAAATATAACGGGACCATCGATTCGATTCAAACAAAGTTGGAATACATGTGACTTGACCCAAAAGAAACAAACATGTGATCTCTTTTTGGATAAAAACCCTAACAAGAAATTATAACGATTGGGCCCATAATATAGCCAAAGCCCATTTGATCCCGTCGTTACCACTTCATCTTCGTCATATAGCCAAAGCTGCCTCGGTCACTCAGCTGGTCATATTTCATTTCAAAAATAAAATAAAAATAGTTGGTCATATCTGATATGTTGATTTGGCATGGATGCAGAAGAGGAAGAAGAAAGAAAGAAGAGGAGAAGGTGAGTTATTTACTACTCTTCAACTTAAGGAGTTAGACATGTTGTAATTGTTTCATCCGTAGGAGAGAATGTGGGAGGGTGAGTGAGTGAGTGGATGTGATTGAATGAGAAACAGGGCCTTTATACAAGTAAGCAGAGAAGGGATCAAGATATATTATATATGACTTGTGACTGTCGACTGAATATCTCAACTCATTTGCTTTGAAAACATCATCTGGTAGGAAGTTACTTCACGTCTCTCTAGTCTCTACTCAACTATCGCTTTCTTGCCTCTGTGTCTACATGTATATAAAAAAAGGTATACAAATGTTTGTTTACTCCACGTTTCTTTCTTTGCCTTTATATCATGTGATATGATGGGGATTACCGATTACGTGTACCTGTTCCTCCTGTACAAAACCCATTTAACTTTCTTTCTAGTTTGGTTGGCATGGCTGATGGCTCGTTAACAATATTATTTGTTTACATCTTTGGCAATTTAACAAATCATGATATGTAATTTTTTTTAAAAAGGTGGAGCACTGAGAGTTAACAATAATAAAAAAAGCTTAAGATTAGATTAGATGAATCATTAGACATCTGGAGAGTGAATTTGGATAGATATATTTAAATAAACAAAACATGATTTGTTTGGAGAGAAGGAGATGTAAAAGGATGTAGGTGGCGGGAGTGGGTTGGGCGAGAATGTATGAAAAGGACGGTGCTTTTCCATCTCTTTCATTTTTGGTTTTGTTTTTCCCCAAACAGATTCTCTCGACTGATATCTATTTCCGGGAAAGCCGAGTGTTATTTGTTTTACGTTACTTATCAAACAAAACGGACATAATTTCTCAATCCCCTTTTAAATTCAAATCTACCCGTAAGCAAAGCTGCACACGGACATAATTTCTCTTGGAGGCATCGAATCTCGTTTGCGATTTGCTCGCCATGGATTTCTGGCCCGAGTTTATGGCCACCAGCTGGGGAAGGGAGTTCGTCGCCGGTGGATTCGGAGGCGTCGCCGGAATTATATCAGGCTATCCCTTGGACACGCTCAGAATCCGGCAGCAGCAGAGCTCAAAATCGGGATCTGCCTTCACCATTCTCCGGCGAATGCTCGCCGTTGAGGGTCCCACGTCGCTCTACCGAGGCATGGCCGCACCCTTGGCCTCCGTCACTTTTCAGGTTTTCTTCTTCTTTTCACAGATTCACCTTTTGATTGATAATCACGGTTACTTATCAGGATCAGGAATCAGGATCTCATGAGAGAGAATATTCTAATTCCACTCCACAGGCAAATAAATATAAATAAATAATTGTCTATATATATTGTTGATGCAGAATGCTATGGTGTTCCAGATATATGCCATACTCTCTCGCTCTTTCGATTCCTCTGTTCCTCTGGAAGAGCCTCCTTCCTACAGAGGCGTTGCTCTCGGCGGGGTCGGCACCGGAGCTGTGCAGAGCCTCATGCTCAGCCCCGTGGAGCTCATCAAGATTCGTCTTCAGTTGCAGCAGAGCAAGAGCAAGACTGGTCCCATCAGCTTGGCTAAGAGCATCCTCAAGAGGGAAGGGCTAAAGGGGCTTTACAAAGGGCTCACCATCACAGTGCTCAGAGATGCTCCAGCTCACGGCCTCTACTTCTGGACCTACGAGTACGTGCGGGAACGGCTCCATCCCGGCTGCAGAAAGAATGGAGAGGAAAGCCTCAGGACCATGCTGGTCGCAGGTGGCCTTGCTGGTGTGGCCAGCTGGGTTGCTTGCTATCCTCTTGACGTCGTCAAGACGAGGCTGCAACAAGGAGGTGATGGTGCTTACGACGGCATTTCGGATTGTTTTCGAAAGAGCATCACACAGGAAGGCTATGGGGTTCTCTGGCGTGGCCTCGGGACTGCAGTTGCCAGGGCCTTTCTTGTCAACGGTGCTATCTTTGCTGCTTATGAGGTCGCCTTGAGGTGTTTATTCACTCAATTGCCATCCACTTCTCAAGAGACTGAGTAACAACACTCTAGTTGGATTCAATTCATCATTAGCACATACAAATAGTTTGAGTTGGGTTTGGATTGCAAACAAACCTGACTCCAGGCAGACACAAACCCGTCTGTGATAAACAGCAGAACACAGACACATTGGAAAAACAATTACAAACAAAAGGGATGAAATGGAATTCTTCCGCCATATATATATGCTTCTCTCTTTCCACTAATACCCAAAATACGAGAGTGGTGATTATTCTTTTTTAGGATGATTTTTTATGTTTAAAGAATTGGTGCAAGAGTCTGTGAACGTCTCCGTAACCTTTGGTGGAATAAATAAGACCATCTTTGATCCACTTTGGGAGCTTGCTGGATGGATGGGAATGAGATGTTCTTTTTGATGGATCATTGGAGTATCGAGCATCTACCAGTAATATGGCTGCATAGTCCTTTTCGTGCCTGATTGCCCTACCTGATAAACAAGCAGACGGAAGAAGAGCATTTCTTGTCTCAGTAAGTAAATGAAAACACAAAGATACACATCTCTGGAATTAACCAAAAAAAGAAAGAAAGAAAACAACTCACCGATTGATTGGTTAACTGCTTTCATACACAGATTTTCATAGTACTCTTTCCCTCTTCGTTTGCAGGACCTTAAAACGTCAAACCCTGCTCGAACATCTCCACTGTAGTAAGAATCGTCAACCAAAGTCAGACAAGGTTTTGCGGAATCTGAAACTCCAAAACCTTCTATATGCTTTATTCTCTCTAACAACTCTATGTCAGACGGGCTGGGATACGGCAGACCAACCATCACCACACACCGACACATGCCATCGCTGAAGTTTATTCCTTCTGACACCTTCCCACCAACCACAGCTAGCATGATTGCCCCTCTTTCCTTTTCTATTGCTTCCTTGTACTCTCTCAGAACACCTTCTACTTCTGTGTTCCTTCTCGGTTCTCTCAACACACGCTTCTTCTTCATTATTCTACTGAGTATCCCTGACTTACTCCACGCTGTGTGCACCTGTGTTTCATACTCAAACGAAGAGAAGAAGACGATTACTCCTTCAGGAACCACTGCCACTAGGTTACTCATTAACAGTCCTAACTCCTGTATCTGCCAAACAGTTTCCGGAAAAACAAACAAACAAGTTACTCTTAATACTGTTTCTGGATCCCATTAAAGTTAGACGGAAAAAAACAAGTGCCCCGTTTGGATGACCCACCATTGCTGCTGAGCTTCTTGAACTGTGGCTAAAGTCAAAAGACTGACCAGACGGACCATGTGAAACTGCGATTGGCATGATGCTCTCAGGGGGAACAATGTGACTACATGAGAAGAATTGCAGCTGATTTGATGGTATCCATGGAAAGAGTCTTTCCCTTGTCTCTTCTATAGGCTGAAGAGTCCCACCGGCCAATATGACAGCGTGAGCTTCCTCCACCACCTACAAAATTGGTTTCATTCTTGAATTGCCAAAACTACTAACAGAGGTAGAAACATAGAAAGACCAGTTATGCAAGGGCCAACCTCTGAAAATAACTTGGCTCCAGTGAGCATGACATACTTAATGTACCCTCCTTGTTGGTCAGAGGTCGACGAACTCATCTTTGAGATTATTATTCGCCCATCACCATTGTTATGAGTGAGTGCAACCAACATACCAGAGAAGGCTCTAAAACTTGATAACTTGCTCGTTTCCTCATGGGACACTGCATCTTTTTGCAACATAGCAACTCTGTCTCCATATCCACAGACCTGGACATACAGTTGAAAAGTGAAGATGGGAAAAGATATATGGACAGAAGAAAAGGTAAATTTTAAGAAGCGCTTCACCTTATGAATGATATTGCTTTCCTTTATATAGGCGAGTAACTTAACCACATTGATATTGTCTATACTCAGAGAAAACAAAAAGTCGTAAATTGCCATGGAACAACACCCAGAGGGATTTCCTGTATTATTCAGATTCCTATCACTGGCAAGAGGTTTGAGGAGAGCTCGAATGAGAATCAAGAGAGTTTGGATATATCTACGGTTTCCAGCTCCCAGTAGATTCTGGAATCTTGCCAGACAATTCTCAATGCTGCAATGTACATCCTCCAACTGCAGTAAGAAACAATTAGAAATCAGCAAAGCAGCGACGACAAAATCCAATCCATACGTCTTTCTAAAAGCATATGAAACTGGGAGCTTACCTGTGACATAGTTATTTTAGCATCGTGCATAGTGAGAAGAGTGTCAGCCAAATTGTGAGCCTCGTCTATAATGACAACACTGTTTTTCAAGCTTAGGCCAAGAGACTCTCGTGACGACTTTGAGAGAAGAGACTGATATGGAAGGATAACAAGATCAGCAGCTGGGGCAGTTCTTCTAGAACCATAGTAGGGACAAGTCGTCATGTCTCGTCCAAGCTGAACAAGATCCTCAATGTCCATGGCTTCTTGTTGAAAAATCTCAGCCTTAAATTCTCTCTGCAGTTTATGTTTTTTAAGCATTGGGCATCTGCAAGAAGCTGCTTTGGTTCGTCCTACCCTTACATTTGTACCGAAATTCTGAAGTTCACAAGTTCGCAAAAATCATTCTTTTATTCAACATAACTTAACAGAATGCAGAAGCGATCAGGAATACAAGATAGAAGATAATGATACCTTCTTTTTAGAGGGTTGAGATTTCTTCTTCTTTTGCAAATCCAAGCACCTCTCGTTGATTCGGGCCGCATTTCCAAGCTTAAGAACATCTGTACATACACTCTATGACTGTAAGTAGTAAATACTAAGTATCAGGCAGGCAATGGAAAACAAAAAAGGAGGCACCTTGATTGATGCACATGTTGTTTCGGGAGCCTAGACACACAACTTTGATTTTGTGGGCAAACACAGTCTTCCTCAACTCCTTGACAAATTGGGAAAGCTGGGAATGTGTTCGGCTGCAAAAGAAAACCTGTAGCCCTCCTTGTTCGTCATCTGAGCATTCCTTGTCATCATCCTCATCCTCTGATGAGCTGTCAAAACCTGCGGCGTGTTTTCTCTTTGAAGATGATTCCTCTTCACTTTCGTAGTCTTCCAACAGAAACTCTCCATCGTTTAACTCAGCCTCCTGTTTGCTTACAGAATCCGAATCCGAGAGAAGTTGGGGAACTTTTTCCTTAGAATGCTTCTTGAGACGAAATGGGGATTTGCTGTGCTTGATGGTCTTGTCATCATCATGGGCTTTATCATCGACAGTAAAATTTCTCATCCAATCAGGTTCGTCGTCGTTTCCATCAAGCTTGTCGGAATCAGTGAATCCTGAAGGTCCTTTCTCCTTACGGTCAAGCAGCCACTGTAGGGAACTGCAGATAATGCTTAGAGATTTTCCAGTCCCTGAAAAATCATTCACATTCATGACAGTCTTAAAAGAGTCTACTTTTACTCTTCTCTATTGTGTATTGTAGTGAGTGAAGTGATCCAATGTTACCTGTGGGGCTTTCGAGCATGGAAACGCCTCCCTTGTCGAGAAACTGGTAGAGCGCATTCATGAAATCCACTTGGATGGAGTATGGCTTGTACGGAAACGCCGCGAATTCTCGTTTTTCCGTCATCTCCTTCCTTCCGGTTTGCCGCCGATTTCACAATCTGTTTCCACGCACCGGGTTTAATGTGTAATTTTGGTAAGGCCCACCAATACAAAAGAAGCCCAAGTTACGGCCTGTTTCAATCAAATAATTTAAAATCAAACCCACCCAAATTTCTCATTTCTGCTCTCCTCCTCCTCTTCAATAAACCTTGAAATCTCTCCTTCTTCCTCGCTCCCCCAAATCTTCGAATCCTCCTGTAATGGCCTCCTTCAACGACGAAACCGCCAACAAGTTGCGTACCCAGGTCTGAATTTCTCTTTTCCTCCTCCGTTTTCATCTCTAGATTCCAATTATTGTCCCTTAACTAGGCTTTTCCGGTATGGTTTCTAGGTAGAATTTTACTTCAGTGATAGTAATCTACCGAGAGACGACTTCCTCAACAAGGAAGTCAGAAAGAGCAAAGATGGGCGTATCCTATATTATATACTGTGTACAGATACAGAAACAGATTCGGTACATAAATTGATTTTTGTTTCCTTGACTAAACCCAAACTAGTGGTAAGTCTGGCTCTGGTTTGTTCCTTCTCCCGTATGAGAAATCTGCTCGGCCTTGGTAACATGAGACGCGAAGACATCCCTGCGAGAATAGTCGAGGGCGTTGCTAATGTCTTGCGGACTTGTCATTTTCTTAAAGTTTCCGACGATGGTATGTTACTCTCTCATTGTTTCCCTTGCTTTGCTTTGCTCTGTCTTACACTATTATCATTATGATGACGCTGGTTGTTCCTTGTTTCTCTCCCAAGGGCAAAGGATCGGTAGAGCAACAAAACTCTCAAAGCCGAAAGAGGTGCTTGAACAAGTCCACAGAAGAACCATTGCGGCATCGCCTTTTGAGTACAGCACGAAGATGGAGGATGTGTCATCTTTCTTCTCCCAATACGCCAAGGTCAACAGTGTGAGGCTTCCTCACCACATAGGGGATAAGCGTCTTTTTTCTGGCACTGCTTTGGTTGAATTCTCCTCTGAACAAGACACTCTAGATGTTTTGAGCCGGAGCTTGGTCTATGCCGGCGCTCATTTAGTATTAACACCAAAGTAAGTTAGTAACTCTGTTTTGTTCCCAACATGATTAGCAGATTGGCGTGGCCTGACTGTTTCTCTTCGATATACATATAGGAGTGATTTTGACTGTCAAAGAGCGGATATGATCAAGAAACTCGGAAACTCAGCTTCCCACAAGGAGTCAGTTTGTTGTTTGTTGTTTGTTTGATTGATTAAAAAAGCAGTTAGCTCATATGTTTCTCTCTTGGTATTGCTACAGATTCCACAGAGGCCAGCTTCTCAAATTTACACTGAAAAAATTAGTCAGTGGAGAAAACGTTATAAAGAAAGGTACTCTCTCTCGTTTCTCAAGACTTGATCTCTATATATTATGAACTGGAGTGCTCTCTAAAGAACTTTGAGCCAAAGATAGAAATAAGGAAACCATAGATTCACTGGCAGATAACTCGTGTGGTAGCTTGAGGCAGGAGAGCGGAGAGAAGGTCGACAACGACGCTGATCAACCCCCATGGAATAACAGTGATTCTGAGGTTTTCAAGGATGTTTTTCATAGATTTGGCAGCGTTAAGGTAACTTGCAAACTTGGTCCAACAACCAGAAATCCCTTAAATAGTGATTGCTGAGCAATCGTGTTTCTTTTTGCAGCACATAGAATACTCTGGTGGATTGGATTACGGCTACGTATGTTTCATAGATTCAGACACAGCAACGAAAGCCCGTGCGGCGGTGGAGTTTGTTGGAGGTTTAGTTGTGAAGAAAACATTCTCAGTAGCATTAGAAGCAGTGAATGGTAAAGTGGCAGTTCCCTTGTGTTGTTAGTCATGCCAAATGAGTATATACAAATGTTGAGGTATACTTATACTGATAATGCCTTCAGGGGAGATGGAGATACAAGTTTGGAAAAGACTCTCATCATTATCAGCGGAGCAGTAAGGTTTGTTTAGGTATGACCCAACATTGTCTTTTCTTCTACGACCACTCATCATTGGTTCTTTACCAACCTAACTCCATGGTTCTTTGTTTATGTGCATCAGGTAGGAAAATAGCAGAGGCAACTTCCCAAGTAGACTCGAAAGGAGCCGCCCTTGCTTTTTTTTCTTCTTTTTTTGTACTCTTTACTTTTAACTATAAATCTTTTAAAAAACTATCAAATGTATCAGAGAAAAAAATATTCTCTAAAGAAAGGCGAAGAAATTGCAGAAAGTGTTAATTATTTGTTAGTGTATTAGGTTTTATCTACGAAGAAAAAATTTCATTTTTCGGATATGTGATTGTATAGTATAAGTAAAAATGCTTTATTGATGACTATTTATCCAAGTTTGAAGTCAATAATAGATATGTGTTAAGAAACTAAACTGTACCACTATGTATAGTGGATTGATTAATAAAGAACAAGAAGATGTGAGAGAGAGGGAGAGAGAGAGATTTACTATGTGAGAAAGATAGTGGTTGGTTTCGTATGTGAGAGAGGAGAGTTATTGTACGTGAGAGAATGAAGAGAGAAGTATAGAGTTTCTTTTGTATTGAACTTATGTTTCAATTAGTAACTGAGTACACATATTTATATAGAGGAGAATTAATAGAATAATGACTATAGCGGTGGATATAAGACGGTGAAAGAACTTACCTATAAGTAAGTAATATAATATTCATAGAGGATAATTATCCTTTCTAACACTCCCCTTAATTATCCGTCTGTATTATGTACGGTCTCGTTAAAAAACCTATGTCATAGAAAAACCCAATGGGATAAAAACTATGACTTAGGAAAAAGAGTACCGTAGCATAATCTCCCCCTGGAAAAGATAGAATCTTTTCTTTTCACAAGTTTTGTAGACGACGCATTCCATACTGTGAACATGCTTCTTGAACACTGTAGTAGGAAGCGCCTTTGTAAAAAGATCGGCTGCATTGTCACTTGAACGAATATACTCGATGTCCACTTCTTGATTTTTCTGGAGTTCTTGAGTGTATGAGAAAAATCTTGGAGGAATATGCTTCGTTCTGTCACTCTTGATATAACCTTCTTTGAGTTGTGTGACACATGCAGAATTGTCTTCAAATATTTTTGTTGGCTCTTTCTCTATGATATTCCACTTGATTCTTGTATGTGATGAGTCATAGACCGGAGCCACACACTCTCTACATGCTTCATGGAGAGCAATAGTTTCTGCATAATTTGAAGACGTTGCAACCAAAGTTTGCTTTTGCGAACGCCAGGAGACCGCAGTTCCACCAATTGTGAAAACATAACCTGTTTGTGATCTAGCTTTGTGTGGATCTGATAGATATCCTGCATCAGCAAAACCAACTAAAACACATTTTGAGTTTTTAGGATAAAATAATCCTAAATCAATTGATCCTTGAAGATAACGAAAAATATGTTTTATTCCATTCCAATGTCTGCGCGTAGGGGACGAACTATATCTTGCAAGCAGATTAGTAGCGAATGCTATATCTGGTCTAGTGCAATTTGCAAGATACATTAGTCCACCAATAGCGCTCATGTAAGGTACTTCAGGACCTAACACTTCCTCGTTATCCTCACAAGGACGGAATGGATCCTTTTCAACATCAAGAGATCTATTAACCATTGGAGTACTCAAAGGAGTTGCTTTGTCCATATAAAAGCGTTTTAACACTCTTTTAGTGTAATTTGACTGATGCACAAATATACCATCTTGGAAATGCTCTATCTGGAGCCCAAGACAAAACTTTGTCTTTCCAAGATCTTTCATTTCAAACTCTTCTTTCATATGAGTTCTTGCATCATCAATTTCCTTTTGAGTTCCAATCATGTTCAGGTCATCTACATATACAGCAATAATCACAAATCCTGAAGAGGATTTCTTAATGAATACGCAAGGGCATATCGCATTGTTGACGTAATCCTTTACTCAACAAATATTCACTTAAGCGATTATACCACATGCGTCCGGACTGTTTTAGTCCATAAAGTGATCGCTGTAATCTGACCGAACAGATCTCTTTAGCCTTTGATTTCAAATCCTCAGGCATTTTTAATCCTTCTGGGATTTTCATATATATCTCATTTTCAAGAGATCCATATAGATATGCTGTCACAACATCCATGAGATACATTTCAAGATTTTGAGACGCTGCTAAGCTCATCAAAAATCTGAATGTTATGGCATCCATTACCGGGGAATATGTTTCTTCATAATCAATTCCCGGTCTTTGAGAAAAACCTTGAGCCACAAGTCGGGCTTTATATCTTGTGACCTCATTTTTCTCATTTCTTTTTCTTACAAAAACCCATTTGTGCCCGACGGGTTTTGTATTCTCAGGAGTTGTGACAATAGGTCCAAAAACACTTCTTTTATTGAGGGAGAGTAATTCAGCTTGGATGGCCATTTTCCATTTCTCCCAATCAGGTCTTTTCAGACACTCTGATATTGTTTCTGGATCTGGATCATCACTTTCATGATCAATTTCTTTGTATACAGAAAAAGAGAATATTCCATCATCATCTTCTATTTCATTTCTTGTCCATACTTTTCCATTTTGGGCGAAGTTGATGGAAATCTCAAATTTTTCTGTATCATGTTCGTCTTCTGGACGAATCTCTTTCTCTGGTTCTTCAAAAACCAGTTTGTTTATGTCTTCAGGACATATTTCTTTACTAGGTTCTTCTTGAACCTTTCTCCCAAATTCTTTTTCTTTCGGGGATTTTTATCTTTAGAGCCCATCGGCCTCCCCCTCTTTAATTGGACTTTGGGTGCATTTGCTATGCTTCCATCATTTTGTTCCTTAGGAACATCTATCTTTGATGGAACGTTTGCAGCGGGTATATATGATTTCGTCACTCTTTTTGTATCTGTGAACGAATCTGGTAATTGATTTGCCATATTTTGTAAATGTATAATTTTCTGAACTTCCAATTCGCGTTGTTTTGTCGGGGGATCAAAGTGTAACAAATTCGGTGTACACCATGTGAGGTCTTTTGGAACCTCTTTAATTCCTCCCCCTAACGCTGGAAATTCATCTTCATTAAAATGGCAATCGGCAAAACGTGCCGTAAACATATCACCAGTTTGAGGTTCAAGATACCGAATAATACTCGGTGACGTATACCCAACGTATATTCCCAATCTCCTTTGTGGCCCCATTTTTGTTCTTTGTGGCGGTGCTATCGGAACATAAACCGCACAACCAAAAACACGGAGATGGGATACGTTTGGCTCCTGACCAGATGCCAATTGCAATGGGGAATATATATTATAAGCACTTGGTCGTATTTGGAGCAACGCTGCAGCATGCAAAATAGCATGACCCCATATAGAAATTGGGAGTTTTGTTCTCATTATTAACGGTCTTGCAATCAGTTGCAACCGTTTAATCAAAGACTCAGCCATGCCATTTTGTGTATGGACATGTGGAACCGGATGCTCAACATCGATTCCCAATGACATGCAATAGTCATTAAAGGCTGTGAAGTGAATTCACCAGCGTTATCTAATCTCACTTTCTTAATAGTATAATCAGGGAACTGTGCTCTCAACCTGATTATTTGGGCAATGAATCTTGCGAAAGCCGTATTTCGTGTTGTCAAAAGACACACATGTGACCATCTACTTGATGCGTCAATTAATACCATAAAGTATTGAAACGGTCCGCATGGTGGGTGAATAGGCCCACATATATCACCGTGTATTCTCTCTAAGAACACAGGGGATTCATTCCCAACTTTCGCTGGTGATGGCCGAGTTATGAGTTTTCCTTGAGAACATGCATTACATATGAACTCGCCCGTTTCTAAAATTTTCCCGTATTTCAACGGATGGCCATTTGAGTTTTGCACAATTTTTCTCATCATGACTGAACCTGGATGCCCTAGCCTTTCATGCCAGATTTTGAATGTACTAGTAAACTTCGGGTTTACTGTAACATATGATTCAGTCAGAGTAATATTTGTGCAATATAATCCGGAGGACATCATTTTCAACTCTTCCAATATTTGTCCCTCCGATTTGATGCAAAGGATTTCAATGCCATTCTTATTTATAGTCTCTATGTGATATCCATTTTTACGGATATCTTTGAAACTCAATAAGTTTCTATAAGACTTCGGGGAATATAATGCATCATTTATTTCAAACTTTGTTCCCCTTGGCATTGAAAAATTGGCTCTTCCAGAGCCCAATATTATTTTTGCACCACCAGAAATGGTATTCACGCTTTCAACGGAATCTTTAATTTTGAGACCGGAGAAATATCTTTTATCTTTGAGTATTGTGTGCGTTGTAGCACTGTCTGCAAGACACATATCTCCATCACGAGTCTCAAATTTCGTCATTTCTGGATTTAACAAAGATGCATTAATAAGTATTAAACAATACAAAGCTTATATCACAAGATACAAAATACCACATTAAAAACTATTTTACAACAAAAAGATCAAACTTTTAGGTTATCTTATTCAGGAAGATAACTATGTATATCATGTCCTTTTAGTCGTCTGTTTTTCCGTTGATCTCTTCGGAGTCAACCAGAAAATCTGAAACATCAAGATGAGTATCATCGTTTAGGCCGTGAAAGGAAGGACCGGGTTCATTGGAGATGAAGTTAGTCTCACTTTCTTTCTCCTTTGCTTTTTGTGATTCCCGGTACAGATCGGCTAAGTGTCTGGGTGTACGACAAGTACGCTCCCAGTGATTTTTCATGCCGCATCTGTAGCAAACACTTTCTTTTTGCTTTTTAGAATCTCGGCCGTAATCATTTGCTCGAGATCTTTTATATTCCTTTCATTGTTGGACTCGTCGGGACGGTACTCTTTTCCTTGTCCCCGACCACGTCCACGGCCACGGCCACGACCTCGGTTTCGACCATATCCACGTCCACGTCCTCGTCCATTATTTTGGCTGGACGATGCTACATTCGCTTCTGGGAATGGAGCAGCTCCAGTGGGACGAGTCTGATGGTTCATCATCACAAGCTCGTTATTCTGTTCTGCAACAAGGAGAACTTCCATCAATTTTGAATAACGAGTATAGCCATTTGCCCGATATTGTTGTTGCAGGACTATATTTCCAGGGTGAAATGTGGAGAGCGTTTTTTCAATCATATCATAATCGCTCACATTTTCTCCACATAGCACCATTTGGAAATTATTCTGAACATAGCAGAATTATATTCAACAACACTTTTATAGTCCTGAAACCGGAGATATAGCCACTGGTATTTGGCTTTGGGCAAATCTATATATTTTTGATGGTCAAATCTTTCTTTCAAAGATTGCCAAAGATCCGCAGGATCTTCTTTAGTGATGTATTCATCTTTTAAACCATCGTGGATGTGATGAAGTAGAAAGATCATGGCTTTCGCCTTTTTCTCATCGGATGTCTTCTTTCGACTTGTCAATGGCATCAAGAAGCCCATTTCCTTTTAGATGCATTTTTGCACCTATTGCCCATGTCATATAATTGTTTCCAGAAATATCAAGGGCGGAAATTTCGAGCTTAGCCAAATTTGACATGATATCTGCATAGATCATATCATTCATTAATATAAATTCAAATTCAAATTTGCGTAATAAAAATTTGAGCATTATAACAGCATGAATTTAGTAAAAATTAAGGTGCTGAATTTAAATTGCAGTAAATACAGGAATTTAAATGGCAAAAAGTAAATAGCGAAAAAGTAAATTACAGAAAAGTAAATATTCAGGAGGAGGCAAAGTCTCAACTCCAAGAGGAGGTTTTTACCATCAACTCTTATATGATCTAAGGTGACATAGTCTACCATATGATCATTTGCTCGGAGTAGGTACAACCTAGCATCCCGGCATATCAATAAAATTGAATAGACAGAATATAAGAGCAGTTCGTGCTGATAACGTGTTAAGAAACTAAACTGTACCACTATATATTATGTATAGTGGATTGATTAATAAAGAACAAGAAGATGTGAGAGAGAGAGAGAGAGAGAGATTTACTATGTGAGAAAGATGGTGGTTGATTTCGTATGTGGAGAGGAGAGTTATTGTACGTGAGAGAATGAAGAGAGAAGTATAGAGTTTCTTTTGTATTGAACTTATGTTTCAATTAGTAACTGAGTACACATATTTATACTAGAGAGAATTAATAGAATAATGACTATAGCGGTGGATATAAGACGGTGAAAGAACTTACCCTATAAATAAGTAATATAATATTCATTGGAGGATAATTATCCTTTCTAACAATATGACGTTATTTACAAAAATGAAAAGCTAAAATACGTTGAAACAAAAAATTGCGGAAAAGGGAAATAATGATTTTAAAAGGGTATAATTGAGAAGGTCTAAACTTAATAGCAAGTAAGAGGAAGAGCTCACCAATCTGAAAATTGCAAAGCCGTGTGTGCTCTTCCCCGATCTGCAGTGCGATCTCTCTCTTACGGCTTCCCTCATCCTTCCGATTTGATTCTCTCAGGTAAGCTTCTTCGATTCGACTTTCTCTTAGACCAATTGTTGCTTTTGCTTCCTTCCCGTGGGTCTGTGATGATCTCAAAACGCAGGGATTGATAAACCTATTCGTCTCTGTTATACTGTAGAAACTTTACCTTACCTAGATTAGTCGGACCTAATTTTGTTGTCGACTTGATCTCCGTGACGTAGAACCCTAATTTCAGTGGCCTTATGCTCTGCACACCTTCAGATCCAGTCTTGCTATAGTTTCAGGACATGAAATTTCTGTCTCCGTCATTTCCTTTAGCTGTTAGATAGCAGACTATATTGGGAATTCTAAATGCTTTAAGATTAAACAATCGAGTCCTTTCTGCAGAATCTCTGATCTCAGGACTCTTGGATAAAAGGGTTCAAAGATGGCGGCGTCAGAAGAGAATAGCGCATTGTTTCCCATTTTTATATTGACGATAATGGCAATTCCATTGGTGCCTTATACCATGGTGAAGTTAAGCCAGGCTGTCTCTAAGAAACAAAGGACCATTCACTGCCAATGCCTCGAGTGTGACCGTTCCGGGAAATATAAGAGATCATTGTTTAAAAAGGTTAGTACCCGCTGAAATTGGTCAATATTGATGTTCTGTTATTATAGCTTTATTGCATGTTCGAAACCTTTCAACTCGTTTCTGCAGATATCTAACTTCTCTACATGGAGCAACCTGACACTTGTGCTACTATGGGTTGTGATGATTTTCTTGATCTATTACACCAAGAACATGAGCCGTGAGGTAATATTCTCCTCAAATGCTTACTAAACCCAGATTATTATGTTACTTTGTGATCTGATTGCCTGTGATCTAGAATTTTGTAAATTGGATGAGTAACACTTGTATTAACAAAGTCTACTTGCTTATCTACTTTATTGGATGGTACAGAGTCAGGTTTTTGACCCATTCAGTATACTTGGATTGGAACCTGGAGTTTCAGATTCGGAAATAAAGAAAGCATATAGAAGGCTGTCGATTCAATACCATCCAGATAAAAACCCAGATCCAGGTCGAAATGCTTTCTGGTCGTCTCGTTGATAGTTCTTCCCGTTTTATCATTACAGAATTATGGTTGCTTATGTTGCCGCTGTTGACACAATTTTTCTTCTATGTGCTTATGTTGATCTGTGTATTGAACTCTACAGAGGCCAACAAATACTTTGTGGAGTCCATATCTAAAGCATACCAGGCTTTAACTGATCCAGTATCCCGTGAAAACTTTGAGAAGTATGGTCATCCAGATGGCAGACAGGTATAGATAGATATATTGCATTATCCTGCGGCATGGGCTCACATCTCATTGACAAGCCTATTGAAACTAAAATATTGTGATGTGATGCAGGGATTTCAAATGGGCATTGCTCTTCCTCAATTTCTCCTAGACATAGATGGAGCATCCGGTGGCATATTATTGCTGTGGATAGTTGGTGTTTGTATTCTCTTGCCCCTTGTGATTGCTGTGATATATCTCTCGAAGTCTTCAAAGTATACCGGGAACTATGTTATGCATCAAACTCTTTCCGCATATTACTATCTAATGAAACCATCTTTGGCCCCAAGGTATATTTTACTCATACATATATACTTTCTGGTGATGCCATAGGTGCAAGAAAAATAGGCAGTTTTTCATTTGTTTGTATGACATGTTCAAAAATCTTCATTGTCCAGCAAAGTTATGGAAGTTTTTACCAAGGCAGCTGAGTACATGGAGATTCCAGTTCGTAGAACTGATGACGAACCTCTGCAGAAGCTCTTTATGTCTGTCAGAAGTGAGCTAAATTTGGACCTGAAGAACATGAAGCAAGAGCAAGCCAAGTTTTGGAAACAGCATCCTGCCATAGTGAAGGTGATATTTTAAATCAAAAAACTGTAATGCTAAATATTTTAAAACTGTGATACTCACCTTTTCATTTTTGTGTACAGACGGAGCTGTTGATACAGGCCCAGTTAACTCGTGAATCAGCAGTCTTGTCTCCAGCCCTGCAGGGTGATTTCAGGCGTGTGCTAGAGCTTGCACCTCGCCTCCTTGAAGAGTTATTGAAGGTATATTCTCTATTTAAATAGCACACTGTCTGAAAGAGTAACCATTAAAAGCCAGTGACCGGAGAGTCCTACGCCTTATTTGACATGAGATAAATATCCCTCAATATAAGGGAAAGTCATAGCAAACTATTAAAAGACAACAAGATTTAGGTTAACAAGCCAAATGGACGCCCTTCTGGGACCAGCTAGCTCATCCGATCATTTGTTGGAATATCTTGCTCGTGTAAAATGTTGATGATTTCTTAGTCACTCCTCCGTAATAATATTGTAAGTTTCCTGCAGATGGCGGTTCTACCACGCACTGCCCAAGGACATGGATGGCTGAGACCTGCAGTCGGAGTAGTCGAGCTATCTCAATGCATTGTCCAGGTATTAAATTGAACCTCCCACTTATTTTCCAGTTTTGATCTTGTGGTGAGCTTTTAAGCTCCGTATGTCTTTTCCCCCACGAGATTTACTTCTTCTTAGAAACTTAAAAAGTGGCTTAAGGTTGCTGTTGAGGAAGATGAACTAAAATTCTATAATTGCAGGCCGTTCCCCTTAGTGCAAGGAAGTCTTCTGGAGTCTCTTCAGAAGGAAATTCCCCTTTCTTGCAGCTGCCTCATTTCAGTGACGCTGTCGTTAAAAAGATAGCACGGAAGGTATCTATCTAATACGTCAAGCTCAGTAATATTTTAGGTTACTTGCATGCTTTTTTGGCCCAAAATTTTCAAGAATATCTCGTCGGATTCTGCTCTCCATTTTTACTTGAATGTCTAATCGAAAGAAGCAACCTTTTGAATTTATTATTTCGTGCCTGTTTGCAGAAGGTGAAATCATTCCAGGAGCTTCAAGAAATGAGCTTGGAAGACCGTTCTGAACTGCTGACACAGGTAGCGGGATTGTCAGCGACTGATGTTGAGGACGTGGAGAAGGTACTAGAGATGATGCCGTCTGTGACAATCGACATAACATGTGAGACAGAAGGCGAAGAGGGTATTCAAGAGGGAGACATTGTGACCCTTCAAGCTTGGGTGACCCTGAAACGACCCAATGGGCTAATAGGTGCTCTTCCTCACGCACCCTACTTCCCCTTCCACAAGGAGGAGAACTATTGGGTTCTTCTTGCGGATACAGTGTCCAATAATGTCTGGTTCTCTCAGAAGGTTAGCTTCTTGGATGAAGGTGGAGCCATAACGGCTGCATCGAAAACCATCAGTGAGGCAATGGAAGGTTCGGGAGCAGGGGTGAAGGAAACGAACGATGCAGTGAGGGAAGCCATTGACAAGGTCAAAGGAGGCTCGAGACTGGTAATGGGGAAGCTCCAAGCACCCGCAGAGGGTACATACAACTTGACTTGCTTCTGCCTGTGCGACACATGGATCGGGTGTGACAAGAAGACATCACTCAAGGTAAAAGTCCTGAAAAGAACCAGGGCGGGGACACGTGGTCTGGTATCAGATGAGGGTGCGATTGCAGAAGAAGGTATGGAGGAGGAAGATGACATTGAAGAGGAGGAATACGATGATTATGAGAGTGAGTACAGCGAAGATGAGGACGACAAGAAAGATATGGATGAGAAGAGGGGGTCGAAGAAGGCCAATGGGACAGTGAAGAAGAAAGAGTCGAGTTCTGAAGAAGAGTCGGGATCGGAGGAGGAAGAGTGAAAACACAAAGGAGGAGAGTTACATAACATTGATCAAAATCCCAAATTACAATACAATAGTTTGTCTTCAAATCAAAACTTGACGGAACGAGTTTCCCTAGTATTTTCACAATTTTGACTCTTGTTTTGTTTCATTTCTTTTTCTTGCGATCCAACAAAACCTGGGAGAAAAACGATATTCTGATACAAGAAAAAACAAACTAATTGGCTCCCAAGCCAAGCACGACTCAGTTCACTGCACTGATATACAAGTGGATACATCTTAGAATTCAGGTTATGGGCCTTGTTTGAATGGGCTTTAACGGTTGTTTCAAAGGGTCCGCGAAGCCGCATGCCCTAAAAGGCGGGAAAATCAGAAGAGGCGCGTCTTCTCCCTTTCTCATGTCCTTTTTCCGGGCCTCGGCTTCTCTCACAAGCTCCGTTGCCGGTGTGTTCTCGGAATCCGACCGGCGGGGAGAATCAAAATGCCGATTTACAGCATCAGAGGAATCGATGTCGATTTCCCATTCGAGGCCTACCCTTCTCAGATCACTTACATGGACAGAGTCATCGAGTCTCTTCAAAACGTGGGTTCCTCAACATGTTCTCTTTTGATGTTTCTCATAGTTGTTTCTCGACTTTTTGACTGACTAGGATCCCGCGTTTTCTCGATTGGACTGTGCGCTTTGTCCGTTTGACTCGCACTTATTGACTAAGGTTTAGGCGTTGGGTCACTGCTTTAGCCTTTAGCATAACGGGAACGAAGAAATGAATCAATTCTCAACTAGTCTGCTTCGTTCTTTTGATGGTTATTCTGTTTGCTAATATTGTGTGTATAAACGATGCTGCAGAAATGTCACGCGCTTTTGGAGAGTCCTACTGGAACAGGGAAAACACTGTGTCTTCTGTGTGCCACCTTAGCCTGGAGAAAGAGTCTGGGCAGTTTCTCAACCCGTAAGGATCGGAAGAACAGTAAGTTTCCTTCGACAGATTTAGAGGAGCAAATGTCGCAATCTGGAGGCGGAGGAGGAGGAAGTGGTTTCCCTACCATAGTTTATGCGTCCCGGACTCATAGTCAGCTCCGCCAAGTTATCAAAGAACTAAAAAGATGTAGCTACAGGTCAGAGTCAGACCACTTTCTGTATCTGTATTACCATTTTAGTTGTTCATCGTCTACAACACTCTTATCTTTCTCTTATCCAATGAATATTAAGGCCTAAGATGGTCGTGTTAGGATCACGTGAGCAATTATGCGTTAATCAGGAGGTGAATTCACTCCGAGGAAAGGCACTTACAAACGCTTGCCAGTTCCTTTGCAAAAAGCGTGGAAAACGCCAATGTAACCATTTCAATGGGGTCCCAGGTTGAATCACTTGTCCCAATGCCTATTGCCACATTCCAACTTGGAAAATCTTTATTTACTGTCACTATTTTGCCTTGCCATGAATCTCTTGTAGATTTTTTGAAGCAAAACCCTCATATTGGTGACGAACCAGTTGACATAGAGGATTTGGTCAATATTGGAAAAGATTCTGGACCGTAAGCTCCTCTATTTTTGCTACGTTTACATAATTGTTTCTTGTTATCCACATGTTGTCTTACGCTGCTGGCTTGTTCCATTTTGTACTATATTTCTATTTTGCAGATGCCCATATTATATCACAAGAGAGCTTCACAAGGATGTGGACATCTTATTTGCACCTTACAACTACTTGATCAGCAATGCGTATAGAAAGTTTTTGAATATCAGCTGGAATGATGGCGTCCTCATTTTTGACGAAGCTCACAATCTAGTAAGGGGAATTTACATGTTCCACTTATAATTTACTTATGCGATCACTCTTCATCATTAACTCTCCGTTTCTTGGGAATTTGCTCTACTTCTTCTGTTTTCCAGTTTTTCCTATCACGGAGCGATTATACTTCTTCCAACTTCTGAAACACTCTGCTATCTTTTACATACGCGCAGGAAAGTTTATGCGCAGACTCAGCTTCATTTGACCTTCCTTCTGTGCTATTATCGGCTTGCATTTCTGAGGCACAAGAATGTGTACAACTTGCAGCAGCAAGAAGGGGTTCATTAAATGACGAATCCATGAACCCTGAGAATTTTGCTATACTTAAAGGTCATTAACTTTGGGGCCTTGACTTTGAGTACAGTGTACTGTTATTCTTGAATCAACCTCATGTGTCAGTACTCATCTATGCATTGTTTTCTCTTGCAGGACTTCTTCTTAAGCTGCAGGAACTGATTTCTAAAGTGCCAATTCCTAAAAGGGATGAGGGATTTACCAAGCCTGGGCCTTACATATATGAAATGCTTAAAAGCCTTAACATCACTCACGAAACTGCTCCTAAACTCATCGGTACCGTCGAGGAGGCTGCAGTGCTGCTGGCTGAGGAGAAACAACGAACAGCAACCAACGTTGGAAGCAAACTAGAAATCATTGTTGACATGCTTAAACTGATCTTCAGAGAAAATGGAAGTAACCATGCAGATGTTTATCGTGTAAGTTTTAAGGAAACTGTTCTTTTTTCATTTATGAATTGTATAATATAGTTAAAGAGATATATTTATCTCTCTCTTGTGCTATCTCATTTGCAGAAACCCCCTTTTTTACTCATATCTTTTACTTTCGTTGTTTTTTAGGTTCATATACAGGAGATCGAGCAAAGTTCTAATGATGTCATGAAAGGTAAATAAGAGTGGTTTCGTCTATAGCTTTACAAACAAAAACATGCTGCGTTTCCGAAGCATTAACAGAAGCACCATTTTGCTAAATTGAAAATATGGTCATCTTTTTTAATCTGCTCTTCCTGTGGAAACAGTGTTTTTCGGAAAAGTACTCACAGTTGTGGGCAAACGAAATTGTTATTGTAGGCAAGGTATCAAGAACGCTTAGCTGGTGGTGTTTCAATCCTGGGATTACCATGCAGGACATATCAAAAAAAGGTGTTGGGTCTATCATTTTAACATCGGGGACCTTGTCTCCCATGGATTCTTTGGCTCAAGAACTAAAACTGTGGGTATATCGCTATAGTTTTCTCTCTCTATTCTCTTCTATCTGCTCTTAATGGAAACATCCTTTTCTGGAAAATGCAGAGACTTTCCTATTCGGTTAGAGAATCCCCATGTTATATCTTCAAATCAGCTATGGGCTGGAGTTGTTAGTACTGGTCCATCAGGGTGTGTTCTTAACTCTAGTTACCGCAATCGTGATGTACCGGAGTACAAACAAGAACTTGGAAATGCTATTGGTAAGTGGTTTGCTATTTGTTAGGTCATTTTGGGTGGCTTGGATGCATTATTCTGAATTTCTGATGTGTGAATCGAGATCTGGCATCTGGGAGCTCATCTGAAAATCAAAGCTATTAATTGATTATCAATTTTATTTTTGCTCTGCAGTTAACTTTTCTCGAGTTGTGCCTGATGGACTTCTGATATTTTTTCCTTCCTATTACCTTATGGATCGTTGCATTGCATTTTGGAAAGATGGGGTATGGCCGTTGTAAATTTCTTCTGAGTTATGAAATTTTTTAAAGTTTTGATACTCTTGAGAACCTACCGTTTCTTCATCGTTCAGGGTCACAGAAACTCGATGACAATATGGGAAAGAATCTGTAAACTGAAGAAACCTGTCATTGAACCTAAAGACTCTTCCCTCTTCCCAGCAGCAATGCAGGTGAGCAACAGATGTCTCCGATCTACGTGCTTTTTCTTTCCAAAACACAAGATATGATTACTTAATTGTGCCTTGTATTTTTTTTGCATGGTAGGACTTTTCAGAAAAATTGCAAGACAGATCAATTTCGGGTGCGGTATTTTTTGCCGTTTGTCGTGGAAAGGTATGCTATCTTCAACCTGTATGAAGTGTGCTTCTCTGTAAGAAATGATCCTGAGCATCCATATTGTCTGTATGAGGATGCTGGTACAAAAAATGGGAGGTTACAAGTTATAAGTATCTCCTGAAAATAGTTACAAGTTTTCAGTTCAACTAGTCTCTCTGTGTTGTCAGGTCAGTGAAGGACTGGATTTTGCTGATGGCGCTGGCAGAGCTGTCGTCATTACTGGGTTACCTTATGCCAGAGTGACTGATCCTAGGGTTTGTTTACTCTATCCTTTACTGTTTTGTTGTGAAAATATGTTTAGGCTCATTAGCTAAATTGGTAGCAATAACTAGTGAACGGCTTGCTATTGTTGAGGGTTTCCTTCTCATAATGTTTGTCTTCACTTTTATTTAGTTGGGCGCTGAGAGATCACTTTATATTCTACATGTTGTTCATCTGCTGGGTCACTTTTAATATTATATTGCTACTTGCATTACATCATTATCAACTCATTTGTAAAACAGATTAAACTGAAACGAGAGTTTCTGGATGAGCAATCACGACATGCAGATGCCAAGGTGGGTTCAGTGTTTACTTGGTTCTTTACTTATGAGTTATGAAGGTTATGATAATCTCGGAACATTTTTTTTTTAGTTTCCAAGAACAAGCTTTCTATCTGGAAGCATGTGGTACAGTCAAGAAGCAGCACGTGCTGTGAATCAGGCAATTGGACGTGTAATTCGCCATCGCCATGATTATGGAGCTATCATCTTCTGCGATGACAGGTTTTGTTCATGCTATCCATCGTTACGTTTTTTCTGCCTTCCTGCAAGAATGTTCTTGGACGAATAGATAGTGTTCATGATTAAGTTAAGGCACTGGCTCATTATATGACACTTCGTTTGGCCTATATAATATCTGGCATTCTCTTAAGCCTTACTTGCTAGCTATTGTATTCTCCAGATAGACAAGAAACAGTGCTCGACCTTGGCTGAAAATATATTAATTTTCGTTTTGTTGTGATTATTAACGCCCATGTTGTGGCAATTCCACCCAGAAGGTAATGGGTTACATTGGCTATTGTTGACAGATTTGAACAGCCGTCCCAGCAGTCCCAGATATCACTTTGGATACGACCGTATGTCAAGGTATATGTTTCTGCAATTCTGCTCCATCTCGCCCTCTACTTTTTATGGGTACTGAGTTTGTTTCTGGGTACATTGGTTTTGCAGTGCTACCCTAGATATGGAGAAGTCATCTCCGACCTTGCTCGATTTTTCCGGACAGAACGATCAAGTATTCCTGCAAGGCTTGTAACAGAGCAAGAGAACAATATAGGTAATGCATCTTGCAGCCAAACTATAACTTGGATTGAGCATCACCAAATCTTATAGCCTGCCCTATTATCCCCCGTCCTGTTTCTTTCTGATTAGCAACTATTGGGTATCGGGAAATGATATTATTGCTTCTTTGTATCCACAAGAACTTGACGTTATTATTTCCTATTGTAAAGTATATGTTTGAAATCCAATGTAAGACAAATCTTTTCCAATGCAGTTCCAACAATGCTACCAGAGGAGTCATTCAATGATGTTCCTACACCAGCCTCTGGTCAGTGATTGATTTTCCTTCATTCTCATAGCGAGAAAAGATTTGAATCTAATCTAACTTGAACACTCGATGTTGCAATTTGATATATTGCAGGTAATAGTAATGTGAAGAACGTTGGGGGTGCACGAAGTGATTTGAGTAGATTGGAAGCCTTTCCTCCTGCAAATCGGGCTTCATCGGAAATAAGATGGAAAGGCCTGAGGATTGTCCAACGTAAGGGGAAGATGCCTGTCCTTAGAAAGGGAGACGCGATGCAGGCTTGTTCTTCTGTGAAGGCTAAATTAGTGGACCTAAGTGACGACGACGTCGACGAGAGTCCGGTAGAGAGGAGATGTGAAGTAGTTGATCTAGAAAGCGACAAATGTGAGAAGCAGAGTAGCTGTTTCAACACAATGGGACTAGTAAAAAAGCGAAAGGTTCCAGAGAGTGAGGGAAGTGCGTCGTCCACAGTGTCGAAAGAGAAAGGGAATGGAGGCGGTGATAACAAGGAAGCAAATGCATCTGCATTTTTGAGTCAAGTTAAGATCCCACCCTCTCTCTTTGAGTCAGGTTATTTGCTTCCATTAGAAGTCATGCAAACTGGTTGCTCTTACTCTTAGGTAAAAGCAAAGCTCAACACCGAAGAATATAAGAAGTTCATAGGATACGTGCAAGCATTGAAGAAGAAGGAGCTTAAATTAGCGGACGTGATGCAATCCATTGTGCAACTCTTGTGTGGAAGAGACAGAGATGATCATCTTCTCATGGGGTAAATAAATCTATTGTTAATAATAATATGCATTGACCACCATTTTATTACCAAGTCTCAGTCTCCTTTGCTTTGAAAACAGATTCAGGGACTTTGTGCCAGTCAAGTATCGTCCTGCATATGAGGAATGCATCAGAACGAGGAAAAGAAGAGAAGCCTGATCATATTTAGAGATCCTTTCTTTTGTTTTGGATTCTTCATTCTTTCTCTGTAAGTAACACTTAACAGCCTTATTTAACGGCTGGGAAGAAAGAAAGAAAACGGAATTTATGAAACATTACATTTTTTGTCTGAATGATGATATTGCAACAAACAAAACAAAGAGAAAAGGGAATATGCAGATTGCAATTACAAGAGAGGTGTTAGTTATGAGGGAAGGAGTCAGCGAGGATCATCTTCTTGCGGAGCCTCTCCCTGGCAGCGCGAGTGCTGAGGGAGCGAACGAGGGCTTTCCTGGTGATCGTCTTCTCCTTGTCGCGGAGAGCGATGATGAGGTCGACGAATGCGCTGAGTATGAACTTGTGTGACTTCTTGTTGTTGAGGTTGAGATAGCAGAAGAGAAGCTCCTCCATCAAGTCCCAGTCCACCTCGGTTTCCTGCATCCTTAACCTGGCCTCCATCATCTCCACCATCGACCTCCTGAAATCCTCCTGCGGCTCCTCCGTGTGCCTCAGCACCGCGATGCAGTTCTCCGGCAGCACCAAGCCTCCTGTCTGCGACGAGTTCGACCTCGACGTCGACGATCCAGGCGGTGGAGACAGTTTCTCTCTTCTCCGCAGATCTGGCGGCTTGGGCGAGTCGTAGACAGCAGGTCCCCACGTCCTCTCGAATCTATGACGGTAGTCGTCGTCATCATCGTCATCATCATCATCACTCTCGTCACTGTCATCTGAGGACTCCCTTTTCTCCTTATTTTTAGTGGTCGGCAAATGGTCGCTTTCCTCCTCATCCTTGTCGTCGTCGTCGCCATCTCTGATGCAGAGGGACTTGAAGTTTTCCTCGAGGAAACGATCGATGTCGGACAAGGTGGCGGCGTGACCGGATTCCTGGTAGACGTGGTCGTCGTTGAACCTGGTCTTGCTGGTGCGTCGTCGGTGCTTGAAGGAGAAGGAGAGCTTCTTGGGATGCTTATAGCCATTAATCACCCACTTCTTCGAGGTTGACAATGATTTCGACGACGACAATTGCAGCTTCCCCGTCTCTCTTTTGATCTTCGAAAGGTACCCATGCAGCGATTTCTGCAGTTGGTTTGGCATTCTCTGAAAGGTACCCTCTACAACAGAGACGATGATGATAATCAATCGAGACAATGTTAGATAGATGCTGCTGAGATTTTTATTTATTATCTGGAGATTCTTCTTGGATTTGAGGAAGCCCCCAAGATAATAAAGAGTGTGGTGGCGTTGGTCAAAATCTGAAACTGTTCAACGCTTTACGTTGGTCGCAGCTATGAAATGGGTAATGTCATTAATGGCAAGTTTTGTTTTGTTTTCTTGGATTTGCGTTAAATATGTTGCCATAAGTTTCCAGATTCTCCATTGAATATGCATGAGTTGAATTGCTTTTCATTGGAAATGAAACCAACGCGCTGACTGATCATCATTACTTTGCTTGTAATAAACTTGGACTCGCCTGGTAAAACCAACCAACCAATCAATGTTTAACACCGTTACTGGCGGTAACAGCTTTCGACTTCGCTTTTCGTAGGCCCAAACTTTTGAGGCCCAAGACGCATAAGCCTGATACTTGAGGAGGTGCGTGTATTTGTCCCACATCGCTTGTAAAACATTTCAAGCTCAATAAACCTCCGCTATATAACAAGTCTCACATTCAGCGTTAGGAGGCATCTTTGCGCTTGGGGCAATGACGCAGCTAATGAGGTACTAACCGAGGCGCGTCTATTGCTGGTTGAAAACTATTTCCAAACCCCCTCCTGGGCCTAAGCTTGTCTTGGGCCTTCGAGAATTTCTGGAAGGGCTCCCTCCGGGGTAAAGTCCTACAATTCTCTAGTTCAACTTTAATTTTAACGATAATTCGTGTATTACTTCGGTTTATTCGAGTATCAACCAGATTAGCCTAGTTAAAAAATTCATATGATGGACTAATTATTTTGATATACACGTTAACAAAAAGAAAAAAAACTAAATATTCTTTTACCTACACGAGTGATTCCAGCGTCTAGAAAATCAGGAGTCACAGAGAAACGTTGGATTGGATAATGGGGAACACGATCACTTGTACGCGTTGCTTCCGGTGTGACTGACACACTCGATACTTTCTCGGTAGTATTGTGTTCGTTTTTTATGTTAGAAAAATAATTTAAAAATACTTGGAAAACCAAATACTCTGCAACAAATACGACCTTTGTACGTATCCTCTCGCTCCTTCTCCCTTCGCTTTCTTAATAATAATCTCTCAGTAATAATCAGAAAAATCATAAGAGAGAGAGAGAGGATAACGACGAGAAAAAGAAGCCCCAAATTTGATTGTTTTCTTCAACTTGTAAAATCGAGCACCTGCATTTGGCTCTCCTCTAATCTGGAGCAGTGTTAGTTGATGAAACAGCCATGGTATTCTTTTGACTCTCGTGATTGATTGATTGATTATCCAAATCCATGTTTGGCTTCCCTTCGTTTTCTGTGAAAGTTGAAACCAGTCTCATCATTTCAACCGCTATTTTTCTTTTTTTCTTGACCGTTTTATTGGGGCTTTCAGTGTTCTTCTCTATACATTTGATTCTTTACTCGTTGATGAAAATTGATATCCATCACTTGTGTCATTTACTTCATCGATTAGAAACCAACATAGTGTTTTATTTTTCTTTCTTTTCCTTAGCATGTGTGGAGTTTGATTTGAGATTGATTTGATCAATTTCTACCGTTTCATTCATTCATCTTCATTGATTTCGGGATTTTAGAGGTTTAATTTGAACCAACCATTAATTCTATTGGATTACTCTCTTCTCCGTGTGTAAAATGTAAATTATATATGTGGATTGAATCGAATGTGGGAGTTTTCGTTCCGAGCTCGATTTTGGATTTTCTACTTAGATTCTCTGTAAATAAAAGAGATTAAAAGAAGATTTGGACAATTGAGTTTATTATTAGATGCCATTTTTGAAGAAAACATCCCAATGGGAAGACCTTGGAACACTGTTTTGCCTGATGAATTTTGAAGTAAAATAAAGTCTTTTGTGTTTTGCAGAAATAAATTAAAAAGTCAGCCTAGTTATTTGGTCAAGGGATGGCCAAGGCAGAGTCAGTGGATCTGAAACTCTTAGGCTTCTTTGGTGCTAAAGGGACGCCTGACTCTGAAGCCGGCAAGGGCCCTACCTGGAGCCCTACTTGGAGCCCTACTTCGAGCCCTACCTCTCCCCTTGATTTTGGAGTTTTTGCAAACTTTGGTGGCTTCTTCAGCCCCAGGTCTCCAGCTCCCTCATCTCCCAGATTTAACAAATGGGTTTGTGACAAAGTTGGTCTTTCTCTTCTCACTTGCATCACTGGAGATGGCGAAGAAAACATCGTGCTTGCACCTCAGATCAAGCTCAATGTCAGTAGTGCAAGAGCCGAGCCTTCCAGTAAATCGTTTGCTCCTTGTGTTCAATCTGATCCCTTGCCTAACAACATTGATTCCCCGAGTAGATCAACCTCATCCCCCATGGATATTGTCTCCAGCCACACCCAGGTTTACTCTCGTGAGATGGCGCTCTCTGAGGATTACACCTGTATCATTTCTCATGGCCCAAACCCAAAAACAACTCATATCTTTGGAGATTGCATCCTGGATTGTGACCCCAAAGAGTTGAGAGCGGAAGGCGATGATGATTCTTTCAGCCGTCAAGATTGTCACAACACTCCTCCTCATATTCACAGGTCTGCATCAAACTTGCAAGAAAATCTGTGGTCTTTAATTTAAGACTGGTTACATTTCTGATATCATTTCTGATTCCGACAGCAGCGACGGAAAGGAAACTGAGAAGACCGGTGTTGAAGATTCTTTGGGATCATCAAGTGACAACGAGGATGTGTTTCCAATGGCAATGCCTCTTCTCAATCCATGACTATGAGAGCCTGGCTCATTCTTGAGGTTTTTTTTTATATTGTTTCTCATGATTGCAGTGGCCTTTTGAGAGCTCTCGAGTGTGAGTTTAGTGTTGTTGTAAGGTTAGGTTTTTTTGGGATTTTTGTGTGCTCAAATAAAGAGAAGCTTTGGCTCGGGTGAGTTTTGCTGTGGCCTGATGCCCCGGCTCATCCTCTTCTTCTTCTTCTTATTGTTTCTTGTATTTTTTTGTTCTGTTTCCAACTCCAACATGTTTGTATGATTGTGTGGTTACGTACTTATGTCTCATACATTTGATGGTAATGTGGAAACCACTTTGTATTATGGTTATAATTGTTTACTGTCTCTGCGCTCTCTCTACCGTTACCGACTTTTGTGGGATGAGAATTGGGAGGGACATGCATATATGGGAATGGACATAATAAAAACAAAAATAAAAAAGTTATCGACCACAGTGGGAGTCGAACCCACGACCTTTTGATCCGAAGTCAAACGCGCTAATCCACTGCGCTATGCGGTCATTACTGTTAGACATAACGTGAGTGTATTACTTTACTATTCGTTGAACATTTATTTAACTGTTTCTGGACACCTGCTAGCTAGTACCAAGCTCTCTTCTCTCTCTCTCTCTCTCTCTCTCTCTCTCTGCAATTGCAATTGCGTTTCGTCTTGGAAAGGAGCTGGCTGTATCGTATTCGTGCTTCGTCCGTCGTCGTTGGATGTCCATGAGAATTATCGATCTGGTGTCCGTGCATCTCTAGCTTTGTCGATTCGGCCGATCCGGTTTTGATCTTCCTCGGAAGTGTCGAATCTGGACTCGTACATCCCTTTCGCCAAGTTCCGTGATCTTAGGTGCGTTTTCGGGTTATGCATTCCATCTTCTCTTAGCAATAGGATGTGACGATCTGGGAATTTAGACTGGTCTCTTTATTGAATTAATTGATAATCAAACGATATGGAGATGCGAATATAAATTTTGATTAGCCATGTCATGTTGTATTGTTTCCGCAGCCATGTTCTATGGCACAGCTGTATGGGACCCTTGGCTAATAGTTGGGCAGATAGTATGCCTACAGTGCTCGTACTATCTGAGCCTAGGAGTGTTGATGATGGTCTTCCTTGGCCTTCGGGTCCCTCGTCTTAGTCTTGTCTACTTCTTCGATTACGCTACTCTCACTACTTCTACCGTCACCGGTTGGTGTGTTATTGCCTCCTTCTTGCTCACTTCTCTGGCCGGGTTTGTACCCGACGACTCTTCTTCTTGTCAATCTATCTTTTTGCTTTCCCTTCTCCGAATTTCCTCAATCAAGCGCTTACGGCTTACCTGTTGTGATGTGCAGGGCTGTGTACATGATATTTTTGGTGGAAAGAGCACGGAAATGCTTAGATTTCTCTGCGACTCTCTACATCATACACCTCTTCTTTTGCATCATGTATGGAGGATGGCCTTCCTCTATTGCCTGGTGGGTTGTAAATGGAACGGGACTCGCTGTCATGGCATTGCTTGCTGAGTACTTGTGCATTAAACGCGAACAGCGAGAGATTCCTATGGATCGATTCCATTCAAGTAAGATTATCACTCATTCATTTATTCATTCACTTATTCATTTATTCATTCATGGGGTTCTCATAGCGGCTGTTGTCTATGCAGGGGTTTGATGATTGGTGTGATGAAGATTCTTGTGTGGTTATCAGGGCATCATAGAGCATAAATCCAACAAAACTCTTAGCAAATGGTCATGTACAGAGATGAGATGATTAGAAATGGGGCCAAATTAACCATGTCATGTTGGGCACTGGTGTGGTGAAAGGAGTAGTCAACACCTCTGCCTGCAGTTTTAGTCACATGGGATGGAATACGTTTCTGTTGCTTTTTCAATTGTTTGAAAACCCATTACACCGACTCTAATAGGTCTTTTTCTTCTTTTAATGTTGCATCCCTAGCGTTTCTTCTAACCTTCTCTCGAAACGGTACTGCGATCAGTGTCCAATTCACCATACTCTATTTTACAAATCCAATGTTCTTGCTTCTTTTTATCGAATCTTCTCACACCTTCCTACCTGTTGGTGTTTGAATAAGACGGTGTGACGTGACCTAACAGCTAAAAAGTAAAAAGGGTCGTCCAAAAATCGCAGACGAATAAAACGAGCTAAGCGCTGTGAGTGATTGAAAAAACGGCGTCGCATTGGAAAAGGGACATGAGTGTGAGTATTCGTGAGTAAGCCCCACAGATTCAGATCTCCAAATCGATCACCTCGCCAACGCGCATTGGCAGGGAGGAATCACCCAACCAACGCCTTCCCTTTGCATTGCTCTCCTTCCAACTCCGACGATAATCCCATCTCCGGCAGAGACATTCGTTTCGACTTGCAAAGATGGTTAGTGATGTCATCTCTCCATTCCCCGTAGATCTACCTCTCTCTCAATCTATTTCACTTGTTACGTCCACGAATTAGTGTGCTTCATTGCATTAAGTTTGATCTTCTTTCACATTCGTTCCCTAAATCTAACGCGGGAGGTCTCTTTGTTGAGCATTGAGATCCTTTCATTCAAGTTCTGAAACAGAAATTTGATCAACGGGTTTTTCTAGGTTTCTTATAAGTTTGATATGAACTCGAGAGTATAAGTAAACCAATCATAGAGAGTTGTAGGAGCTATTTTCTGCTCGGCACTAACTTGAGCTGTTTTTGCTTTTGTTTGAATTGTTCACAGCCTCTTAGACTCGAAATCAAGGTAATGGCGAGTCTCCCTCGTTTCTTAATCTTATCATCCTTATTGGGCGTTGGATTTTTCCAAGTGACACACGCTTTTATGTTTGGATCAGCGCAAATTTGCTCAAAGATCAGAAAGAGTCAAATCTGTAGATCTCCATCCAACAGAACCATGGTAACTTTAGCGCATTCTCTACATTGCATTGTATATTGTTTTTGCATCATGCTTAGTTAAGGAAACGTTAAATTAATAACTTGGTACAGGATCCTGACAAGTTTGTATTCCGGAACCGTGTGCATCTGGAATTATCAGACACAGGTATGAGATATATATAAGTATCCCATGTTGGGATCATCTCTTGTTTATATCTTATATTCTTCCTGATTCGTGACTCTGATATTTATTGTTAACCCATAATCACCTTTTTGGCTTTGCAGACGATGGTAAAATCTTTCGAAGTGACTGAATTGCCTGGTATGATCTACAGTAATTACTTGTTCTTGTTCCTTCTTATGATTCGACACAGCATTCTGTGGTCCTGCATATGTTGAGTCTATGCCTTTGTCACTGTCGTTCAGTTCGATCAGCTAAGTTTGTTGCACGCAAGCAGTGGGTTGTAGCTGGAGCTGATGACATGTTTATTCGTGTGTACAACTACAACACAATGGATAAGATCAAAGTATTTGAGGCTCATGCTGACTACATTAGGTGTGTCGCTGTTCATCCCACCCTTCCCTATGTGTTATCATCATCTGATGATATGCTCATCAAGCTCTGGGATTGGGAGAAGGGTTGGCTTTGTACTCAGATTTTCGAAGGGCACTCCCATTATGTTATGCAAGTGACTTTCAATCCCAAAGACACCAATACTTTTGCTAGTGCATCCCTTGACCGTACCATAAAAGTGAGACTAGTCTTGGACTCTTATGACATATGTTGTTTGTTCCTTTCATGTTCACTCCCCGTATGAGATCCTAAGCATTTCTGCTGTTTCTACATCTTTTCTTATCTAGATATGGAATCTTGGTTCTCCGGATCCAAATTTTACTTTGGATGCCCATCTGAAAGGGGTAAACTGTGTAGACTACTTTACTGGTGGGGATAAACCATACCTAATCACTGGTTCTGATGATCATACTGCCAAGGTCTGTACTGATCTGTCTTGCTTCTTCGCAAGTTGTTTGCTATGTATGTCCATTTGTATTGTTTGTATATAAATTCATGCATGGTTTTCTATTGTTCATATATGTCTTCTGGAAGCAGGTGTGGGACTATCAAACAAAGAGTTGCGTTCAGACACTTGACGGTCATACGCACAATGTTTCTGCAGTATGTTTCCATCCAGAGCTCCCGATAATTTTTACGGGATCTGAGGATGGAACTGTTCGTATATGGCATTCCACCACTTACAGGTAACTCGTATGACGTTTGTATTGGAGTATCATTGATTTGTTATTAAAAGTCTTCTAATCAGGTTCATCCTACAATTTTACTTAATATTTGACTTCCAGGCTTGAGAATACATTGAACTATGGCCTTGAGAGGGTTTGGGCTATTGGACACATGAAAGGTTCACGCCGGTAAGTTTCTGAACTTTTACTATGGCAATATTTATGCCCTACTATAAGTATACTTATCTGCACATATAATTATTTGTTTGTGGAAACTTATGTTTCTTACATAATTCACGGGATGTTAAACTAATAACATATCCTTTTCCAGGGTTGTAATTGGTTATGATGAAGGGTCCATAATAGTGAAACTTGGCCGTGAAACACCAGTGGCTAGTATGGACAACAGTGGGAAAATTATTTGGGCTAAACACAATGAGATACATACTGTGAATATCAAGAGCGTGGGCGCAGATGAGGTTTGAGGAACACTTTTAGATTGTTTTTTTTTTTTGTTTAAGATTATATTACCTCATGTTTGGCAATGTTTATCATTTTCTGTGGGCTCACTTAGGTCACTGACGGTGAGAGACTACCTTTGCCTGTTAAAGAGCTAGGGACCAGCGATCTTTATCCTCAAGTAAGTGGCATATCTTTTAATTGTACATATTGTCACTCTCTTTAGATGATGGAGAGAGTAGGATTTCGTTTTGTCGATTGTCATTGTCTTACATTTGTTAAAGATTTAGTGAATATGTAGTGTTAACGTTTTTCTTCAATTTCTGCGTGTAGTTATTTGTTTGGCGCAGTTTGATAGAGTACTGGTATTAGTAGGAAGTACGACCTTAATCAAAAATAAATTTTGTGATTACCCACTGTCATTTATGTTTCTGTTATTTCCATTTATGCTTTTCAGAGCTTGAAGCACAACCCTAATGGTAGGTTTGTCGTTGTTTGTGGAGATGGTGAGTACATCATCTACACTGCCTTGGCATGGAGAAATAGGTCATTTGGCTCGGCACTGGAATTTGTTTGGTCATCTGATGGGGAACATGCTGTCAGAGAAAGCTCGTCAAAGATCAAGATCTTCAGCAAGAACTTCCAGGTTTGTAATTCCTTTTGGCACATTCCTGTTCCCACTGATTAACTTTTAAAGTTTTCCTTTTTGGTGTGTGTCTGATTACTATTATCTAAATTACACTAACATATACTGACAGCCTAGTTTAATAATATGCAGGAAAAGAAGACTGTGAGGCCTACTTTCTCAGCGGAGCACATTTTTGGTGGGACGTTATTGGCAATGTGCTCAAGTGATTTTATCTGCTTCTATGATTGGGCAGAATGTAGGCTGATTAGGCGAATAGATGTTACCGTCAAAGTAAGTGCTCATATACCAGAATTAGCTCTATTAGTGTTAACTGGGGAGTGGTTTAGACGTTACATTTCTGAAATATTTCAATTGGAGAAATACAAGCACAATCTGGAACGTAAAATGCAGATTAATTCTGCTCTTGTCTGCAGCACAATCTCTTATACATGTCTAACATTTTCTGATTATTGAAATGTCACAGAATCTTTATTGGGCTGAGAGTGGTGATCTAGTTGCAATTGCTAGTGACTCATCATTCTACATCCTTAAGTTCAATGTGAGTTTTAAAAACAAGAATTTGTTAGTGAACCAGAACTCTAATAGAATTTCCTGAGTATATATTCCCTGTACTTCTGCTGTAGCGCGACATTGTTTCCTCTTATTTGGATGACGGTAAACAAATTGATGAGGAAGGCATTGATGACGCATTTGAGCTTCTCAATGAAACCAATGAACGTGTTCGGACTGGCTTATGGGTTGGGGATTGTTTTATCTACACCAACTCTTCTTGGAGGCTTAACTACTGTGTTGGTGGTGAGGTAAGGCTCATTTTTAGGTTTTTGTAAAAAAAGTACGTATTTTGATTGTTGTTGTAAATGATGTTATATACCCCTTTTAAATTACAGGTAACAACAATGTATCATCTGGACCGTCCTATGTACTTGTTGGGTTATCTTGCTAATCAAAGTCGGGTTTATTTAATTGACAAAGAGTTCAAGTAAGCAGATATCGTACTGTTGACATTGCTGACCAGTTTTGTTGTAACTTTATCTGACGTCTATGTCAATTTTGTTGTTTACAGCATTATTGGTTACACTTTACTTTTAAGTTTGATTGAGTACAAGACTCTTGTGATGCGTGGAGATTTGGAACAGGCTAATCAAGTCTTACCTTCAATTCCTAAGGAGCATCATAATAGGTATGAGAGTGTGTAATCCTCGTATTATCAGAGTTTACGCATTATGGTTATAGCTGCATTATGATGTTAGTGAACATGCATCCAAGGCTACGTCTTGGTTTAAATTGTTTTCGAAAATTCACACATTCCTAATTTTCTGGTTCTCAACTTCAAAAATCTGCTCCTGTTGTCAGCGTGGCACATTTTTTGGAATCACGTGGTATGACAGAAGATGCTCTGGATATAGCTACTGACGCTGATTACAGATTTGAGTTGGCCATACAGCTTGGTAGATTGGAGGTCGCAAAGGTTAGTCTGTAGATTTTACCATTTGAGATGCTTCATCTCCATGACTTACCAATATGTTGTCATTCAATTCTTATATTTTGACAGGACATTGCTGTAGAAGCACAAAGTGAGTCTAAATGGAAGCAACTTGGAGAATTAGCTATGTCCAGTGGGAAGGTGGCATTTTTTTATAACTGCAACTAGTGTTCTAGGTTTCTTTATCTAAGCTAATATGCATTTTTTTCTCATTCTCCTTCCCATGCTTGAATCACCTTAGCTGGATATGGCTGAGCAATGCATGAGGCATGCTATGGATTTGAGTGGCATGTTGCTGCTTTATTCTTCCTTGGGAGATGCAGAAGGATTGAAGAAGCTGGCAGAACTAGCTAAAGAGCAAGGAAAGAACAATGTCGCTTTTCTTTGTTTGTTCATGTTGGGTCAAGTTGAAGACTGCTTACATCTTTTGGTGGAAAGGTACATCATTACTGGTTCTTACATTGACGACATATATCTGCAACTAGTGACTCTGCTGATATATTTATGGTTACAGTAATCGGATACCTGAAGCCGCTCTGATGGCACGATCGTACGTTCCGAGTAAGGTCTCCGAAATAGTGGCATTATGGAGAAACGATTTGACCAAGGTTTGTGTCAGACACTTCCGATGCATCTTCTGATTAAATATAAAACTTCGCATGTTGAGATATCGACAGCTTGTCTTGATCCACTGATAATCTTCATATAGATAAGTCCAAAGGCTGCTGAATCTCTGGCTGATCCTGAAGAGTATCCGAATCTCTTTGAGGATTGGCAAGTCGCCCTTTCCCTTGAAGAAAGAGCTGCAGAGACGAGGTATCTAGCGAAGTGGCCGTGTCACGTGTTTTGTTTTCATTATCAAGCCTATTTGAAGTTTTCAAGATCCTCACAAACAAAATACTTGTTATGATTTATGTTGCAGGGGAGTCCATCCTCCTGCTGGGGATTATTGTAGTCATGCAGACAGAGATCATACAACTTTGGTGGAAGCGTTTAGAATTATGCAAATTGAAGAAGAGGAGAGACTTGAGCAGGTGGATGTTGTCGACGAGGTATGCATAGCTTACATTACATGCCACTGAGGTGGATGCTATCTTTCCCCTGATGTCCAATTGCTATATTTTGGGTTTTTTCTGCCCTGATTGAGAAAATGGTATGATGAACACATGATGGGATTTCGTAATAAGACTGTTGCCGCTTCGTGTGTATGGTACAGGTTGGGGAAGAGGGAGAAGAGGAGGAGCATCAGGAAGACGGGAAGCAACAGAATGTGGAAGAAGAGGGTGTTGTGGTGGATGCTGACTCTACAGATGGCGCCGTGCTAGTCAATGGGAACGAGTCGGAAGAACAGTGGGGTATGATTTGTGAAGAACCCCATCAGCCTTAATAAATTGATTCTAAGCTAAAAACATCACATGACATACATATATATATATATATATATGTATATTATAATAGTAGAGCTTATGTTTGCATCTGTGTCCCATCATATTCCTCACACTCACATATGTTGATGATGATGTCTATAGTGCTTCTGTGGACTGATAAAATCTCTTGTTTGTTGGATTTGTACAGTTCTAACACCACCGCAGGAGTAGGGTTTCTTGAAGACATATATGATTGGCATACAGTTAACAAGAGAAGAGAGAGTAGTGAGAAGATGAGTTTCATTGTTTAACACTGCTGCTCTTCTATTATAAGCTTTTAGGACAAAACGACTGGGAGAGTGAGAGATTCCACCTGTAGAGTATTTTGCCATCTGGAATACTCCATGATAATATGTTCCTTCTATTTTTATTTTTGACTTTTGAGTTATGATTCAACTCTTATCAGGTGAAAATGGAATAGGATAATATCAAACGTTCATATTCGTCCCAGTCAAATTGTATTAACTTTGTTTGGATAAGTAAGGAAAGAGAAGGCAAATTAGATATAGCCGATGAAGTTTACTTATAGGAGGGATAACTGGATAAGTAGGTTGTTCAGTGGGATTGATAATAAGTTGGTGAAAATTTGTACTTTCGTCCCTAGACTTGTGAATTAATTTGAAAATACGACCAGCTCAATAATCAGCAATATGAATGTGCAAATAGATAGAAATATAGGGGACCAAAGTGTAAAAACGCTTGCACAGCCCCGCCTGACCTTACGGGGGTTACTAACGTGACACGCTTTTGGCTCAACCGCGCAGCGACGAACGATGATCGGTAGTAATAGCGTCTACTCACCGGCCGACCACTCTCTCTTGCCAAACCCTGACCTCTGCATCACGGTTACTTGCTCTACTATCTCCTTCTTCTAAACTAGGGTTTAGATCTTTGATTTGAACGAACCTGACTTGCGATTCCGATTCGCTAACCAGATATGCTTGTGGTTTCAGATCGAAGATGGGTCTCCGTCTCCGAGCAGCGAGCAGATGGTTATAGAAACCGGAGAGGATCTTCAACTTGCAATCGGAGAGAACCCTGATCTAGAAATTGACCTTGAAAATGATTGCGACGGATTGCTTGAAATGGCTGGTGACTTCTCCGGAGGAGAAAAGTGTGCGATGATTCCTCCTGCTACGGGAATGGAATTCGAGTCGTACGACGATGCGTACAGTTACTACAACTCGTACGCGAGAGAGGTGGGATTTGCAATCAGGGTCAAGTCTTCATGGACAAAGCGTAACAGCAAGGAGAAACGCGGCGCAGTCTTGTGCTGCAACTGTGAAGGTTTCAAGATGGTTAAAGAAGCAAACAGCCGGAGAAAGGAGACGAGAACGGGTTGTCAGGCCATGATTCGTCTCAGATTGATCCAACTTGATCGATGGAAAGTGGATCAAGTCAAACTCGACCACAACCACTCTTTCGATCCTGAAAGAGCCCACAACTCCAAGTCTCACAAGAAGAACTTTGGTGCTACCAAAATAAAACCACAAGCACCACCTCCCCATGTTCAAGTCCGGACTATCAAGCTGTATAGAAGCCTTGCTGCTTCTGCCATTGACACACCAAACTCTAGCGGGGAGACGAGTCATGATCCCTTGCACTCTTCAAGGCGTTTGGAGCTCAGAGGAGGAGGTTTCAGGGTCTTGCAGGATTTCTTCTTCCAGATTCAGCTTACAAACCCAAACTTCCTCTACTTGATGGATCTTGGCGATGACGGGAGCCTCAGGAATGTCTTCTGGGTTGACGCTCGAGCTAGGGCTGCTTACTCTCACTTTGGCGACGTCCTTGTCTTTGACACAACATGTTTATCAAACACGTACGAGCTTCCCCTTGTTGCCTTTGTTGGAATAAACCACCATGGAGACTCCATCTTGCTCGGCTCTGCTTTGGTTTCCGACCAGAGCTGTGAGACCTATGTCTGGCTCCTGAGAGCGTGGCTAACGTGCATGTTAGGCCGTCACCCACAGACCTTCGTCACAGAGCATTGCAAGGCAATTCAGACTGCAGTCTCTCAGGTTTTGCCTAGGGCTCACCACCGTCTTAACCTGACCCACGTCTTGCAGAGCATTCTTGAGAGCCTTGTCGGACTAGAAGATTATGAGTCGTTCCGGATGGCGCTCAACAGCGTGGTCTACGGTTTTCTCAAGGTCGAGGAATTTGAAATAGCTTGGGAAGAGATGGTCGTTCGGTTTGGGCTGACAAATCACGAGACCATCCGGGGCTTGTTTCAAGATCGACAACTATGGGCTCCTGTCTACCTCAAGGATACATTTTTGGCAGGGGCGCTGACTTTTCGACTGGGAAATGGAGCAGCCCCGTTCATCTTCAGTGGCTACGTTCACCAGCAAACATCCCTGAGAGAATTCCTTGAAGGCTACGAACCGTTTCTAGATAACAAGTACAAGAGGGAAGCCTTGTGCGATTCAGAGTCCTCCAAGTCAATCCCGGAGCTCAGAACAACGCACCCTTACGAGTCTCAGATGGCGAAGGTGTTCACTAAGGAGATATTTACAAGGTTCCAAGAGGAGGTCTCGGCAATGTCTTCATGTTTTGGAATAACGCAAGTCCACTCGAACGGCTCGGCCTCCTCCTACGTGGTGAAAGAAGGGGAAGGAGAGAAAGTAAGAGACTTTGAGGTCATCTACGAGACAAGTGCAGCAGCACAGGTACGTTGCTTCTGTGTCTGTGGTGGTTTCAGCTTCAACGGATACCAATGCAGACACGTCCTCGCCCTCCTCACCCACAACGGCTTGGAGGAACTCCCGTCTCACTACATACTGCAACGGTGGCGCAAGGACGTGAACCGTCTTTATGTGGCGGATTTCGGGTCAGGCCGTGTGGACATAATGAATCCGGTCCAATGGTACGAGCATTTGCACAGAAGAGCGTTGCAGGTTGTTGAGCAAGGCATGAGATCGAAAGAGCACTGCAGAGTTGCCTGGGAAGCCTTTAAAGAGAGTCTGAATAAGGTTCACCTTGTGACAGACGAGCCTTCTTGACTTGTCTTCCCTCCTTTTTAGAAATCGTTACGTAATGAATCGAGTAATATCAATATTCCTTTTTGGGCCCAAAGTTAAACTAATGCGTCACATATCCACGCTTACCGGGCCGGATTGATCGGGCCCATATCGAATCTTAACAATCCGGCTCTAAACCAATCCACAATAAATCTTTTACTGTTCGCTTTGGATGCATTTTATTTATTTTATTCTTTTGAAAAACTCAAAATAACTTCTTATTGAAATTTTGTGAGTTACCTACTGTGAGTTTTCTTACAATTTTGCTAATATTTATAGGCTATTACCCACAAAAACTATTACCCACAAGTTTTTGCAGATTTTGAATAAATTGGAGTAAGATTTTTTCTGACTTTCTCACACTCTCTATTACTATGAAAAATGGTTGGATCAATTTGTTTTCAATTTAGACACATTCCAATCATTAATTTAGAAAAAAACTCAAAAATTGCAAATTTTGCCAATATTTGTGGGTTAACACCCACAAGATTTTACAAATTTTGAAAAATTTGGGGTAATATGTTTTTTGGCTTTCTCACACTCTCTGTTATTATGAAAAAAGGCTGGATCAATTTGTTTTCAATTTAAACACCTTCTAATCATTAATTTAGAAAAAACCTCAAAATTTGTCAATTTTGCCAATATTTGTGGGCTAACACCCAAGAGTTTTTGCAAATTTTGAAAAAATTGGAATAATATATTTTTTGGCTTTCTCACACTCTCTGTTACTATGAAAAATGGTTGGATCAATTTGTTTTCACTTTAGACACATTCCAATCATTAATTTTGAAAAACCTCAAAATTTATAAATTTTGCCAATATTTGTGGACTAACACATACGAGTTTTTGCAAATTTTGAAAAATTTGGAGTAATATGTTTTTTGGCTTTCTCACACTCTCTGTTACTATGAAAAATGGTTGGATCAATTTGTTTTCAATTTAGACACCTTCCAATCATTAATTTAGAAAAACCTCAAAAATTGTCAATTTTGCCAATATTTGTGGGCTAACACCCACGACTTTTTGCAAATTTTGAAAAAATTGGAGTAAGATTTTTTCTGACTTTCACACACTCTCTGTTACTATGAAAAATAGCCGGATCAATTTGTTTTCACTTTAGACACTTTCCAATCATTAGTTTAGAAAAACCTCAAGAATTATCAATTTTGCCAATATTTGTGGGCTAACACCCACGAGTTTTTGCAAATTTTGAAAAAAATTGGTAATATGTTTTTTTGCTTTCTCACACTCTCCGTTACTATGAAAAATGGCTGGATCAATTTGTTTTCAATTTAGACACTTTCCAATCATTAATTTAGAAAAACTCAAAAATTGTTAATTTTGCCAATATTTATGGGCTAACACACACGAGATTTTGCAAATTTTGAAAAAATTGGAGTAAGATGTTTTTTTGCTTTCTCACACTCTCTGTTACTATGAAAAATGGCTGGATCAATTTGTTTTCAATTTAGACACCTTTCAATCATTAATTTAGAAAAAACTCAAAAATTGTCAATTTTACCACTATTTGTGGGCTAACACCCACGAGTTTTTGCACATTTTGAAAAAATTGGAGTAAGATTTTTTCTTACTTTCTCACACACTCTGTTATTATAAAAATGGCTGGATCAATTTGTTTTCACTTTAGAGACCTTCCAATCGTTAATTTAGAAAAAAACTCAAAAATTGTCAATTTTACCAATATTTGTGGGCTAACACCCACGAGTTTTTGCAGATTTTGAAAAAATTGGCGTAAGATTTTTTCTGACTTTCTCACACTCTCTGTTACTATGAAAAATGGCTGGATCAATTTGTTTTCAATTTAGACACCTTTCAATCATTAATTTAGAAAAACCTCAAAATTTGTCAATTTTACAATATTTGTTGGCTAACACCCACGAGTTTTTGCAAATTTTGAAAAAATTGGAGTAAATTTTTTTCTGACTTTCACACACTCTCTGTTACTATAAAAAAATGGCTGGATCAATTTGTTTTCAATTTAGACACCTTTCAATCATTAATTTAGAAAAACCTCAAAATTTGTCAATTTTGCCAATATTTGTTGACTAACACCCACGAGTTTTTGCAGATTTTGAAAAAATTGGAGTAAGATTTTTTCTGACTTTCACACTCTCTGTTACTATAAAAAATGGCTGGATCAATTTGTTTTCAATTTAGACACATTCCAAACATTAATTTAGAAAAAACTCAAAAATTGTCAATTTTGCCAATATTTGAGGGCTAACACCCACGAGTTTTTGCAGATTTTGAAAAAATTGAGTAAGATTTTTTCTGAGTTTCTGACACTCTCTGTTACTATGAAAAATGTTTGGATCAATTTGTTTTCAATTTAGACACTTTTCAATCATTAATTTAGAAAAACCTCAAAATTTGTCAATTTTGCCAATATTTGTGGCTAACACCCACGAGTTTTTGCAAATTTTGAAAAAAATTGCTAATATGTTTTTTGGCTTTCTCACACTCTCTGTTACTATGAAAAATGTCTGGATCAATTTGTTTTCACTTTAGACACCTTCAATCATTAATTTAGAAAAACCTCAAAAATTGTCAATTTTGCCAATATTTGTGGGCTAACACCCACGAGTTTTTGCAAATTTTGAAAAAATTGGAGTAATATTTTTTTGACTTTCTCACACTCTCTGTTACTATGAAAAATGGCTGGATCAATTTGTTTTCACTTTAGAGACCTTCCAATCATTAATTTAGAAAAACCTCAAAAATTGTCAATTTTACCACTATTTGTGGGCTAACACCCACGAGTTTTTGCAAATTTTGAAAAAATTGGAGTAAATTTTTTTGACTTTCTCACACTCTCTGTTACTATGAAAAATGGCTGGATCAATTTGTTTTCAATTTAGAGACCTTCCAATCATTAATTTAGAAAAACCTCAAAAATTGTCAATTTTGCCAATATTTGTGGGCTAATCCACGAGTTTTTGCAAATTTTGAAAAAATTGGAGTAAATATTTTTTTGACTTTCTCACACTCTCTGTTACTATGAAAAATGGTTGGATCAATTTGTTTTCAATTTAGACACCTTTCAATCATTAATTTAGAAAAACCTCAAAAATTGTCAATTTTGCCAAATATTTGTGGGCTAACACCCACGAGTTTTTGCAAATTTTGAAAAAATTGGAGTAAGATTTTTTCTGACTTTCACACTCTCTGTTACTATGAAAAATGGTTGGATCAATTTGTTTTCAATTTAGACACCTTCCAATCATTAATTTAGAAAAACCTCAAAAATTGTCAATTTTGCCAATATTTGTGGGCTAACACCCACGAGTTTTTGCAGATTTTGAAAAAATTGGAGTAAGATTTTTTTGACATTCTCACACTCTCTGTTACTATGAAAAATGGTTGGGTCAATTTGTTTTCAATTTAGACACCTTCCAATCATTAATTTAGAAAAACCTCAAAATTTGTCAATTTGTCAATATTTGTGGGTAACACCCACGAGTTTTTGCAGATTTTGAAAAAATTTGGAGTAAGATTTTTTTGACATTCTCACACTCTCTGTTACTATGAAAAATGGCGGGATCAATTTGTTTTTAATTTAGAGACCTTTCAATCATTAATTTAGAAAAACCTCAAAATTTGTCAATTTTACAATATTTGTGGCTAACACCCACGAGTTTTTGCAGATTTTGAAAAAATTGGAGTAAGATTTTTTCTGACTTTCACACACTCTCTGTTATTATAAAAATGGCATGGGATCAATTTGTTTTCACTTTAGAGACCTTCAATCATTAATTTGGAAAAAACTCAAAAATTGTTAATTTTGCCAATATTTGTGGGGTAACACCCACGAGTTTTTGCAAATTTTTAAAAAATTGGAGTAATATGTTTTTTGACATTCTCACACTCTCTGTTACTATGAAAAATGGCGGGATCAATTTGTTTTCAATTTACAGACCTTTCAATCATTAATTTAGAAAAAAACTCAAAAATTGTTAATTTTGCCAATATTTGTGGCTAACACACGAGTTTTTGCAAATTTTGAAAAAATTGGAGTAATATATTTTTTGGCTTTCTCACACTCTCTGTTACTATGAAAAATGGCGGGATCAATTTGTTTTCAATTGAGACACTTCCAAACATTAATTTAGAAAAACCTCAAAAATTGTCAATTTTGCCAATATATTGTGGGCTAACACCTACGAGTTTTTGCAAATTTTGAAAAAATTGGAGTAAGATTTTTTTCTGACTTTCTCACACTCTCTGTTACTATGAAAAATGGCTGGATCAATTTGTTTTCACTTTAGAGACCTTCCAATCATTAATTTGGAAAAAACTCAAAAATTATCAATTTTGCCAATAATTGTGGTCTAACACCCACGAGTTTTTGCAAATTTTTAAAAAATTGGAGTAATATGTTTTTTGACATTCTCACACTCTCTGTTACTATGAAAAATGGTTGGGTCAATTTGTTTTCAATTTAGAGACCTTCCAATCATTAATTTAGAAAAACCTCAAAATTTGTCAATTGTGTCAATATTTGTGGGTTATAACACCCACGAGTTTTTGCAGATTTTGAAAAATTTGGAGTAAGATGTTTTTTGACATTCTCACACTCTCTGTTACTATGAAAAATGGCGGGATCAATTTGTTTTTAATTTAGACACCTTTCAATCATTAATTTAGAAAAACCTCAAAATTTGTCAATTTTACAAATATTTGTTGGCTAACACCCACGAGTTTTTGCAGATTTTGAAAAAATTGGAGTAAGATTTTTTCTAACTTTCACACACTCTCTGTTATTATAAAAAATGCATGGATCAATTTGTTTTCACTTTAGAGACCTTCCAATCATTAATTTGGAAAAAACTCAAAAATTGTTAATTTTGCCAATATTTGTGGGGTAACACCCACGAGTTTTTGCAAATTTTTAAAAAATTGGAGTAATATGTTTTTTGACATTCTCACACTCTCTGTTACTATGAAAAATGGTTGGGTCAATT